CACGATTCTCACCCACCATTTTCCCCACCCAAAAAAAATAGAAACCACACGCACGACCACAACCATCAACCGACACGCCGAACTTGCAGACAAGCTTGCACATCATTCTAATAACGACATCTCACTTTTTTTTCCCTTTCCTAATTATTCTCCTCCAGCTCTTCCTTTTCCGCTTCCTCACTCGCCCTTCCCCGTCTAGCATCCTTTTTGTTGTCACATCTCGGTAAAGTCTCTTGTCGTCTGAATTCGAAATTCTAAAAAGAACTCCCGTTCTTTCATGCCAACTACCCGTCTCTTCCTATCCCATCATATCTAATCAAAACCACCTCTCCCATCCCCGTCCGTCACTCAGTACATACAAACCACATCCCTTACTTACTCTTTCCCCCGTCGTACACATCTACTACCTGATCTTACGATTTCACGATAGCAGAACCGTTAAGCGTGGGGTCTCTTTCTTGTTTTGGCTTCCTTCACACCTCATATTTTTATTATTCTAATCGTTTCTTTTTGAATGGTGCAGAAATTTGCGTAGCGTGATCTTTCTATCGTGGAAATCTGCAGTTCCGGAGCCAGCCAGCCAGCATAGCATAATATAGTATCGTTTCAGATCGTACACCACGATCCGGACTCGCTGCATCAGATTGAAGAGGGGAGCTATAGAGGGGAATACACTTACAAAGGTCAGTTTAACTTTGAGATCACTTCAATTGATTCGAATATCATTTTCCCTACATTTACCCCACACAAACTGCACTGCAAAGCAAGCCAGCGAGCCAGAGGATACGATATTTGGATAGGTATCCCCATTCCCCCAAGATCTCGACTTCCGTCTTGTCAGTCAAGCGACCTATACCTATTACATTACCTACCTACCTACCTACATACATACATACATACACACACACACACATACACACATACATACATACAGTAGGATACAACACTGTTCGTCCCCATATTCTTAACCCATCATATACCATGGGATCATCTTCCCCCCTCCATCCTTTCAATCGCCTCCCATTTCTCTGATACCAAACATCTACTCTTCTTTCTTTCTTCATCCCTACACATATCCCCTCTTCTCTTTGAGCCTCAATCCCCTCTCACTCCTCTGTCTCTTTCACTTATCTTCACTTGAACATTGATTCCTGTATTTGTCTACTGCCCCTCACCCAAACCAGATGATACCCCTTCATAATGTTAATCAAGAACGCCAGAAACAACAAAAACCTCAAGATCATGGATCCAGATTGCGCCATATGTTCTCAGCCAGCTATCGCGAAATGCGAGTGCGAAGCCAATGGCCTTACCGTCGCTGTGAGGCAGGCTGAGCAGAGAATGATGACTAGTGTTTATAACGATATAAGGTACTGTCACTTGTCTCCTTCACCTCTCCCCATCATCTCATACCCCTCCGGTTCATGCCCTATACCAATGTCTTTCAACAACATTCACATGGATCAATCATTCACCTCCAGCTCACCCATTAACTCATCCTCCAAATAGAACATGGGTGCGTGGCCACGCACAAGATTACATCCTCTCCTACTTCAGTGTCCTCACCACCCGTCGTAAAGATGAACACGCCGCCCAAATCCACCGCATAACCGAACGAGCAGCCTACTACTACAACGCACGTCCACACCCATCAGAAATTGCGGCAGCTGATTCAGAACTCAAACGCGGCATTGACGAAGATTGGCGCGCAAGCGTACAACGCTACCCGGAAGTCCTCGAGTATTTCTTCAGCTTAGTTGAATTAACTTTACCCAGCGATGAAGAACCTGGTGTTCGTGATCCACCTTTATCAGCATTGGGTGGTGGTGGAGGAAGGAAAGTTAGATTAAGTGAACCTGGTCCACCAAGAGGGTCAACACCTGCTGTATCAGATGGAGGAGAAGAAAGGGAAAGAGACAGGAGGAGAGAACAGAGGAGAATCGGCACGCCAGCTAATGATAGAGAAAGACATGTCGAAAGACAGAGAAGAGATAGTATGAGGGCTGAAGGAAGAAATAGACCGATGACTGCACCGCCGCCACCAGGAGGTCCACACATGGTGCCTGCACTTAATCCACATAGAAACTCGAGGGGTGCTCCAGCATATGCTCCTACGCCAGGATACGCATATGTTAATCCTTATTGAGATTAATGATCATCAACTTTCAAAAGGAGAAGAGAGAACAAAATTGAAGAAAGAACAGATGATTTCAGCTGGGCGTGTATGATTACCACAATTCCATGGATAGGGATTAATGATACCAGGCACAGCTGAAGTTATCGAGGCCAAAAGTCAGGCCTAGCTAGCATAGCCACTCTGGCATCATCTCCTGGTTTCACGCGGATGATCATCATGGATTCCTGGATTTTAGTCGAAAGTTTATCTCAACGTCTTATTATCCTCAGATTATCAAGTCTATTTATCTCATTTGTACATACCATCTCACGAATTCGGAATATACTCTGTTGGATGTTACATTACACCTCAATACAGTTACATTATTTATCTCACCACCCATCAGATTACATCTCATCTCATCACGATTTCACACTTCTCACAATCATTACGACTACAACATAACATAACACGTCTCTACGAACCTTCCAGGAAACTTACGACGAAAAGATTGGTACGGGTCTGGCTTTTTTGCTGTGGTGCATTCATTTCCATCTAGTTGCAGCATATTATCTGTCTATCTCTTTCCAGGAAAGGCATTATATCTTATCTATCTATCCAGCATATTAGCGTCAGTCATGGTTATGTTATCCGTCTGCTTTTGGAGCTTGGTGGGATAGGGTGGGATCTTTGTCGGGTTTTTGGTGGTTTGCATTTCATATGCATTTCGTATTTGGCTTGATGGAATGATATCTTTATGGATTCGGGAGGAAGCTTGTGGGATTGGATTACTTTGTGCATTCGTTCATTCATTCGTACTTGTACATATTATCAATGATGAAAATTTGAAAAAGTAATATTGTACTGGTTGGCATTGTCAGATTTCTGTGCTTGTACTCATGTATCATCCAATCGTCAAATCATTTCCAAATTCTACAGGGGAAGAATATTTCCCAACGCACGCACACATGCATCACGGAATAACCACGTCACAGATTGCTACTCCTCAATACTACTCTCAATGGTGACAAATCTTCGAGATTAGACACACCATTCTTACTTCTATGCTCCCTGCTCCATCCATTTTGACCAACATTCTTCATTCATCCATGATGTATCTCACCTCCCGTCCAAGATCCACTTCTCCGGATCGCCTCCACAGGTTTGTCTAGCACTCCGCATAGCGCTAATATATGTGAAACAGCTTGGGGAACACATCATCATTATTTGGTTCTTGGTATTCTGCTCTGTGTTTCGACAAGCATGCAATGAAGACAGACAGGTAGGCGTGGGCTCGTGGGGTTCTGTACTGCTTGAAGTGTGAAGTGTGAAGTGTGAAGTGTGAATAGTATGTACAGTGTATCATGTCACTTATTGATAGTTTGATTAGTTCATCTCTTCTTTTAGCTATGTGTTTGAGGTTTTGGAAGGGTTTGGGAATTCTTGTTGATGGTGACTTTTCAAAATCCCATTTAGCTACCTACCGACCTATAAACAACTTCTTAATACGAGATATAGAATATTAACTCCTACTGTGTAGATAACTCTAGAGTAGATAAATTACATCATCAACTTTTTACTTACTTATATAGGTATGTAATATGATTCTTCTTTGGATAGGTTTGTAACTCTTATTCTATTTACTCTACATGCTTGATGAAGTTTATGGAGTGGTTATTTGTTGATAAATATATCAAATTTTCTAGGGCAGATGGATTCTTCGAAGATTTTATGTGTTCTCTTATCAAACATTTTACTCTCCTACTTATTATATTCCTTCTTATGTCATCTCACGCCCCCTTGCGCACTTCTTGAGTCTTCTTCTCTAACACACATCATTGAACCTCAAACCCCTGAACCCGAAATATAAGAGATATCGCATAACTCTCCACTAGGTTCACACCATCTCACATCAACAACGAGACTTATGGTAATGATACACACATCTACGTATATCCACCTCTATATCCCAGTGATTCCACCCATCTATACCAGACTCTTCAAGTCCAGATTCCTTCACTCACCTCATCATCACACTCACTCATCCATCTTGTCGCTCCCAGCCATCTCATCATCCAACCGTTCAACTATATAACACCAAAACCACAAAACACAACACAGATTCACCCTATCAATCTATATTATACGTTTCAATCTCACTCTCATCATCTTTGCTTTACTTCCTCCCCTCCTTCCTCTTTACCCCTAACCAATGTCCCCCTCCATTTTCACCCCCAACGAACAACCAGCATCCCAAACTCACAAGTACAAACTCCGAAAGCCACCGCATTAATACATGAGTACCATTTGAAAATTCTCTGGACCCTCAAAATCCTCAAAAGTCTCGACATCTTAAGATTCTAAGATTCTAAGACCCAAGATCCCGAGATACCTACCTACCTACCTACCTCCCCACACACTCACCCCATCCCTCACCCTCTCCATCATCCCTCAACTAGATTTTCACACCCACCTTCTGCTTTGCATCCAAGTTCAATTCAAGTTCAATTCAAGTTCACATCCAAATTCACATCCCTTTCAAATCCCCATCAAGATCCAAGTTCATCACTTCACAGTAAAAAGGAAAGAAGGGAAGAAGAAAAGACAATCAAAGGTAGAACGATAATAATGTATTGTACTGCGTAGCACGATGTAGGATAGCCTTTGTGAGATTCCATGTATATAAACAAAGAATGTCGATAGGAAGATAGATTCGTAAGACTGAGTCTATCGTTCGTTCGTTCCTATGAATAAATTTTTGACTCACCTTCCATAACTCAATTCTCTTCTATTTTGTCTCAAGAGATATTCTCTTATTGTAGCAACTATGGTTGAAGTTGGAGTTGGAGTGTCAGTAGGTATGTAAATACAGAAATACATATAGTCAGACATGAATTAATTAGACATTAAATTGAATAAGATACAAACAATAACAACAAATCATAGCAAAGAATCATGTAAGCAAGGCATGAGGAAAAAGATTAAAATCTTGATATAACGAATTTTAGTTTTGTTTCGTGTCAACAACTTCCGTCTATCCTTAACCATTCATCCACTCGCTCATCCATGCATTAGGCCATCAAGTTCATTAGATCAGACCTGTGTATGTGTCCTTGCCCCCTCCCAACTATGCCCCCCGCCAGCCCCAACCACCAACCTTCCTCACACATCTAACTGAAGTGATGTAATACGTTAAGTAGGTAATCTAAGAAGTTTCCTCAGCATCCTCCTTAGCGGCAGCAGTTGCATCAGCAGCTGCATCCTTTTCACCCTCCTTGATCAATTCGACTTCGTTAGCTACAGATCCACCCTCATCTGCACCAGCAGTAGCCTTAGTTTCGCCATGACCATGACCATTAGTGGCTGGGGTTTCTGAAGCTGGGGTTGCAGCTCCGGATTCTTCGGCCTCAAGTTTCTCAACTTCCTTTTGGGCTTTCTCGATGTTCTAATAAAATTGTTAGTTTATTGTAAAGTGTTTCGTAAAAGAAAACTTACGCGCTTAGTTTGAGCAGCTTGGTCCTCCTTCCAGTGAGCCAACTTAGCCTTAACTTTCTCGGTAACAGCTGGAACATCAGCAGCGCTGAAAGGTGGGTCAATTCCCATCTTAGCGAGATCCTCCATAACAGCTGGTGGGCAACTGTATTTTGTTGAAGCAGGGGTAGAAGTAGCTGCAGCATTCTTCTTATTACCCTTCTTTCCCTTCTTGCCTCCAGTTCCCTTCATGAAATCTTCCTCACGGTCTTCCTTCTTCAAGACTCTAGTTCCCTTGAGTCCAGAATCATCAACAGTTCGTCCAGCGGCGGCTTCAAGTCCAGAAGGAGCTTGTAAAGGTGCCTTGGTTGTGGTGTAAGTTGGGTCGAGATATCGGAGAACTGATTCGGCATTTCTAATTTCGTCAAGGTAGGCAGGGTCACTGGCCTCTGCGAGCATCTTTTGAGCGCGTTCCTTCTTTGCCTCAGTTTGTTTCTTCTCCCACTCAAGCTTTGATCTCTCACGAGCCTTTTGGCGTTGGTTGTAATCGTAGTTACTAGCAGCTCGAACGGCTTGGTAATGATCATCCTTGATCTGTCTCAAAGCAAGCCATTTCTCTTGTTGCTCAGCTTGAAGTCTATCCTTCTCGGCCTTGAGGGCACCAAAGTTCTTGAAAGCATCATCTTGCTCGGCCTTCAAGATATCCAATTCACCTTGAAGCTTTGAGTATTTCTCGGATAATGCCTTGCTTTCTGGATCGTCGAGGGAGTCTTGGAGATTCTTTCTCTTGGCCTTTAATGCTTCAATCGACTTTTCGGTATCATCGAATCCGGCAAATCCCTTACGCTGCTTGCGAAGGTTGGAGATTTCGGTAAGAGTCTTACGCTCATCAACGATCTTCATGGTAGCAGCATCAACTTGCTTTTGTAATCTGTCGATTTCTCTGTCCAATTCGTCGACATTCTTGAATCCAACCTTTCCCTTGGCAACCTTCTGTTCGTTAACTTTGGCCTTGATTTGTTCATCAATCTTCTTGATTTGATCGAAAACTTGTAAACGACCAGCCTTTCCAGCACCTTGTTGTTCCTTGATTTCCTTCAATTGACTGATTAAATCATTTCTTCGTTTGGCAGCCGGTGAGTCCTTGTTCTTGTTTGGTTGCGTAACGTCCAATTTTGCTTTTGCGGCAGCCTGCATGAACTCATGTTAGATCTTTTGCAATGAACAATGCAATGCAGTATGCCGATGCGCCATAAGAAACAAGGTAGATTTTTTACTTACAGCCTTTTCTTGACTCTGCTTATGATCCTTCTCGGCTTGAGCTAACTTTGCCTTGAATGCAGCCTCATCTGGCTTGACTGGTCTGGTTTGGACATCTTTCTTGGCTCCCTCATCGACCTTGGTCGCAGAAGGAGAGGATTTGGTATCAGCCATTTTTTTCTTCTTCTTTCTCGGCGGCGTGATTATGACAAGCCACTGGAAATGTAATGAACAAGTAAATGGTCAATTAACTTGACACCAAAAGAAATAGAGAATATAACAGTTTGAGGAAAAGGACACAGTATTATATCTGTACTTATAGAAAATGAGTATGAGTATAAGAAAAAGGTAGAGGGTATTCCGGTAGATAGATTATAAGTTAGTTTGACCAGGTTAAGGGAAAGATTTATATTAGTAAATTATTCTTTTTTTAAGTTGTGGGATGACAGGTAGCTTTTTAATTGGCTCGAGGGGTTCTATTGGCTGTATTAGCTGTATTAGCTGTGTTAGCTGTATTGGCCGTGTGAACTTATTGAATTAACTTTGAATAAACTAATGAAAGCAGATTGGGGGGATTATTATTAGTCAGTGATTATTGTTATATACTACGAGTAGACCCTGCTTTGTACAGCTCTCTTGGATAAGTACCGGTATAGAATCAATTCAGGACAGTATGGTGACCTTGAAGTTTATGGTTTATGATTTCTGGTTGTATGGTTGTATGGTTTCTGGTTTCTGGTGTCTGGTGTCTGGTGTCTGGTGTCTGGTGTCTGGTGTCTGGTTTCTGGTTTCTGGTTTCTGGTTGTATGGCTGTCTAATTGTCCAATTATCTAATTGATGTCTTCGAGTTTGTCTACCAGGGAAGGCTAGTAGGTCGAGGATGCATATCTACCGGCTAACAAGTAGTCAAAGGGGGGTCTGGATGAGGGGAGAAATAGGTGAAATAAGTGAAATAAGTGAACTGATACCAGAAGAAGAACCCCTTTTAGCATCCAAATATCTTAGAGAATCACCCAAAGACATCACATAACTAGCTACTGAGTAATTCCATAAGCAATCATGAATCAATGTCGGTCTAACAAAAGTTCAAATTTCAGTCAAGACAGTACGGTACAGTCTCTATCATCTCTGTAGCACAGTCTATCATCTCTATAGCACAGTCTAACAAGCCACGCGGCAAGTCGGGCAAACCAGCCTCAAATATCATGTGACTTCCCCATACGTTTGCACTTCAAGTCTGCTTGAACTTTTTTTGAGCCACTAGCGCCAAAATATTTACAAAGGGCCCTTGACTGAATCAGATCTTCCATCAACAAGTTAAGTCTACAATCAACTTCCCACCATCTTCCTCTTGTCTCATTTCAGGATTCCTTGTAGGACAAGATTCTTCTTCTTTGCGCGATTATCTTAGGACCTTGCAATTTAATCTTCCTTTCTTGTACTACCGATTACCTGAATCTTCAAAATGGCTGACGACGAGGATCGCGCGCAAAAGCAACGGGATGGAATTGATAGAGAGGCCGCAAAGCTATGGAGATGTTATAGAACTGTACACGAGATGGTCCAGGATCGGGGTTACCTTCTCGCTGAAGAGGAAGTCAACATGAGCTTTGATACATTCAAGAGCAAGTTTACCAGTAATGATGGAAGTGTTGAGTATGCGCCCTTTTTTTCCCTATCTCTTTAAACTTCCTCGACACGTACAGGCCTCTATATTCCCGCATGGCATTCCATGTCTTCTCAAATCTCATGGACTAACAATTGACCTCCTTAGTCGTCGCCAAATGAACTTTTCCGCGACCCCAAGTGAAGCTATGATTGCCAAATACGCAGCTGCGCCCACCGCAGAGAATCCAAACCCAACCACCTCAGAAATTGGTACTATCTGGATTGAGTTTCTCATGGTAACTGATGTTTCCATTGGAATCAAGCAAATGCGAACATTCGCCCAGCATCTTTCTCAACATAACTTCTCGGCTGGAATTCTCATCGCACCTGTTGCACCATCAGGTCCCGCTCAGAAGATTATTCCCGCTGTCGCATCCGAGACCAGAATCGAGACCTTCGTCGAGCAAGATTTACTTGTCAATATTACACATCATGAATTGGTTCCCAAGCATGTTCTATTGAGTAGAGAAGAGAGGGCCAAGTTGTTGTCAAGATATAGATTGAAGGACACTCAACTTCCACGTATTCAAGCTGCCGATCCAGTCGCGAAATATTTGGGATTGAGAAGAGGGCAGGTTGTTAAGATTATCAGAAAGTCGGAAACTGCTGGTCGTTATGCCAGTTACAGATTGTGCGTATAATGGAGCTGGAGGATAGATGATTTGGTGTTAATAACTAAGGAGTTTATTGGGAAAATTGCATATCTGGGAAAGGCGTAATAGGATGGAAGAAAGACTGAGGATGAGATTGTCTATTTTGGCTTTCCAGGAGGCAGTACATTTAGACACGAAATTTGATATGAAATTTTTTGCTCTGTATATTTCTGATAGTTTCAGAGCTTTTCAACAAGATCTATTCTACAGTTTTAAAATTTTAGGCTCACCCTTTGACAACCATATGAAGCGTTCCTTTCCAGTCATTCCCGAGCTAGCCTAAAAGCTGACTATCAATATCATCTCCGTTATAGGTTATTTGCAGAAGGGAGATACAAACATCCTAAAACCTCCAATATCATTAAGACTCCCTGCTCCCACGTTTCATCGCCTAGTTTATAACCTTAAGGTATTCAAGGCTGTAAACTAGTATTCATTACTCCTGTGCTGGTAGTCGCATCAAAACGGCCTGCCAGACTTTCATCCAGAAGAGAACTCTCGACAATTTCATGGCAAAGAAGGATTGTAGATAATACATTAATCTTCTTCTCGATTCGTCTATACTTACACCTCTTCCCCCTCTCTAGCTCTTTCTATGTGGTGTAATAAAGCTTCGAGATGGGTTCCAAACGTGATTTGGTATGAACGTCTGCATTTGCTTTGTAATTTGAATGGATTCTTGTTGTATTCTTCATGTAAGTTTTGCTATGTTGAGTGATTCCACCCAATCACTCACCATGGTATAATGGTTGTTATGATATGATATGATCTTGATTTTGGATTCCCTTCCTGTTCAGAATGAGATGGATGAACTGTATGAATTACTCTGTGGGTGGAAGAAGCTGAATATATGAATGTCAGATCAAAAACTCTTTTGAATATGGGTTTGATTGTAAGGTAGCCTCAAATGCCATGACAAGTATCTATCTACCTTCTAGCTAACTAGGTAATTATCAGCTTTACCACCAATAGCATCAAGGAGTTGGTGTGATGATGAGTGTGAATAAACATTCATGTCTGTGATTGGTTTGTCACTAAGGCACAAACTCGGATACTCGGATTATCAATTGTTCCGACAGACAAGACGTTCAGCATTTAATTTTTATCATCATTTGCGACTGAAAGACATAGCTTGATTTTGCGCCAATTCAATATTTTCCTTAAATCCATTTTTCAATCAACCCAATTATTTGAAAATGGGTCAACGTGGAAAGGTAAGCTTACAACTCCCATTTCTCAATTGATATAATCAAAATATCTAATATTTAACAGGGAGGTCGTGGCGGCAGAGGAGGACGAGGTGGTAGAAATGGTGGAAGATCAAGAGATAATCAAGTCGACAATCGATGCAGCTTTGAAAAAGTTCCAAAATCCAACGAGAAATTCGAAAGATATTACAATGAGCTTTTGAATTTGGACGAGGCAGAGAAAGAGGAATTCTGGGGAGCGTTGAAGAGAGAATTACCAAATAGTTTTCGATTCGCGGGGTCAAAAGGGTGTGTTGCTCAATAACCTTGATTATGACTACTTAAAACCAGTGTTCTTGGCCTGGTGAACTTTTCTAACAATCTATAGTCATGCGATTGCGGTTCAGAAACAATTAAAAGAACGGTACATTCCTGAGATTTCCGAAATCAAGCAATTCGATGGTAGTCCGGTTGAACCTCCAATGCCAGTTCCATGGTATCCCGATGAACTTGCATGGTCGATGAAGACTTCGAAAACTGTCATCCGAAAATCTCCTCCCTTTGCCAAATTCCAGAAATTCTTGGTTTCAGAAACCAGTGTCGGAAACATTAGTAGACAGGAGATTGTCAGTATGATTCCACCTTTGGTTATGGACTTGAAGCCTGGAATGACGGTTTTGGACATGTGTGCTGCGCCAGGAAGTAAAGCGGCTCAATTGTTGGAAATGGTACATCATGGAGAGGAAACTAGAGTTCAAGCAGTTTTGAAAGGAGACGGAAGCGCAGATGCAGAATTGGAGCTTGATCCAAGTGATGATGGAAGAGCTACAGGTTTATTGATCGCCAATGATGCCGACTACAAAAGAAGTCACATGTTGATTCATCAACTCAAACGACTTTCATCCCCCAATCTTATCGTTACGAATCATGACGCTACTATGTTTCCATCAATCAAACTTCCACCTACGCCAGAAAACCCAGCAACCAACCGATACCTTAAATTCGATCGAATTTTGGCCGATGTACCTTGTTCTGGAGATGGTACAACTAGAAAGAATGTCAACTTGTGGAAGGATTGGAATCCAGGTAATGCACTTGGACTTTATGTCACACAAGTTCGCATTTTGGTTAGAGCTCTTCAAATGCTCAAGGTTGGTGGACGTGTTGTCTACTCTACTTGTAGTATGAATCCTATTGAAAACGAGGCAGTCGTTGCTTCCGCCATTGAAAGATGCGGTGGACCTGAGAAGGTTAAATTGGTGTCTAGCGATGATCAATTACCTTTACTCAAGAGAAGACCAGGTTTGAAGACTTGGACTGTCATGGACAAGAAAGGTCGTGTTTGGAAATCCTGGGCTGAATTACAAAAGTTCATTGCAGAAAATGGACAAGATGACTGGACTGGTAGATTAGTTGAGGGAATGTTCCCACCAACTGATGAATCTATGTCAAGTGTTCCTTTGGATCAATGTATGCGCGTTTACGCACATTTGCAAGACACTGGTGGTTTCTTCATCACAATTTTAGAGAAACATGCAGAGTTCAAAGCAAAGCCAGAATCGGAAAACAAAAAGATTGCACCAAAACCCCCAATCACAGCAATTGTTGATGAGATCGAGTCTGCTCCTGCTCCAAAGGATGGTGAGACTGTCGCACCAAAAATTGAGGCAGCTGATGAACTTACTCACCCTACCACATCCACTCTCGACGAAGTTACACCTGTAGCACGTCAAAACCAAGACCAACCTGGATCTGATGCAACACACACTGTTGGTACTAAGCGTCCTGCCTCAGAGATCGAAGACACCGAAATGGATGCCGCTATCGAGAACAAAAAACTAAAGACGGAAGATACCGAAATTCATGCACCCACCGAGGGTCGTACAGAACATTACCCACCACCACCAGGTGCAGAGCTGGATCTTACAACTCGTCCAGGCGATCAACGCGCCGATGCTCCACCCAAGAAACTTCTCAACAAGTACGGTCAAAATCAAGCATTTGAAGAGGCATTCAAATATATTCCCGGTGACCATTCTCAAGTTCAAGATATTGAATCATTCTACAAATTGAGCGAGAAGTTTCCAAGAGATAGATTCTTGGTTAGAAATGCAATTGGTGAACCAGCCAAGACCATTTACTACACAACTGCGTTGATTAGAGATATCTTAAGTGAGAATGAAGGCAAGGGAATAAAGTTCGTCCATGCTGGTGTTAAAATGTTCATGAAACAAGATGTACAAGGCGAAGGTGTTTGCAGATGGCGTATTCAATCTGAAGGTATGCCAATTCTTCAAGGCTACGTTGGAGAGGGAAGAGTTGTCAATCTATCCAAGAAAGAGACACTTCGTACTCTCTTGATTGAGATGTTCCCTAAAGTATCAGGCGATTCGTGGAAGGAACTTGGAGAGATTGGAGAACGAGTCAGAGATATCGGAATGGGATGTTGCGTTTTGAGAATTGAACCAGGTGAAGGTGAAGATGCTTTTACCGAGAGAATGGTTCTTCCTTTGTGGAGAAGTTTGCACTCGCTTAATTTGATGTTGGCAAAGGAGGATAGAAGTGCTATGTTATTGAGAATTTTTAATGACACCACACCTTTGGTTAATAATTCAGTGGGAGCTCAAAGGGAAGCAGAACTTAAGAAGGAAGGAGAAAACAAAACTGAGGTCGCTCCAGGATTCAAGGTTGAGAATGGGGAGATTAAGGTTGATGTTGATGGTGGATTAGAGGGTGCTGCTGCTACAGAAGTAAAGAAAGGAGATCAGAGAGATGGAGATGTACAAATTCGAGAGGGACCTTACGATACGTTGGTTGCGGGTGTAGAGCAGGTAGCTAACAGAGGTGTGGATGTTAAAGCCGAAAAGATTGAGAAGGGTGAAGAGACTGGTGGATCGGAAGTACAAATGGGTGGTATGGGTGGAGTTGAGGGCCAGGAGGGTGGAGTCGCTTAGATCTTGAGAGGAGGAATCCAAAATGAGTAGATTGATTGATTGATGGACGATGCGATGGATTGGGATGGTTGTAAAATGGCGTTATTATTTTCACATGACGTGTATATTCACGAGCTTGGGAGAAAGGAATAGTTGATGAATCTTTAAATAGACAAATTGAGTTAAATTGTACATACGATTTTTTGGGTTGTTTGGTTGAGCAGTGTCACATCTCCGTCGCAATCTTCCAAATTTTAATGAGATCTTTAGATAGCTTGTTTGGTACTCTATGCATATATCACATTACTCGTACATTGCATTTGGTCGGCAAAGATAGTGGACACTGGACACTGGACACAAGCAGCGAAGAATTCGTGGGTGCCCATCTATTATTTCATTGGTCTTGGTAGCTGTGTATTAGTATCATGTGGTATTCGGTATGTGTATGTAGCGGGAAATATGAAATCTGGGTAGGTAGGGCTGGAAGCGGAGGCGCAGGCGCAGGTGTGAGAGAGGGTGTTTAAGTAAGCATGGACGGAGAAGAAGAGGATTACGTGTTACACTTTGTATTTTAAGCAAGGAGATGGAAATGGAAATGGAAGTGCAGATGTAGATGTAGATGTAGATGAATTTGAAAGGAGGTTGTGGTCATGATTTGAGAGGATTTGATTTGAAACTTCTCAAGCGCGGATATGTATAGATGTATATGAGGATCAAGGTAAAATTCCTTACATATATATACTTGATGAACCTATAAGCTATGAGCTATGAACTGTAAATTATCACTACCCATCTTCAAAACAGGATAAATATAAATATAACTATAGATCGCGTTCTTGGAAGTCGAGGTGCGCCATCTAGATTGTGTTGTGGAGTCTCGAGAAGTATTTATTAGACAGGACTTGTGCGGTATGATATTCGCATGCCGGGTAGGTTCTTACTTTAAGGAGGGAGATCCTTAGGGAAGGAAAGGGGATGGGATGGGATGTTTTGAAATGTTATAGGAGTTTGAGTGGGTGGATGGTGATGTGGATGAGGATGGGGTATATAGTTCTTCATGTTTATCGCGAGTGAAGTAGGGTAATTTTGTTCACCATTCTTTTTTCTCTTCTCCTTCAATCCTTCGTTCATTCATTCATTCCATCACTGATCCATCAAGTTCTTCTCTTACCCCCTCACAAGCAAGGACACATATCTATTCAAGTGCTATCTCAATTCTAATTCAAATCTCTCATTACATTCCTTTATCTCTCTTCTTCTGCCTCGGGAATTTCGGTCTTAGAGAAAAAGGTACGTCTTGTACTACACTTGTACGTAACCCTTCTCATCCTCTCTCTCGCATGATCTCTCCATGTTATAAACTCCCCGGACACACACACATCCCGAATCCCAAATACCCACACACACACACACCATCCTCCCATCCCCTCCCAACTAACCCCCTCACCCCTCCCAGGAAGGCACCTCAACCCGCACCTCCACCCGCTTCCCCATCTCCGCTCCTATCCCAGCCCCCCCTCCACTCAATACTGCATCTCCAAACCCGTCAACCTCCTACCAGCACAGCAGATCTTTATCTCAACACCTCCGACAACTGCACTGCCGAATCAACAAATGCATCACTAGTTTTCATACCAGAAACAGCAAAGCGCAGTCCAACATCATATGAAGCATCGCCAACTCGCATAATCTTATCAGCGCTAAAGACAATACAGAGAAGGGTTTTCCAACTCACGAGTGGGAAAGATGTACATAGTGCAAGCGGATGTTGCGAAGCTAAAGAGGGGTTCCCGTATATCTCCGGCGGGGAGGATAGAATGGGAAATCAAATCAACAAGAAGGAGGGTTTGATTGTTCGGGAGTGTGGATTTGGAATTTCTATATTATTTTGTGTATGAATATAAATATGAATATAAATATGAATATGAATATGGATATGGATATGGATACATGTGATGAACCAACAATAAAAACAGATCTATGTAACACAATACGCGATATTCAAAGCGGGAAGATATGGTATTCATATATTCTCTCTCTCTCTCTCTCTCTCTCTCTCTCTCTTACTTCCTCCTCCCTTTCTATCAACTAAGTTCCAACACCCCATCTCACCCCATCTCACCCCATCTCACCCCAGCCCGACTCCAAAACCATTCTCCCCTCAGAAACGCATTCCCCCGTCTAAATCAAAATAGACGATTGTACATCCATGTTTCATATTCTGGGACACAAATGGTGATTATGTAGATAAAGTACATCATGTGGGTATCTTTATCAGGAGTAATTGGATGGGATGGTGAACGCGCCGCTATGGGAAGTTTGGTGGGGGAAAATATGTTTGAGGGGAGTAGTGTGTTGTGTGATCATATGGTGAGGGTATGGAAGGATTGGATGAAGTTTTGGAGAAGAAATGGGGTTGATTTGTTGAGAGGTATATGCGTGAGTGTAAATAAAATGTAGTTTAGGGTTATTCGTACGGATGAAAGATGGACTATTTCTGTGATTGAAATACGCTTCTCTCTCCAAATGTATTCTTTACTTATGCCTTATACTCTTCAATTTGATTAGGGATGAACTTCAACCGCTAAATCAGTAATAGAGTTCGCACCATCTACAGTATCTATTAACAGTCGCATTCTCAAAGCACCACGACCCGTCCCTTGCCAGGTAATTCATGTACATCATGATGTTGATAGCCTATCCATTTAAACAACGTATGAAAATGGTATTGCAGATGAAAGTCTAACACTCAAATCACAGCTATGAGATAAACACCTTAACAGTACAAATCCAACGACTTGACATTCACAAAAAGAAACCATACAAGTGACTGAACAACACCTCTCCAATCCCCATCCAACATCAATTCCAAAGCACAAAACCACCCAACATAAGATTACTTCGAAAACACAAATAGCTAACTGTCTGATACAAGGAAGCAAAATCATTCAAATCCCTGATGGAAAAAAAAGACTGGATAGTGCAATTTCATATAAATTCATTAAAATACATCTCAAATCCCTCGTCTTTCACAGCTCCTCAATAAATACAAAGTGCCTCCTCCCGTTCCCGCTCCTGTAGACTTCGTTAAGATTCAAGGCTGGGACCTACATATATACTTCACCATATAAACATATCTACAACCCAAAAGAAGCGTTGTCAAAGTCCAGGAATTATATACTAATATAATGCACCCTCAACTAATATAAAAGCATCATCGGCATCAGATTGATAGATTTTTACTTTGTAAAATCTCAGCACTAGCTTGTGAAGATTGGATACCACTCGCAACGTTTCAAGTACACAGTGAGAATGAACTTGATGTTGCCTTTCTGAATTGAGTAACTAGTATATCTCATTGCGCAGTTTATTCACAGGAATTCATGGCTCAATCACTTCAAATCTGCATTCAGAAACTTCTTGCAGAAGTGATACATCTCTTGGGTTTATTATTTTCTCAATTTGAAAACAAGCACGATATGTAAAGATCGAGGGACTACAGTGGTATATTCAAGAATTTATCGATATGAAGGGGCTGATAGAAAGTTAGACGATATTTTTGTTTCACATTGTTGTAGATAGGCTATAGAATGAGACAGCGAGACGATGTACGTATAGTACAAACATTGAGTTCAACAATGTCACACACTATATATAGGCTAAGCCAGGTGTGATGGTATTGGTCGCATTTTATCTACTAATATAGGCGACCTTGTAAAGGATTTCAAAAGCCCACAAGTGGTAAACAGGGCCGAAAGGGCAAAGATATAAGAGAAAAGTGCTAAAATGACAAGATCGGGACAGAATGAAATACACACCTGTACCCTCAACCAGTCACCTTTCAGATTCGCTTATGGAGACCGCAGAATTCAAAATACCGCGTCAATCTCCACAAAGTATTATCAATGTATGCTATAGCCAAGAAAATGTAATGGGGAGTTTTTGGCAATGGACTCGGCCATGTCTGATTGAGTAACAAATTGAAATTGCCACATACATCAAACCTTCACATTTTTTCCGCGACACATCCAAGCAAAGTGGTTGTTGGAAACTAATGAATAGATGACGAAAGAATAGATGTGATATGGTAAGAGTCAGTTTCTGAAAAAGGCATAATTTTGATAAATTCGTGTCCCCCACGGCTGAGTGCAGGTGCAAGACAGGGACTATTAAGATCAATCTTGAGTAGAGATATGAAATGTAGTTGGGATTTCGAGGCGAAATCTTCTATAGTAAGAAGACTTCATACCGTGAACTCTCCTGCGTATGAGTCCTGTATGGGGCATACGATCGAAAGCCCATCCCAAAGGCGAATAATCATTTGCGCCCGAAACGTAGTCTAAAGGTAATCCGAAGTACTTGTTATGTTTTACTCGTCCTTCTTCCCACATTTGCTCGTAAAAGGCTTGCTCGTCGTAGAGCGCGGGATTCTCAATGTCAAGACCAAATGTGTCGATCCCAGTCTTCTGGACAAAATCTTTCCACATGTATGGACCGCTACTAACCCATGGATCTGGGCTGAAGCCGATAGTATCAGCGATGTGCATGAAATCTTCCTTTATGATCCTTCTACCCCAACCATCAAGACAAGATGAAGGCCACCAATGAGGTTTTGGGTTCCATCTGGCTTCCGTCAATAACGATTGGAACGGAACAGTAGCTATGGCACTTGTTTCAATAAATTGTCGTACTGATTTCGAAGTATTTGAACAGGGGGTTTTGTATAGCCGTACGGTTTTTATGTTGTGCCCGAGGCGTGGAGGTAAGTCGTGAATGCCCCTCTGTTGTATCTCGAAGTGTTTAGTATCAAACCAGTCATACCCAAGAAATCGACACTCTTCTTTATGTTGAGAGTAGGATCTAACTATTGCCACAGCAACTAAAGCTTCGTTAACTCCTTTCATATCAACTGCCAAAACCACGACGGGATGGCCAGCCATGCCAATGTTGCCATATTTTTTGAGTTCGACGCAGACCAGAGGGTCCAGCTTGCCTACACCAGGAAGAAACAAAATACAGCCAGGCGCAATATCCCAAAGCGGCACAGGGGTACTTTGTAGACGCCAAGGTTGAAACTTTTTGGGGTCATAGTATGGACTGAATATCTTGTTCCATACTTTCGATTTCTGCCATGCCCTCAAAGGAACGTAGTTTTTATCTGTAGGCATAAATGTCGATCTTTTATCCTTCCTCAAATTCCTCAAAGAATACTCAGATATACCTGGACGCACCACATGTCTACGAGTTGAATATGGCGATCTCGGCACATTTTGAAAAGCGTTTCTGGAGTCTCTCAGGATAAACGGTACGCCATGGCCAGTATTTCTAATTGGGACTCTTCTTCGAATGAAGGACCTCTGGACAAGATTTCGGGTCATTGGTGAGCCTTCAATATGGGTATGGTAGATACAATGAACATGTATTTTGGGAAGATATATGTTACGCATAAAACTCGTTCAGGTTTCACGGATAGAATCGCATAGGACGAAGGTATTTAAAATCATGGTCAAGGCTTGTCTGAAAGAGGGCTCTGTATCAGTACATATATTATGAGAGGAAAGTTATAAGGTTAGAGAAGCTTACCAGAGAATTGTAGAATCACTGCGGCTGAGGAAGGTTCATGGGAATGTCGTTGATGGTTTCGAAGGGAGTGTGAAAACGAATAAATAATTTAATGCTTTGTGATCAATTTGAAAATCAATTACATAATAATAAGCGTGATAACAGGCTCTTACCACGATATTTATAAAGAGGTATCCGACTAATAATCCCGACTCAATAAATAATTTAGTTCTAATTAGTCCTGACTGAGTCATTTATGTGACATTTTTAGGGTTTCAATAAAATCTTTACAAAATACTTTCAAAATCTTTTTAAAGCTTTTATATAACAGCTAACGTAGTTTATTAGTATATATACTACTTCAAAAATACATTAAAATCAAGCTTTTCTTAATATTTATGTTTTAATAATCAATCATTATTTTTCCAAAAGAAAAAGATATTTAATAATAATAAAAAATTAAATATTCAAAGATCTAATTTTTATTTAAATATTCTTATTATATTCTAAAAAAAGTTAAAATTGTTATAATTTTCATTACAAAGAAATTCTTTTTATAATAACTACTAACGTAACGTATGGGGAACTCGGACATATGGGGAACTCGGACACTTTTAGCCCATCACCAACTTGAAACCGCAATAACTTTTATTATGCATACCCAATCACCTTCTACATCTGCTCAAATTGAAGAGAAGCTTCAAAAGGCTATAATTTCACTTCAATTGAAAGAATTTAAATCAATTAGAAAGGCTGCAGAGCATTTTGAAGTCCCTAAGTCTACCCTAGCTGATAGGCTGGCTGGGAAGAAAACACGTTCCCAAACCCACGAAATGGCTCAAATTCTTTCAAACGCAGAAGAAAATACTCTTGTACGATGGATTTCACGACTTACCATCACTGGATTCCCTGCTACACCTATGTTGGTGAAGGAAATGGCCGACGAAATTCGTCTTCGACGCGTTCGGGTCGCGTCATCTCGAAATCCTACCTCGACAGAAATTCCACCTATAGGCCACGAATGGATCTATAGATTCCAAAAACGACATCCAGAACTTAAAACATGCTATTCACGTCAATTAGAGTCTAATCGGGCTAAAGAAGCAACTCCGGAGAATATTCAGGCTTGGTTTGACGCGTTTCGCACGCGTCTCATTGAGCGAAAGTATGAATTAGATGATATGTATAATATGGATGAAACCGGATTTGGAGTTGGAAGTACTCAAAGTACGCGCATTATAGTCGATTCTACTCAGAAATCGAATTGGAAAGTTACAGCTGGCAAGCAAGAATGGATAACTGCATTTGAATGTGTCAATGCAGCTGGAAATGCTCTATCACCTATGGTCATTTTCAAGGCTCAGAATACGAATTCTGCATGGATTCCAAAGGACACACCTCAAAGCTGGCAGTTCTCTACTAGTACAAATGGATGGACCTCAAATAGCCATGGATTAGAATGGTTAAAAAGGGTTTTCGAACCAGAATCCAAGAAAGTGTCAGGTGACCGACCTCGACTTTTGATCATGGATGGCCATTCAAGCCATATTACAGGTAGCTTTATTGCTTTCTGTATAGATAATGATATTGATTTACTTATATTACCTCCTCATTGCTCTCACTTGCTTCAGCCACTTGATATTGCGGTGTATGGGCCAATGAAACGATATCATGCTTTAGAGGTCGATCGATATTCTCGAGCTGGTGTAAAGCGAATCCAAAGAGCTGAATGGGTAGAACTCTTTCAAAATATTAGAAAAAAAGCATTGAATTCTTCTAATATTAAAGCTGGCTGGAGAGGAGCTGGTTTAGTACCTTTTGCCCCACGAAAAGTACTCGATTCATTACCATTTAACTCCTCCCAGCAACCTTCTACTCCACAAATGAGAACCCCCAATCAAGACCTAGACTTGTCTATACTCAGGAGTTCTCCTCCAGATGGAACAGAACTAAGGCAAGCAAATCAGATCTTTAATACAGCTCTAGCAAGCAGTGGTTCTCCTGCATCGCCAACTCGTCGATATGCCAAGAGAATGACTAGGCTTGTAGAATCTCAAAATGCTGAGATAGCCCTACTTCGGAAACAGCTCTCTGATGCTCAGGAGGTAATTGAGACTCGAAAGAAAAGAACTAAAGGCAAAAGAGTCAAATTACAAGGTCAATTTGTCTTTAGTACTAAGGAAGTATTGAAAATGGTACGTGAGGCGGAGGAAAAACCGAAGGAGAAAAAGCCACGAGGACGGCCACGCAAACGCCCAATTGAAGAATCAGAAGAAGAGATTGAAGAAGAAGAGCTAGAGAATAGTTCAAGTGATTCGGAATTGGAATTGGAGGATTGTGTGGCTCGTAGAACAAGATCGCGTGTAGAATAATTGAAAAAGTGTCCGAGTTCCCCATATGTCCGAGTTCCCCATACGTTACGTTATAACAATTCGAATTTTCAATTTATTATAAGAAATTCATAATATTTATATATTTAAATATTATATATTCAATTTTCAGAAAATTCTATTTATAAATAAAGAAAGTATAAAGTTATATATAAAAAGAATAATATATATATATTACAGGAGCTGCCTCTAAGGTCACGTGAAAATGTCTAGAGTTCTTTCGAGGTAGTTTAATTTAAACTTCAAGTAGGAATTCAATAAGGTTGTAATTGATTGCAATTCTTGTAATTATAATAATGAAACTAATAATTGTTCTTGAGCATGAAGCTCTACATTATAATGAAACTTATTTCTTTATATAAACCTTCGTTCCCTATCCTATTCCTTAAGACCTTCATATAGACTGGATCGCTATGGACCTCACTGCGCTCCAGAAGCGCTACAGCTCCTCGACGCTCCGTCACCTGTCCATAGTCATGTGACGCGGTACTTCGTAAGGACCGTCGTAACAATATACTAATTATCATGATATACATGTGATCGCATTCGATCAGACTAATACAACATTAAGCTCCAAATCAATCACATATATAGCTTTATAGCATATTCTCTTTAATTCTATAGCTTTTAATTTTAAAATTGGGTTTTAAATGTTTATTAGATTTGTTATGTTATTAAAAGCTTTTTTAAATAAAAAATGAAATAATATTAGTATATATTTATAAATAAAGCTTTTATGTATACTTTGCTTACTTTTGTTTAAATATATCACTTCTATTCTTTTATTTATACATGAATCTTTTTAATATTATTCGAAGGTATTGTCTCTTTTCTTACCCTTAATTTCTTAGCTATAGCTCAATTCGAATAAGATCTCAACCTTTCGTAATGAACTTAATATTATTCTTAGAAATCGTTTTTCTTAATAGTTTTCATTATTCTACTTATATTCTAACTTTGTTTAGGTTATGTAGTAATTAGCTGTGTATATAGTAAATAAATTCCTTATATTATCTCACTTTAGTAAATCTAGAGTTTTATATTTATTATAGAATTTATTTCATTTTCAAAATTATAATCTAATGAGTATTAGTAATCTTAATATTCTTAATGTTTTTGATATCTTTTTGAATAAAACTAATTATATTTTAATTTCATTTTGTATTTTATATTAGAATATTCGAATTCTTTTTTATTAAAAGAATTCAATTATATAACGAAAACAAATGTATTTGATATAGAAATGCTTTTTATTAAATATAAGCCTACCCATTTGATCTATATTAAAACGTTTAAGATCGAAAAGAATTTGTTTTAATTATTATATGTATTTTTATTAACTTTTATGATGATAATGATAATAAGAACCTAGATAAAATGATTAATAGTTAATATTTTGAAGATTGCTTAAAAAAGGTATAAGCTTCTACCAACACTTTTCATTTAGTAGTAATGTATTTAGCCTTTTAAAATATTTTATAAAAAATTGATAAAGAAAATGATAATAATTATAATGAAAAAAAGTTTTATTGATTATATTTTGTATTTAAGTTATTTATTTAAAGTAAATTCGAGGCAAACTTTTTAGAAAAAAAGGATAATATCATGGTATACACATGATTGTATTCGATTGGACTAGTATGATATTAAGCTTTGAGTTGATTGTATATATAGCTCTACAGTATACTCTTTTTAGTTCTATAGCTTTTAATTCTAAGGTTGATCTTTAAACGTTTGTTAGGTTCGTCATACTAATGTGATAATATACGTACTAATAAACTACGTTAATCCTAATGATGTAATTAGTCTAATAAGAATATATATAATCCTAGGACCGAAAAATATAAGGATATCCTAATAAAGGGGTTTTAAGGATATAGAACATTTTCAAACCTAAAAATTATTAGGACTCAAAAATGCTAAGAATAATAGAGGTTATCCTTATAAAGGGGATCCTCATAAAAAGGTTTTGCTATACGCGACAACTACAACACCTCTCCTTATGTTGTGATTGTTGAATATTGTGAGTGGTGTATGTAATGTCTATTCGATTCACTTATCAAAATCCAGAAAACGGTTGAACAAAATTAGGTATCATCTCCTTAATAAGCTCAATTGTATGGTATCTCAAGTCTATAAATTCTTTTCCTTCCAGCCAGAATCAAAGAAATCTATCCCTCCCTACCAACGTAGCAGTAGTAAAGTGCCTTCCTGGTCCTTATTCCCTATTCTCAGCGGTAACCACCCCCCCTTTGTTCCATGTTCCATTCACAATGTACTGGTTCCATTTCTGAGCCTCTCAGTCGAACACCTTGTTCATAGCTTGATGCGCCAATTCAACACCCAAGAATGTGGCCGCATTAGCAGGTACAGCTCTCGCCAATGCTGGTCCGAATCCAGGAAAGAATGCCTTGAATCCTCCATTTCTATATAATCCCTTTATAACACCCCCAACAGTTGGTTTTCCTTCCATGGTCTGTAACCTCGACTTGACTGTATCAACTGGGAAAACTGGAATCCACATTGCTACACCTGCGCATGCTCCCGCTCCAGTGATTGCCAATAGACTCAAATCCTTCCCGGGTTTTCCGGTAAGAGGGTCTATAGGAGTTAGACGACGCTTAATGTATTCGTAAGTTGCGAAATATGCAGCACTTCCAGGTCCATCTCTTGCTAGTGTAGCTGCTGATCCTCGGAAGACTGATTTGATACCACCCTCTTTGTAAAGTTGCTTCACGACATCAACACCACCATTGTATTTTGGCTTTTCCCCAGGCGCAAGATCTTTTTGACCTTGAATTTGTAGGAGGACCTTGACACGTTCGAATGGGGCGGTAATGATAGTTTGTGGGATGGCAGAGAAGAAACCAGCTGTACTGATTTGAGCGATTGTGAGGGGTTCGTGAGGAGCAGTGGAGGTAAAGTTGCGCACAAGGTTCTTGCCAACATCAAAACCCCAGAAAGAAACAGCGACTGTTGAGTAGAAAGATTAGTTGTCTGGCCAAGGAACTTCGAAGTCGTACATAGCGAGGAAAAAACAGTCAAGGATAGAGAAAGAGGAAGGAAAATACACATACACATCGGAGTAACACCCACCAGCGGCGCACTCACACCCGCATATAAACCCCTCGCAAGACCATCCTTCGCGACAGATTTCGTAACCACATCAATGGCACCTTTGTAAACCCCTCTTTCCGCAGTTTGTAGACGAACTTTGACCAAATCAAATGGATGACCAACAATAACTGCACAAACACCACCGAAACCTCCAGCAGCCAGTGATCGCAATCCTGCGAATGATTTTTGAACAACAATTTCAGCGTCCTGTTTTAATTCGGCTTTAGATTCAGGGACGTGAGGCAGATGAGGGTTGATGGTGTCAATCTTTTGATTTATTTGAGCTCCTGTAGAGGTAGAACTGGGAGACATGATTGGGAAAGGGTGAGGAAGGAAACTTTGAAGGATTGTGAGAAGATCTATCTGCGAAAGGAATGTTTATTGGAGGGGAATATTATGAATTGAAGCTTGATCGTCAAGAGGGAGGGAGCTATACTGGTGCCGCGCTTTCGAGATTTAAGCCGAGGCAGGCCAAAATCGAGCCAAAATCATGTTGGTCGGCCATCGGCATAAGATATTACCGAGTTTCGGATAGGAGGGAAATTCGGGGCAGTGGAAAAATGTATCGTGTAGTGGTACATGTCGAAATATGACATGCTGTGTGGGATTCTTGAGGATAGAGTCTGACGTTGTCGGAGAATCTAGAGGATGGGAGAAAGGGTCAGATGATAGCAGGAACGATCATGATCTACGAGCATGACAATGAGCATGAAGAAAAGTATTGGATATCATCTTATGTTGTGATCTGGATATATTCGTGGTCTTACTACCCAAGACCACCCTTTAGAAATCCTTTGCAGGTATTCATCAAATTTATGAGAATTTATGGCAAAAGTCTCGGTGACGACGAAGTTGAAAAGATATTTTTGGAATGAAGCATTAAATTCAATTAGACGTTTTGGTTTAGGCGATGACCCCTGAACCATCCCACACACGTTCGAGACAAGATCCTATTCTACGAGTAGAGTAGAAGGAGTAATTTGTTTACCTTGTATCAGGTTCCCATCTAAAAGAGCCTTGGTGAGCCTTATGAGAGAACCAATGATGCACTTTTGATGCATTTTCCAAAGTATGAATACTTTGCAGGTATAATAATATACCTCTCAGCGAAGCACAAAACAAGGTTGGTGCTTGATTGTCATTTATTTATTTATTTATTCTTCACCAGCCGAACAACAAACAACAGCAACGGGAGCTAAAATGATGTGTTCTATTTTCTATTCGGGCAGTCAGTCATTTTCCATTCACACCTTAGCTGTCGTGACGACGAGAGGTCTTTTGGACACTTGAAGTTGCCTTTGCTGCCAATAACTGGGAATTTCCCCTCCCAACGTAACCCCTCTCTCCCCCCCATCAGCATTAGACATACAGACCTAATTGTCTACCAGACAATTTGGAGGTCATTTTTGGAATTACCAGACACCACTCTTGCTCGCTCTTTTATTAAGTGACAGCTTTCATTGATCAATTAAGTTTTCTTTAATCCGAAATTTTCATAACAATTCATTTTGCCAACGTCTAATCACAACCTCAATGGTAATACGTGTACGGCATCAGATGAAGGGATGATCGCTCGAGGGGAGAAGCCCGGCATTGGGCTGCACCCCAGTTCCCGGTGAAGTACCAAAGCACTGCAAAGGTAACTTGGTAAAGCATCATTCAATGATCTGACTCCACTCGAAAACAACACATTATTTGCTATCGCTTCTCTCACCTCCTTTCAACCACTGAACATTCAGTTCAACGTTAAACTACGCATGAATTAACAACCATTCGTGCTATACAACCATGTTTTATATATTTCAAGTGTTCAAATTGATATATATGCGGACTAGGGACATGGTAAAGAGGTAAGATTAATAGTAAGGCAGCTCTCTATTATTATTATTTCTTGAACGTCAATCGTCTCAAGTGTTCATCTTTAAGTTTATTTCGTTCGTTTTACCATTTGTTTAATTTCTCCAATGCCAGTTAATCTTCAACCTTCTGCTGGTACTTCTGGTAGTCTCAGGAAAACAAAATCAAGAGAGGGTACGAGAAGAATGCCGACTAATTCGCGACCTCCCCTATCACATCGGATACGGGCATCATTCGAAGGAAAGAAATCTCAGGATTCTACCAGTTCTAAACATGTGAGCTTCTCCGGTGGTAGTCCATCAGATCCGGAACTCCTCCGACGGATAATCGATGAAGCCATCTCTGGAGATGACTTTCAGGCTGGGCTCGCTTCACATATAGCCAAAATTCTCAAGCCCGAGATTAAAACGGCTTTGGATACGATTGAGCCAGTGGTTAATGCAGTTCTACAACATGAGCTGCTCTTGAAGAGGACCAATAATAGCGTGGACCATGTTTTATTGAAGTTGGAGTCAATGGCAGATGAAGAAGGATCAATAACTCCAGGCCAAGCACGACTTAGTATCCACGGCGCCCTGTCTTCACACCCGGTATCAGAAGGGGGCCCACTGCGAGTACCAGATAATTTGGCCTCTGCGACTGGTACTCCTGTTTCATCTTCCAACCAGGAATCAAGACCCCTCCTCGACCGAGGCCTCACATACACAGCCGGAAAGCTAACTGAAATATCCGACTCGTTGGACTTGAATAATCATAGACTAGGGAAGGTGGTAGAAGGAATAGCGGAGATAAATAATTTATTGGCATCGAATGAACGGCTGGATAGTTTGAAAGAAAGTTCAGACAAGAATGATACCAAGACTTCGGTGATACAAACACAAATAGATCAATTGCAGGAGAATGTTAGGGTGGTCATCACTCGAATTGGTCCGGATCTAGGAGTGAAGGTACAGGCAATCAATGATCATCTGACTGGAGAAACTCCTGTTCAAGAGACGAGGGCTTTGGCTTCCAATGGTAGTGGGGGTGATGTTGAGCTTCTTCAAGCCATTTCTTCTCAATTAGAAGCGTTGAAGGATAGCTTGGAAACAGGAACATCGTCACATAATGATAATTTGCGACTCTTGAAGGAACAAATCAATGCTCTTCAGTCAACACTTGAGGCACAGAAAGAGATATTGGGGGAGATCAAGGAAGCTGATAAAAGTGCTGAAATCTTGGCCGGTATACACAAATCCAACGAGTCACAAGAAGCACATGCCATAGTTTTGGGAGAGCTCAAAGAGAAAAGTACACAGTCTGAGGATGTATCAACTCACCCGGCACCCACATCAGCAGACGCGGAAATACTTCAAACGATCTTGACGGAAGTACAGAAATCCAACGAGGCCCATGAGAAGCATACGGCTGCGCTCGAGAGTATCAAGGAATCGGACACAAGTGCAACCATATTAGCGGAAGTTCAAAAGTCGAACGACTCTCATGTCCTTCATGCATCTGCTCTGGAAAGCCTCAAAAGTATTACTCCACCACCAGAACAAACCAACGCAATCGATCTAGGCCCCTTCGAAACAAAGATGGATAGCTTAATAGACACAAGCACAGCAATTCTGACGGAAGTTCAAAAATCGAACGAGTCACATGTTTCACACACGGCTACATTGGAAAGCATCAAGGCCCTGCCAACTCCACCCTCTAAATCTCCAATCGCAAGTGCAAGTGTGGGTTTGGAAAGCTTGGAGAAGGATATAGGAACTGTTATCGAAAAGTTGGACATGCACGCTGATATTTTGGAAGAAATCAAGACGAAGGATGTTTCTGGGTCCAAAGGGATTGACGCTAGTGCTTTTGATAGCTATTTTGGTTCCATTAATACTTATTTGGAAGCACACACAGCGGCATTGGACGAGATCAAATCGAGAGATTTAGCACCTGCTGATTTCAGTCCAATTATCTCGATGCTTGAAGCTCATACTGCAATCTTGGAGGACATCAAATCGAGAGCTGCAGGAGGTGATCCAGATTTCAGTCCAATAACCAACCTTTTGGAATCTCACACTGCAACCTTGGAGGACATTAAATCGAGAGATTTAACGCCCGCTGATAATGGTCCAATCATCTCAATGCTTGAAGACCATGCGGCAACGCTGGAAGAGATTAAATCGAAGGATACAAGAAGTAATCCGGATCTCAGTTCAATAACTGCTTTATTGGAAGCCCACACTACAGCCTTGGAGGATATCAAATCTAGAGATCTAGCACCTGCTGATTTCAGTCCACTTATCTCAATGCTCGAAGCCCACGCCGTCACTTTGGAAGAGATCAAATCGAAAGATGCAGGAGGCAATCCTGATTTCAGCCCAATAACTGGCTTGTTGGAAGCTCATACTGTCAGCTTGGATGAAATCAAGGCCAAGGACACTACAAATAGCATCAACTTTAGTCCAATAACTGCTCTGTTAGAAGCTCACACTACAGCCTTGGATGACATCAAATCGAAAGAGTTACCACCTGCTGATTTCAGTCCAATTACTGCCTTGCTAGAAGCACACACTACAACTTTGGATGAGATCAAATCAAGAGATCCAGCACCTACTGATTTTAGCCCAATAACTGCCTTGTTAGAAGCTCATACTATCACCTTGGATGAAATCAAATCGAAAGGTTTACCATCTGTTGATTTCAGTCCAATAACTACCTTGCTAGAAGCTCATACTACAGCCTTGGAGGATATCAAGACCAAGGACACCGCGAACAGCGTTGATTTGGGCCCAATCGCTTCGACTCTGGATTCTCACCGTGCAGTTTTAGATGAGATTGTATCAAAGGGTGCCCAATCAAGTAGTGCACCCGCAGCAATTAATATGGATGCCTTCGATACACATTTCGGTTCAATCACCGGTATATTAGCAGCACACACAGCCGCATTGGACGAGATCAAGTCTAAAGATGGTCCTTCCAATGCTTCTACACCTGCAGAGAATACCATCGAAATCCTCGACAAACATTTTGGTTCGATCACTAACATGTTGGAAGCACACACTGCAGCATTGGAAGAAATAAAGGCGAAGGATTTTACACCTACCACTGGACAAACGGAGCTGAACACATCAGCATTTGACGATCACTTTAGTTCTCTAACACGCATGCTAGATTCACACACAGAAGCTTTGGATGAGATCAAATCAAAGAACAATGATTCCACTCCGCCCTCGACATCAAGAGAAAATGTTGGTCTCGACTCATTTGAACCACATGTTACGGCCATTAAGAGTGCACTCGATGCTCACATGGCTGTGTTGCAAGATATAAAGTCCGAGGCTCTTGCCAAAAATGACGTGGATGCAAAGGTAGTAGACAATTTGCTGGAACCACACATCATAGCTATCAAGAGTACATTGAATGCACATACAGAAACTCTGGATGAACTAAAATCAACCATTCTTACTAACAACACAAATTCATCCGAGATTGCCAACGATTCTTTACCTAAGATACTAGTTACCCTTAATAGCCACTCTAATCTACTCACAGAAATAAAGAACGCGGATGTTAGTGATGAGATCTTGACAGCATTGCATGAATTACAGGAAGGTAATTCTGCAGCTTTCAATACTCTCAAGGAATCGGATGTCAGTGATGAGATACTTACTGCTTTGCATACTTGTAACGATTCACAAGAAAAGTTGGATCGATCACTGCTTGAACTCAAGACGGCAGTTGATGTTTCTATCTCTGAAAAAAATGGGAACAAGGCAATTGATACCGTTGAAGCATTCCAACCACCAATTGCTGTTGTAGATTTGAGTGGATTGGAGACTCAGATTAGTGCGGTTATTGTGACACTTGAAGGCCAGAATGTAGTTCTGGGGGAGATCAAGGATACTACCAATGCCGGAATGGAAGCACATGGTTTGCATACCACGAAATTAGGTGAAATCAAGGGTGCAACGAATGCTTCAAATGATTCTCACACGGCCCATGCGGCAGTTCTTGGGGAAATCAGAGACGCATCTAATGCTTCAAACGAATCCCATGGCAGCCATACTTCTACATTAGGAGTCATCAGAGATGCAGCAGCCTCATTGAGTACCGCACACACCACGCAAATTGCCACTTTGGTCGAACTCAAGCAAGCAATAAACTCATCTAATGAATCTCACAGCACCCACACCAGCACACTAGCAGAGATACGAGATGCAGTCACAAACTCATATGACGCAATTCTTACACACACGGCCACTCTAAGTGAACTCAAAGAAGCAATCAATGCATCGAATGACTCTCACACTTCTTACGCTGCTGCTCTGGAAGATCTTAAATCCATACATTCAACACAGTCATTGCCAGATGCTACCTCTGAGCCAACATCGCCACCGGTCCTTGATACAAGCGCACTAGACACCCAGCTTACAGCGATCGTTACGACGCTTGACTCTCAATCTTCAATATTGGGAGAAATGAAAGATGCTCATGCCTTACATACGACAGCTTTGAATGAAATCAAGGACGCAACGACAGCATCTAATGAGTCGCACACTTCACACACGACATTCTTGACCGAAATCAAGGAAGGAACAACGGCATCTACCGAGTCTCATACTTCGCATACAACAGTCTTGAGCGAAATTAAAGAAGCGATTGTCCCTATTAATGGCATTAATGAGGTCATAAGTACACATACAGGTCTATTGGAAGGTCTGAAAGAAGACACTGGGTCACACCATAATGAAGTGAAAAGTGATATTGATGGATTGAGGAAACTTGTAGATGAATGTTCTAACAAACACGAGGAAATTCTGTCGAAACATGGGGATTTAATTAAGGAACATGGAGACTTCGTTAAAGAAAACCATGATGGGTTAAAGGGAACAATTGCGGGACTTGCTTTGGGTGGAATTGCTGGCGCGGGGGTTATGAAAGCTATAGATGATGTGGATGAAGCGGAAGGTAAGAATGGTAAGGTAAGTGATGCAGTTGAACGGGATGTAGAAGTGCTGGAAGCTCCGGTAGGCCACCCACACTTCTGATGTTTGAGGAGAGAAGGAATGCTGATAAGATCTCATAGGCCGAAGAAGACAAGGTTCTTGAGGAAGCACCAGTATTGGAAGCAGAAGCGCCAGTAAGTCATGCCGCTATTAGTGATTGAGGTTACTCTGAAATAGTAACACCGAAATCAGGTGGTAGAAGATTTAGCTCCAGAGTCTACAGAACAAAACCCGGAACCTCCAGTAAGTCCTAATTCTTTTTGAAAAGCCATATACTATATTGTATTGACCGTTTCAAAGGCCGAGGAACAAGTGGCGCCGGAACCAGAAGTACCTGTGAGTACATCATCAATCCTATAATCCTATTGTTGAGTTTCTCAAAGAAGAAGAATTTACTAACACAAACTTTAGACGGAAGACGAGAAGAACGTCAGTGAGGAAACGCTAGTAGAGCCGGAGCTAGAACAAGAAGTTATTTTAACAGAGCCCGAGAAGACGGTAAGTTCGATCAATGAATGTATTTTATGAAAGCTCATCTAATGTTATCTTTAGGTCGACGTCGGCGAAGATCCAGACACTACGCCAGTAGACCAGGAGCCAGAGCCAGAAGCTGTAAGTTACCAAAAGTTTAATCTTCAAGCTATTCTCGTGGAATGAAAGACTTTGGCGTGAAGCAGGCAGCTAATTACTTATAACCCAGGCTGGGAAGGAAATTCCAAACGAGGAGCCGATAGCTATCGAAGCAGAGGCTCCAACGCAAGAAGCTGTCGTTGAAGATTCGATTCCAACAGAGGAAGAACCGGAACCAACTGTAAGACTTATATATTGCGGAGCATTGGCGCGAACTAAAAATATCTATAGACTATAGAAACATCGGATGATACACCAGCTATCGAATCCGAACAGACTGAAAAAGATCTCTCTGGCGAAGAAATACTCCCTCAAGGGGAATGTGAACCTACAGAAACTCCCGAGAATTCCGTAAGCCCTACCTATTACAACTATGATTACCCATTTGACTAATTGTTTTTCCAGTCTGAACCCCACCAAGAGATTGAACTTTCAGCAAGCAAGGATAACGAGGAGCCCGAAGTTCTTGAGAAACCAGAATCAATGTAAGTCAAAGTAATACTTGAAATTTCGCAAAACATAATTGAGGGGAATTGACCTGAAGATTCTTCGATGTAGACCTGAGGAGAGCGATGTCACAGAACTCTCCCAAGAAGGATCGGATCTCGAAGGAGGGCTTGCCATTGAGGAGATACCTGGTGAGGAAGAGACTATTGCGGTGGAAGGGTAAGTTTTTATTATCTAGATCTAGAGTGGGATATTAGAAGAGGTGGGCTAACCCGCCATCATCACAGGTCTGAGGAGGAAGCATTTGGTGAGAGCGAGAGAGCTGAAGTACAGCAAAATGAAGATGTAGGCGATGATGATATGAAGTAAGTTGTTTTTTTTATAGGATAAAGTAGGAGCTAGGGATAAGATTTTAACGCGTCATTAAGATCCACCGAAGAAACGGCGCCTGTTGCTGTGGAGGAAGAGAAGTGAGTTGATAGCTTTGGACTGATCAATTTGATACAAAAACAATTGCGTCGATACTAATATAATGAATAGACCAGCAGAAGACATAGTTCCGGAGAAAGTAGTCGAGGATATGAGCCCCAGTGAGGAAGCTCTACAGATTGGAGAAAATAAGTAAGGCATTTGTAATACTCATTTATGGTGAATTAAGCTGACAATTGGAAGACCTCAAGATGAGCCTGGTTTACAGGAGTCAGATGAAAACTTGACTGCCGACTTCCAACAGACACTTCCCGCGGAAGAAGAAGCAAAGCTCCCCGAAATCAAGGAATCTAGAGAGCCAAGTTTGGAGAAAATACCCATCGAGAATGCTATTCCAGGAGTCTTGATGGAAACCCCTCCGGCACACTCGGACGAGACTATTCCTTTGGAATCAAACGATCCTGTTCTGGAGTCTGAGCAAGCCAAGTCACCTGATTCAGCCGATTCGCCCGTTGAAAGCGAAGAATCCCCCGTTGTTCCAGACCACGATGGTGAGACCCAAATTCAAACTTCCGAAGCAAGTGATCAAGTTCCCGCGGAAAACTTGGAAATTCCTACAGAGTCAGTATTCATTGAGCCATTCAAAGAAGAACAAACGGTTGATGAAGAGCTGGAGATGGAACAATTGACCGATGAACATCCGGTCGACAGTGAAGAAGTCAATTCGGAAAAGGGGGATCTGGAGCCTAAGGACGAGGATCTCCCTACCGAAGACACGGAGAGTGTTGTTGAACCTTCGAAAGAGGAGAGGTCTGCAGAATCAGATGCCGAAATTGAGACACTCATTTTGGATTCAAACGATCAGAATGAGAGTCCTGCAGAGATCGATGCGAAGGTCTTGGAAACAGAAGTTGTGGAGCCTAACAATGAGGATACACCGGACCAAGCGGAGGAGAATATCGAGTCTTCTAACGATCAAGGCAATTCTGACCCGCCTCTTGAAGCCGAGGCACCCGCTTTGGACACGAACGATCAAGATGAAGAGAATGTTGAAATTGAGGCGAAGGATTTGGAAATTGAAAATCCAGAACCTCACAGCGAGGAGATACCTGAGCAATCTGTAGAGAACCCTTCACAAACCGTGCAGGAAGAAAGCGATTCCGAACCGGTCATCGAAACCGAGACATCTGTTCTTGATTCAGACTCCCATGATCAATTTCTCATTGAAAGCGGAGAAAAATCAGTGGAACTTCCTGCTACCGAAAATAGCACCGAGGAAATCTCCAGCGAGCTTAGAGAAGCCATTGAGCCCTCACACGAGGAAATCATCCCACAATTACCTGTCGAGACCGAGGAACACAATTCCGAGTTGAATACTCAAGACAAATCTCCAGTTGATAGCGAAGAAGCCCCCGAGGAACATAAAAACTTGGAAGACTTCACTCCATCATTTGATAATGAAGAAAAGACTGTTGAACCAGAAAGCCAGGAATCCGACAGTGAGAATGCACCCCTCGAAATTGAAGAAACACTTATTGAGGTTTCTCACGAACAAACTCCAGATTCAACAATTGAAACCAAGATACCAGCTATTGAGTCAAACGATCAAACGCAAATTCCTGTCGAGAGTGAAGAGAAGTCCGTGGAACCTGCTGTTAGTGAGCCAGAAGATGCGGATTTGGATATAACAGAACGACGACTTGGTGATGACGCTCAGATCACAGAGATATTGCCGCAAGAAACTGTTGAAGAGCCAGCGGTCGAAGATCAGAGTCCTATCATTCCAGAATCAAGTGGTAAAGCTCAGGAGGTTACCGGCGACCATGAACCTTTGGAACCAGCAGAGCAACATGCTGTTGAGGTACCAATTGAAAGATCGGTCACTGAGAACCAAGTTCATTTACCCACCGAAGAGCAAAGAGTCGAAGGTGATTCCCCAGTAGAAAGTAATCCTGAGCCAGAAGTTGTGAACGAGAATGTCTCTAATGAGATCGGATCAAGCGACGAAGACCAGATCGTAGCCAACGATAGCGGCAAATATCTACCGGCTGAGAGGGAGATACTTGACAGTTCCCGCGAAGAGCCAATTTCTGAGAGCGAATTAACAGCCGAGAATATGATTCAGGAAAATTCCGAAAATACCAGAGATGCAGAAAAACCAACAGAAATCGAAGAAGAAGTTGCCGAGACGCCTGGTCAAGATCCGACCCTCGAAAGCCAACCAAGATCCGAGCCAGTTATCCACGAAGATCCTGAAGATATCAAAGCCCATGATGAAATTGCTGCCATGAACGCGGAGATGGCTAGAATATTTGCTGAAGCTGAGGAGGAGGAGGAGAAGGAGAAGGAGGAGGAAAGGAGAAATGCTCTGGTGGAGACGCAAATAAATCCCGAGGATGAACCTAAGGAGCTAGAGGTCGAAAACCATATCGAGGAAGCTATTGATGTCTCAGAAGCACAACCACTGGTCGAAAGCCACGAACTACCTGAAGTAAATGAGCCAGAGGAAGAGCAGAAGGTTGCTGTGACTGCTGAGGAGTGTTCAAACGACACTACCCCCGATGAAAATCTGGAAGCCCCAGTCGTATCACTTACTGATTCCGAAGAGGATGTTATACCCACGGAACCCGAGATTCATACGGTTGAGCCTACCAATATTTCACCTGCAGACGAGGTGAATCAAGTCGAGGAGATTACTCCAGCGACCCATGAGGACATTACCGAAAGTCAGAGCCAGATTGTGGAGGATAGTTATGTAGAAGATGATTCTCCCATACTCTCCTGCGAAGATGAGAGAATAGGTCTAAAAATCCCGTCGATAGCCGAGCAATCCGAGAAGGAAGTCGTGAGCAACGATCATGCGCCTATTCAACATGAAGCTTTATCTGGAGAAGAAGTACAACTCCCAGACATGGAACCAATACCTTTCGAAGCTCACAAGGAACCCGAGATGGAAAGCTTTGAGGGTACACCTTTAAGTGACCGTGGTATACTTCCTCTGGACAGCGAGGAAGATAAATATTTGCCTATCCAACTTGAATCAAAATCAGCTCTTGAGGAAGTAACGCCAGAGGAACCAAAACTGGAAGGAGAGATCAACCCCGAGCAATTTTCGCTGGAATCTGAACAGGAAACCCCAAAGGATGAAATTACACTCGGAGATTACCCTGCCGAAGAAATTTTGGTCCCAAGATTGGATCCTATCGAAGAAAGCACCCAGGACCTCGAAAGTGAAGGCGAGAGAAAAGTGAATGAAAGCCCTCTAGTGCAGCATCTCGAGGTTGTTGGAACAGAGCCAAATCCAGAGGAGAACCTAGAAAACGCCGATTTTATAGTTGACGAGAGTGTCCACCCCGTGGAGCGTGATATTGCACAAGAATATTTCGAAGATCACAAAGAATTAGAAGCTGATCCGGTGGCCCCTGAAGGTCTTCAATTCGATGCGGCCGATGACAGCGAATGGGATGAAGTATATGACAATCCCAATGAAAAAGTACAAAGATTAGAATCTTCAGCGGAAGTTCTATCAACTGGGTCCGATCACGCAGAAGCTCCAGCCATCGAAGAAAATCAGTATCCCAGCGAGCCAAGTCAAGATGAAATCTCTTCTGAGATTCTTCTTCCAAGCCAGTCACCTCAAGAAGAAAAGGCCATCCTAGAAACGAAGGACTATCCTGTTCAACAATTTCCAGCTCAACATGACATGAAACCCGAGATTTATCAATCCTTCGATGATTATTTCCCAATCGAAAATGAATCTGTCCGAAACAGCTCTCATGTTTCAAATGAAGACAAGCTAGAGTTTGCGGACGAACTAGATTTTAGAGAAACTCCAGTTGTTTCTGACAGCCAGCACATATCGGAGAATAATGTTCCTTGGGGAGTCAAGGATAACTTACAGCTTGAGGATAACGAATCCATATATTCCCAAGAAAATGAGCCAGCGATCACTACAGAACATCACAGGCAAGAGAGAGATTATTTCTTTGACCCGAGAGCCACTGCCAGTCAATACGTGGCTACCGAGCAACTAGAACCTGAACAAGAGTCAGAACTTAGCCACGTGATTGCCGGAAATGAGTCAGCTCACGAAGCCCAGCTCAGTCAGCCTGAAAGTTCAGCGGAGCAAAGATACTCAGGTTATGGTTATGACTATGACTATGAAGAGCCTGCCCTAAATACACAATCTTACTCCGACTCGGAGGATGATATGGAGTCATTTCAATCGGAACCAGAAACTTCACACTATGAATCAAGGAGCTCTTACCCCTTCCAAGGAACCAGCTTTAGTAGATCTATACCACAAGCAAGATATTCAAGCCATGAAGAAGTTCCTCAAGATATACGTACTTCCTCAAACGACCAATATGACAACCAGCATTTGAGACCAGTGCCTACATACTCTAACCTAAGCTATTCTCAAGAATATCTCTCAGAGTCCTATCCAACTCAAGAAGTCCACTATAACGAGCCTGAACCTCAACACCATCAACCGATCACGCCCAGATATCAAGCGTCACATCAAGATACCATCTCAGCAACTCCATCAACAGCTCTGACGACAAAAATATCCACAGAGACATTTCCTACTTATGACGAATCCCGACCTGTATCCCAAGGTATGAATTTTGGGTTACCAATCAGAGCAGCAGAACGTGTTGAAACAATCCGCGAAAGTAGTGAGCCCACACATCCTTCATACAATGAGTCAATGCGATCTCCCGCACCATCGCGACTACCAATCGCGAGCCAAAGATCATCAGATAGTATGCGTAGAAGCTACAGTCCCGAATCAAAAAACAGAGCAGTTATTTTAGATATGGACATGATGAGCCTGGGTTAGGAAAATCTATGGGTTCCTCACAGGGATTAAGCTTCGGTCTTTCCCCAACGAAAATTCCGGGTTCCATTGGAAGGTCAAGCAGAGTTCCAGATGCTGGAAATGAGTACAGTGATTCGACAAGCAGATATTATGAGCCAGTGCGCTCTTTGGGAACTTCACAAGGATCTAGATTCGGTCTACAGGGTACGCATCCAGCTAGAGAGTCTCAACAGCAAATTCCACAGCCAGGAAACGAAAAGAGGAGTAGCAATGTGAAAAATTTGTTGAGTCGATTTGAAGGTGGTGAATCCTCATCTTCAACACCCTCTCAACAAGAGCGTTTCAATATCCCGACATATCAAGACCGTTTCAGTACTTCTCTTCCTCGACCTGCTGATAATGAATCATTCGGGAAACAGCCTCAATACGAACAAGAAAGTCACTTTGAGGCTGTGACGCCAGTTGATGGTAATAGGTTCGATCTCATGAGTGAAGAAAGTAGTCCAGTTCAGACACCTCTTGAAGAGAGGGAACTCTAGCCCGAGAGTGGAGAAAGTAGGGCGGTACAAACACCGTTGGAGGGGGAGTTTGATTTGGATGAGGGGACAGGTGGAAATTCAAATGCAGGAGTACCGAAGAAGAGAAGGAGTAAGAGGGGAAAGAAGAAGGGTAATGGATGGGAAGGGGGAGGTCAGGCTTGAGTGGGAGAGTAAATGGGAGTCGAATGTGTGGGATGCGGCTGAGATAAAGATATGGGCTGGATGAGCGATGGACAATGAAGGATGATTGATGCTTGATGGTAATGAAAAAGTTGGATGATTTTTTGACAAATTTTGGTTGGTTCGGTTGTGGGTAAATAGGAGAAGATTTGGAGCTTAGCGGCAGCGTTTTTACGTGATGTTCATAGCAGTGCTATCTAATAGTCAAATTTATGTTTTGAAAGAAAAGCTGCAACGATTACTTTTAGATATCGATATGTTGACGGGAATAACAATCTTGTGAAGACAGAGGCTCAGGGAAGTCATTTATATTGCACTTCCGTCCAATCATGCAGTGAATTGGCGTCGTATTTCAATCAAGTGTGGTGGGCACTTGCCTGTATTATAATTACTTGATTGATTTGAATAGGAGCGAATTGTGGTTTTGAGACTTTTGGAGAAGAACCCTGATAATTTTTAGGGTTAAGTATTACAATACATTGTTATTGACAGTAATTTATAGTACGAATCCTTAAGATGTACTACGCAGTGGTGATTGTATGATAAATTGAAGAAAATCCTTTATAAATGTTTACTCTCAGATATTTGTACTAGATTTATACGTCTAGTAATAACAGACTAGAGTTAATGTAAACTTCATTCATGATGATCCAAATAATCTTAAATCTTGGGACATGCCATCTAAAATACCCAAGGAGGATATATAGATTCCCTAATCATGTATTTGGTTTTTTGAAATTGTGGCCTAAGAAAGAATACGATGAGTTCTATTGATCTTCAAAGTAAAAGCAAGAATGTACATACCAAATTTTCATGGTTTTTGAATGGAAGCCAGACAACTAGATTACATCATGCAGGAAATATGAGAGGAGTATCTTCGATACATGAATTATATCAAGTACTAGAGATATCCGGTCAGATGTCATCAGATGGATGTTTGTGATTGTACAGGTGCATAAATACATCTCTCATCCCACCAACATCAGGGGCAAATTATAGGTAGCGCATTCACAAAGCATCCATTCACCAGAGAGAAATCTCAAAAACATAACAGTGAATTATTAATTTGCCCTATAGCATCCGAGATACATTCACTCAAAGAACCATCCTAAGTATTCAGCTCAATCCATTCCTCTGAACAAACCCTAAAGAAACAAGAAGCAGTTTTCGGCCGAAAGTGATCAGCTAGATACTTCATAAATCCTGACCTTCATCTGAACCACTAAATAATGTCATCTCATTTTTGTAATCCATCATCAATCTAATGACAAAAACTACCTAAAGAATACCTCTTCTGGCAGCGAAAACAAATGCTCCAATGATAGTAGCAATTGAGCCGGCAACGAAGCAGATGATGACGATGATGAAGATCTATAAGGTACAAAGAATTAGCAATGAATAAAGAGGTGGCAGTAAAGTGGTAAATGCTGAGAACTTACAATGAGGTAGGGACGCTCAGTTCTGCGAGGGCTAGCACTCTCCATATCTTCCTCGTCGCTGGCGAGAGGGGCATCTGCATGATCGTCAAGTCGCTGATCCAGGGTTGCCGAAGGATTGGGACCAGTATATTCGATACCCGTTGCAGCTGGGGCAGGACCAAGACTAATGGCAGGAGAGGTGGAGAAGAGGTTAGATGGAGCAGTACACTCATGATCATGATTGATAAGGGCCGAGCAATTACTAATAACGCTCTCCGAACGACCACGAGAAGGTGATTCAGTCTCATCATGTACGATCCACTCATCCGAGACATTGAGGTAACCATTGAGAACATTGTTAACCCATTCGCGATCTGAAGCAGTGCTACTACCAAAAGTAGGTGCACGCGTGAGTCTTGCAGCAGTACCCTCGCAGCGAAAAGCCGCAAGATCGTCTTCGGATCCCCAGCTCCAAAGGCTTGGTTCCCGAGGAATAGGACGAACCAAGTGACCGAAGACCGGGTGCCAGCTCTCCCTAGCAGGACGATCTTCCAAGGAGCTATCTCCGCAATTTTGAGATTGAGAATCCCCTCTGAGGTATGTCGCGTCAGGTTTACGAAAGTTGAGAAGTCCACGCCAGACTTCGGTCTCAACAGTGTCATGTGCGAGGTTGTAGTAGGCAAGATCGGAGACGCGGAGTTGGGTTTGCTGGGGAATGCCCTTGAAGGAATGGAACTGTGCAATGAGAGTTGCACAGCGAGCTTCCGTCTCCAAGGGAGGAAGGGAACTTCGAATGCAAAATTTTGGGTCTCCTTGGGGTTTTTCAACTTTGAGATATCCTGCTGGAAGAGTTGCGCTGTAGTGAGTCGATTTTAACTGTATCAAAATATCGGAGTTAGTAAAGGGTTCTTGGAAAAGGGAAAAGAATAGTTGAATTCTCCAATTGGATTCTCGGGATCACTTACAAATTCCTCCCATTCAGCAACAGCACCAGGATTCTTGTAATCATCATGGATTTGAGTCGACTTTTGTTCCTCCTTGTTTGGAACTGTTGACCCTTCTTTCTCCATAGCTACTTCGACTTTGTTCATGTTGATTGCGTTCGATCTATCTTGTTGATCAAAGGATGGAAAAAAGTTGGTATAGTTCGAAGTTGTTTTGTTGAAAGAAGAAGAAGAAGAAGCTGAGTCGAGATTGTTATGGAAAGAAGATCGCTTCGGAACGGAATGATTGTTGTTAACAAGGTGCAACAGCTTCACTTTCGGATAGACCAATATCTTCCTAGTATATTTTCAGATCGGAAGGGTGAGGATTGCAAAGAAAAGTGAAAGACATCCGAAAAAGAATGTCTCGTTAATTAGAGTCATCTAGTATTACAAAGTCATGAATGAACCCATTTACAAGTGCCAATTTTCAATTCATACCATGGATCGAAACCACTTGATACATTCTCCTGTCTGTGTTTGATTCAAGAAGCAATGTATATAATGGAAAATGTTGAAAGACTAGAAGAGAGTCTCTTGTGATGACCCGATGCTCATGATAAAGAGTTGTAAAAGGAAGAATGATAATGAACTGAAGGTAACATCTTTTATAGACAGAGTTCTTCCTTGAAGATGATCTTGAATGTTATGGTATTCACTGATAATATCCACCTCAAGGACATGAGTGGAACAACCTTAAGCAATCCTCACCAATGTCAACATTGCAATGTACAATATATGCATATTGCTGGATAACTAATTTGGTTGATGAGGACTAATATAAATAAGAGAAAGGAACAATGTACTATCCAGTGTTGTTTACTCAAAGTATTGCTTTGTCGTATTTCTGAGTCACCAGATTTGATATCAAACATGCTCACTGCCATAAGCCACCATGAAGATCACAATTGCGCACCAAGTTCTTTCTGCCAGTGAGAAGTGTGTGAAAGAGAAGTTCAATTATTTGACCCGCTAGCTGAGTAGGTTATCATCTCAAAGATAGACTGGGAGACTCATCCCTTGTGCACCCCCCAAAAAACAGGAGAAAATTTTGACCAGTTATCACCTTGTGTATTTTTGATTGGCATAGTCTTGATATCATGGAAACCTGATAGCCATGATGCTTTGGAGATTCCGAGACACAACTCAGGACTCTGTCCAAGCAAGGAACTCCACATCATAAGCGCATAGGCCAAACAAGATAATGTTCACCCTAAACGCCTTTTTGTCCATCACTTCCTGCAAGTTGTCTGCGTTTCATTCCGTCCCCCTCTCCCTCCCAACCCCAAATCTCCCATTTTCACAAAGCCTAGAAGTGAAAATAAAGTAAATTGCGTCTTTCCCATATAGAGAAAAAACACACGGTGCCAATCACCGCGCACATGAGTATCATCACTGCAGACTATAGATGAGGTTTTGATTAGAATACGAAAGTGCACCATGGGCTAATAATGACTTACACCATTGAGATCCGAGTCTTCAAAGAATGTTGTATATGTTGTAGGATTCATCGTGTGATCAACAGCAAGCGCTATGCTTAATGTGAATGTGTCGCGAGGCGAAGATCGGTATGATGTTTTGTGAGGGATTGTGGTGGCTGTGTACTTAGAACAACTCCGCCGAGAATTAAATGATGTGTTGACTTTCTGTTACGATATAGAATATCGTGAGTATGTAGCGCTGTGGCAGTATTGGTAGTTGCAAAATACGGCGACCAGATTTCATGAATAATGGATCTCGAAGTGCCTGAGAGACCAGTGGACGGTAGACTCAGTGAAAGATCGCACTGGACGTTGTGGCGATACAATGTGGTCTTCTGATTGTTTGTTTGTGAAGATGGCAGAAGATGAATTGAAAAGAAAAGATCTGTGGCAAATTGTTGAGAATGCGAGATGAAACGGTTAAGTAGTTAATATGGCTTCGTATCATGAGATGTTTTTTTGGATCTCCGTCCATCATCAACATCACATCTTTCACATTGCCACTTGAACCTATTCTCATACTGGGAAATCGCAGAACTTCAGAAATCTGCGAGGAGATTGGGAGCGATGAACAAAATAGCAAAGCTGTAGTGGATTCAGTGAGACCCTTTCAAATTGGAACCCTTTGTTGCATGGCGTGTTAAGCACTATCGCAAAGGTAAGCATACTTGACTTGATTTCGAAGGAAACATTTGGATAATCTGATATCAAAGTAAGAAAGAGTTTGTCATTGATATCGTCTACAAATGCCGTGGTGCAATTGATATTGCAAAGAATTTATTCACCGTTCCTAGGCTGCCGATTCACTGCAAAAGCTTTTTGACACAGTGAGTATGATATCGCCGTACTCACTGTCAGTACCATCAAATTATGAAATCAGTAGTCATTCATCGCTTTTCCATGTTTTGAAATGCGGAATGAATCGGTTTCTGTCATCTTAGGAAAGGCATTGTCGTTGTTCTGACACGAACCACGTGATATCGATGTGACTTCTTCACGTGCTAGCTATTTTCCAAAGCAATCACCAAATAAATCGTCATTCTTGAAACATTTGCAGATCGCGTTGTAGTCCGTAATATGTTATGAAAGCCTGCAATCACGTCAAACGTATTACTATCCTTGCGGGAAATGCTACCAAAAGGCTCAATGTTATTGGCTAATCAGCGTGCGGAAGCGAAATATGGCGAAATGGCTGCAGTCATCACACAATATTTCGGGACCTTATCCCAGGGTAAGTGCAAAGCTTAAAGATATCAATGCATGACTGCATTCAGAAGCGCGTGAGTTTGCATTATGATAGCGGCGTCAATGTCGATTTTTCGTATACTTATCAATCGTCCACGGGAAGACAACACGAAACTCTGTCAAATATATTTTCCTGCCATAATTTGAATGTGGGATTGGATTAACTTCGACCTGGAAGCATACAGGCGTAACATGGGCTTAGAATTTGAAAGAGTTGCTGTGATCGGTGCGGGTGTCAGTGGACTAGTGGCTGCGAGACATCTCACAAATTATGGACTTGATGTAACTATCTATGAACGATCTTCAAAACTCGGAGGCGTTTGGTGAGTTATGTTTCTATACCCAATTATTTTCAAAGCCCGCGAGGAAAAGACTGATATTAATACGAGGAGCTAGGGCATATGATGAGAGAAGGCCGCTTGAATACAGATATCCATCAGTTTTACCTTCGGTTGCAGGCCTCTACTCAGAGGCGGATTCAGATTGCGAGGATGTTACATCGCAGTCAGAATTGTCCCAAGAAGAAATACTCAAATTGAAGCACGCACCACCAGGTCCTGCATACTTTGGTCTGACAACAAATATCTCGACTAAACTCCAAGAAATGAAAGACCACCCGTGGAAGGAAGGTACAGGTGATTTTGTCAATGTAAAGGTTGTTGGTGAATATCTGAACGATTATGCCAAAAGATTCCACCTAGAACGTTTCCTTAGGTACAATACAAAAGTTGAAACGATCAAGAAAGTGAATGGGAGATGGATTGTGAGATCAAAGCTGTTAAACAGAGCCCATGACGGAAATGTGGAGTTCTTGGAACATGAAGAGGTAGATTGCCGAGTGAGCATCTGCAAACGAATACTGACTCGTGGCAGGTTTTTGACAAAGTAGTTGTGGCGAGTGGACATTATCACGCCAACAGAGTGCCTGACATCAAAGGATTGAAGGAATGGAAGAGAAACAATCCTGGAAGGATAATGCACTCAAAAGCATACAGGAGACCCCAAGAGCTTGCAGGCCAGGTAAGTAATAACACTCAATAGCACTACCATTGGTTGACTTTTGTCAGAACGTTCTTTTAACTGGGGGGAGTGTATCCTCGACGGACATTGCTAGGGAGATCAACGGCGTAGCCAAGACGGTTTATCAATCCACCCGAGGTGGCCAATTTGACCTTCCACTTAGCTTTTTACCTTCAAGCGCAAAGAGAGTTGGGGAATGCGTGTCCTTTGAGTTCGAGACGAGTAATGAAGGCCGAGGGGTCGCGCACTTGAAAGATGGGACGTCGCTCAGTGATATTGATAAAGTGATAATTTGCACAGGATATCATATTTCATATCCGTTTCTTCATCCGTTTCATAACGACTTGATATCCCCGGCAGAAGCAGACGAAACAGTCCTTGTAACTGACGGAACGCAAGTCCACAATCTTCACAAAGATATATTTTACATACCAGATCCAACACTTGCATTTGTCGGGACAGCATATTACGTATCGACCTTTTCCTTGTTCGAGTTCCAAGCCATTGCACTCGCAGCTGTATTCGCTGGCAAAGCATACTTACCACGCGAGGAAGAAATGAGAAAAGAATACAGACTTAGGGTAACAGAAAAGGGGTTCGGGAGAGCTTTTCATGCTTTAAATGAAGGACGAGAGCCTGAGTATGTTCGTGAGTTGGTAGACTGGATCAACGCAGACGCTGCGTCTAGTGGAGGACAGAAGGTCGAAGGTCACTCCGAGGAATGGCTGAAAGAAGATGAAATCAAGATGGGAAAGCTCCGTGAGAGGTTCGAAAAGAAGAAACAAGAGGACAAGCAAGAAGAAAGCCCTCGGATATATAATCTAAGGAGTAAAGGGAAGTTTCCTAAATCTGAACTTGAATTGTTTAATGGCATTGGGAACAGAGCATTAGAAGAGCAGACAGTCGGATGAGCGGGCGATTGTCTTCAGAATGATCTCATTGCATGAAGAATGATTGTGGTAATAAGTAGAAATGATCAGAGTTGAAGCGGAAATGAACAGTTCATCATTACTACTACTCCCTGTGTACTGTGATGAATTTGATAGATTTGTCCAGAACAAGCAAATCATTCAATCTCTACACACGATACATGTCGTCTGATGTTCGCGATTCTCACAGCCATACTTGTGAATGGAGTAATGGGTGAATCACTTACTCTACCTTTCAGACGATTGTTCATGATATTCTTAGCACGATGAGCGACGAATTGCGATGATTGAATCAAAGGATTCACCATATAAGTGAATGCGTAATTTATGCTCATATACATAAGTAGAAATACCACGGTAGATAGATATGATGATAATGCTGCTGCTGATGACTGTGCGAAGTGAAAGCATATATATGTTGTCTGAGAGGTGAGACGGAATGAAGTGAGTAGAGCGGTTGGATGTGAAAGAATAATCAACCTTGCGTGAAGTTTAGCGAAAGCGCGTCCAAGTGAAATCGCGACTTTGTCATAAATCAATTACGACTACACCACACATTTCAGAACGTTCACAACTTTTTTCACAACCAATATAATTCATGATAATACATTTTATTCTGATATTTGAATATATGAGAATTCGATTCTGGTATTAAATAAAAGATTCACAAAGTTTCAATGTCGTCTTCCGCACAATAAGTTCACCCAGTTCCAACATCGAAACGCGTCCCGAACTACATTGAAAGACGAACCGTAGACTTCGAATTTGACTCCAGCAGAAGTGCAAAATAGTCTGCCATAATTGGCACATGATTTGACGCGTTTTGCATCTTTCAACATGTATTTACCACGTTCACAACTTGCCACACTATATCTCCACCTTCAAAAGACTCATCATCCATTATCTCCGCCAGTCCTTATACTCGTTGCTCTCGAGCCTGACGCCCTATGCGGATGTCGAATTCTTACCCAACTTCTTAAACGCGATTATATTCCTCACAAGATACAACCAATTGCTGGATATGGAGATCTGGAGAAAGCGGGGAAGAATGTTATACAACCCATGATGGAAAATCATGGAGGTAGTGGGGGTGTTGTCGTTTGCTTAGGTGTTGGAGGCTTAGTTGATCTGGGAGCGTTGTTGGGCTTTGATTCGGAGGCAGACGAGTTTAGTTATGGTGGTGTTGAGGTTTGGGTTGTGGATGCAAGACGACCTTGGAATTTAGGGAATGTCTTTGGAGGCTTTCCAATGGTATCACATGAAGGAGAAGGCGGGGAAATTATATCCGAACCACCTAAGGGTGTAGTTGGTGGCATGATCGCAAGAAATTATAAGCCAGGCAAAGGAGGAATTATTGTCTTCGACGACGGGGATATTGAAGAAGATATGAAAGCGGAGAAGGACGCATACTTGGCATTAGTGGAAATGCCTGAGATGGAAGATAATGACGATGATAGTGAGGGTAGTGAAACGGAAGGCGAAAGTGATGCCAATGATGAAACTCCAGTTAAGCTGCCAGGGAAAAAGAGAAAGTCTTGGTCGGATCGAGATGAGGAAGATGATACTGACGTCGAGGATGATAGACCACGGCAGAGGCGAAGAAGCAACTCGGTAGGTATCCTAGAATATAATAATCTCAATAATCTACACCTGCTAACAATTATACTAGTTAAGTCCAATTCCAGAATTTCCAACTCGTGCTCCTCAACGTGGACTACTATCACTAAACGATCCAACAATATTCTCAGATTCACATTCACGGTCCGTATCCCCTTCGCCAGCACAACTTCCTAAACCACCCTCCCCGAGAGCATTACGGCGAAGGTTACGAAAATTGCGTCGAAAGAATGAACTGGTTCTCCAAACATATTATAATCTTGGTGCATCATATTCCGAACCTATATCTTCAATGATGTATTCCTTGGCATCAGAGTTGGGAAGAGAAGACAATGACCTCCTTTGGATGACGATAGTTGGGGTCAGCTCTCAAGAATTATATGGCCGATCGGCAATTGGAGTCGCAGTAACTACAGAAAAGTCGTCGCCGTCAGGATGGTTAGGCTCCCGAGGATCACGAACACGACAGCTTCTGCGAGACGAAGTACGACGTCTGAATCCCCCAGAACTTTCTGACTTGGCTTTTAATTCGAGTCGAAATATGTCACCAGAAAACAGTGGCATAATACCGACTACAGCGCGTAGTCCAACGGATACAAGCATTCGTCTATCACCAGAGCCAAAGTTTCTCCTTATCAGACATTGGAGTTTGTATGATAGCATGTTACATTCTCCATATCTATCAGCGAGATTACACATTTGGTCAGATAGTGGGCGAAAGCGACTACACAAATTACTAGCAAAGATGGGAGTAAGTCTTGTTCAATGCAAGCAAAGTTATACTCATATGGATATGGAACTTAAACGAGGACTTCGAACAAAATTGTTAAAATACTCGGAACTTTACGGGCTAGACGATCTTGTCCCAAGTGCAGACACAGATGGAAGAGATCGCGGTGGCTCAAAGGAAGGATGGGGTTTCGTCAGAAGTTGGGGTTGGAAGGCGACACTTAGTGCTCAAGATGTTGGTGTTGTAGTGGGATCCATCTTGGAGGTTGGGAAGAAGGCAGTCACTACTCAAGAGAACGGTGCTTGGGATCGGAGTCGAGAGACTAAGACTAGTGATGAAGATGGTGCTTTGGAGGGCGAGGAATGGGTCGGGAGATTTTGGGATGCTTATGATGCCCTCGAGAAGTATGCCCCCCCCCCTTCATGTTTCGTCTATTCCTCCATTATCCCTGAATGCGAAGAACTTCTTTTTTTTCAATACTAATTACACCAACAAAACAGAATCGAGGAACTCAAACTCGCCCTTCCCATAGCTCAACATCTCCACCGCGCAATTCTTCGCACGGGAACCTCACTAATCGAAAAACGGCAAATCAAACATCTACGTGCCTTCCGCATGGCAGTAGTAAAAGATGGTCCAGATGTCCAACTCTTCACTCATCCAGCTGCGCTTACCAAACTCGCGCTCTGGATCGGTGAAGCAATTGCGGAACAGGAAAGAGAAAGTAAAGGCAAGCTAGGAAATGGTGGGAGAGGCACCCCGTTAGTTGTGGCGGGGTTGAACGAAGTCAGGGGCGTTTATGTGGTTGTCGGTACTGGCGGTGGAGGGGGTGGAATAGGTGGATGGGGGTTTGGTGATAAGAAAGCTGCGAGGGAAAAGGCAAAGAAGAAGGAAGAGAAAGAAGCGGCAAGAGCTTTGAGGAGGAAAAACAAAGATAAGATCCGCGAAGACAAACGTGTGGCAAAACGAGCAGCTCGAGCGGAACGAGGTCAAGAAGAAGATGATGAAGAAGACGAAGAAACAGAAGAAGAATCTTCGGAATCGGAAACAGAAGAAGAGGAAGAAGATGAAGATGAAGAAGAACAGGAGAGAGGAAAGGGATTTGGGAGGAACAAGTTCGGAAATGCATTTCAAGAGGTGGTAGAGGAGACGAATGCAAGGGTGAGGATTGATAGCTTTGAACATTGCGTGGTGGAGGTCAAAAAAGAGGATTTGGGGGGCTTTTTGGAGAGTTTGAGTTTGAAAGGCGTGGTTGGTTAGTTAGGGATGGATCGGAGTATGAATGGGCGGTAGAGGGTCTAAGGAAAATGGGAACGGAAACGGAAGTGTGGTGTAGATAATGATTACGAAAGCTTGACTTAGGCTAGGTTCATATGGGATGGGAATGGATTGCTAAATATATTGCATGGCATTGCATGGCATGGCGGATGAAAGGGTCGCGGGTCTCCTTATTCGAGCACATTGGGGTTCATGTATTGTATAAGTATACCTCTTTTATGGATAGCGTGTTGGATGGATGGATAGCTGGTATGATACTCCCGGGATTGGTGCTTGAATAAACGAATGAATCGATATAAACATATACATAATCCGACGATGATTTATAGAATATTCTAACAAGTGATGATGCATGCGATTCATACAGTGATGGAGCGAGTAGAAAAATAAAAGTAGAACCAATTCGTAGTATACGGGTCCAAAAAATGAATGGAGGACATTCTCACTCATCCTATCCGTAAAAGTCACGAGATGATTTATCTCGCACGGGCCAACTTGGTAGACTAACGGATGGCTACATCTTGACCTCCCCTTGGACATTCATCTTGTTTATTATCGTCTCTACATACAATGATTGTATGTTCTCTTTATTGATTAATCCTCAGATAACATGTTCTGTGATGTTCAGGTGCCGGTCCTTCATTCAGCCCCTCTGTGTGGCTGTGAGATAGCAGCAGTCTGCCTCTGAATTTGCCTCGCAGTGCATCAGGATACAGAATTGTTACCGCCAATCAAACCTCGCATACGAGTAAATATGTGTTTGATCCCTTTTCTTCAGCATGTCGTATCTCAGTGAGATGGTATGTATGTATGATGTTCCCTGGCGTTTCCAGCCCCAGCAGGGCGTACATGGCAAATTACATTGGTACTATTGCACTGAAAAAGTTGTGCGAAACTCGCAAAACTTATGGTGGTAATGCTATTGTTCACAAGTACTTAGTTAAGATCACAATTGCATCAAAGTTGTCCTTCCATTCCAACAATTATTTCTCTTCCTGCGCTCTCCACGTGCTTATTGATATCACAATTCCATATAAGTAATCGAGTATTTCCCTAGATTTCATTTGTGCGCCATTCTTTACTGAAATATACCTGACATAATCCCCAATGGCAGAAATTAAAGGCTTGAGCTTAACCTATCCAGGCGACGAATTGGGGGTTCAAGCTCATGGTAACGTCGATATAGTATTCGTACACGGACTTGAGGGCGCGGCCACTGCTGGGTTTTTGGAGAATGAGGAGGGACCAGAAAAGCTCTGGTTGTATGATCTTCTTCCTAAAAGCTTACCCACTGCCAGGATTCTCACTTTTGGCTACCAAAGTGACGCGATCTCCCTTATCAACTCGAGAGGATCAGTCATTTCAACTTATACCAAAAGCTTACTCGAATCTCTCACAGCCTTTCGAGTCCCACACCAAGAGGCTAGTCTATCTCTATCTCGCGTTGTGCAATATATCTTTCTAATTGCCTAACAAGCTTCTCTTATCATTAACTGTATACTACGTCAAATCTAGTCATTGTATCACTAATACTTCAAACAATATTAGGCTCCATCGCGACCTCTAGTGTTCCTTGCCCATAGTCTTGGGGGCCTTGTCGTTCAGAAGGCCTTAATTGTCGCGTCGACAGGAGCCCGAGCCGACTTTTTCGCCATCAAGCGTTCTACTTCTGCTATACTGTTCTTTGCTACACCTCATCATACAGATCACAAAGGCATCTTCAATATCCTTCGGTATTTCTCGGGTGTGAGAAGATGCCAGGGAAGCAGTGAAGAATTCATATGTAAATCAGAGTTTCAGTGCAACCTAGACGATACCTCTGCGCAGCTAAGACAAATTCAAGAGAATTTTGAGCACCTCCGGCTCCAGCAGTCCTTCAAACTCAGCATTGATTCTTTCTTTGAGGAGTTACCTGTAGCGAACTTTAGACTGCTGAGTGACAAAAGGCCTCCATGAAAACGATTTTAATTAATTAAGCAGGTGGTTAACGGTACATCATTGAGTGGTTTTCCAGACAGCGTTCTGCTACATTCGGACCATAATGTAAGTCTGGAGCTTTCCAAGTGACTGTTCTAGTACCATGTCGTCTAATATGTATGTTAAGACAATCTGCCAGTTTACAAGTGTCGGTGAACCAAACTTCAAGCGAGTATTAGCAAAACTCAAAAGAATCCTCAACCCAAGCGCAGAGTGCGAACCTAACCTGCAAAAATATCAGCAAGGCTTGTAAATTCTAAATGAGTTGTAGAATAGTGTTTAACTTTGACAGAAATACTTCGTTGGCTGGCAACACAAAGGTCACAAATTGCCATCTCTGCAGCGCCTAGATCCGGCAAGTGGCTTTTGGAAAATCGAGAGTTCAGGTCATGGTTATCGAGTGACCACAATTCCGTCTTGTGGATCCAAGGAAAGCCTGGCGCTGGTAAATCAACACTTGCTTCTAACGTTATCGAAGATTTTAAAAATCACACTTTGGAAGATCGGCCTGCGATCTAACTTTACCATTTTTCCATTACGACTCCCCTGATACTTCCGCGCGTAACCTCCTACGCTCTTTGATCTTTCAGATCATGTCAAAAAAATTGAGTCCCTTATCGGATCTAATTTCTTTGCTTGACCAAAAGTGAAATTGCTATCACAAGGTCGAAGAGCCCTGCAATAGCTGGAGAGAGTGGATTTCTCAGGCCGTACTTACAGAGGAATTTCTAGCAACATGTTCAGAAGTAACCGCCAAGGTCCATCGATTATATATCACCATTGAGGCCCTAGACGAATGCCCCTGCGGGGAGATATCTTCCGTTTTGTCTCTTTTATATTCTCTCAATTCAATCGCATTGGAAAACTCGATCAAATTATTGATTACATGTCGGCCTGGGTTGAAGTACGAAGAAGCGTTCTCCTATTTACCACATCACAAAATTGTTCTAGAGAATGAAAATCAAATAGATTTACAACAATTTGTCTCCTTCAAAATGTTAACAAAATTCCCAGATTTTCCCAATCAGAAGTATATCTCTGATACACTACTAGAGCGAGCATGTGGCATTTTTCTTTGGGTCAAACTTGTCATACATAATCTATGAGAGTTTACACATTACGAAGAGAATGACACTGAAATATCAGTTTCGCGAGTTCCTACAAGCTTAGATGATGTGTATAACACGATTTACGAACGGTGTGCTTCGGACGGAGTCAAGGGCTGCACTGATATTTCTGGGTTGGGTTGTGTTTGCTAGACGGCCGTTTTCGCTGAGAGAATTGAAAGTTGCTTTAGACGTCTACCAACGGTCGATACCAGTATCAAGTCAACGCTCTCGGCATATTACTCAAAATCAACCACTTTTCCCGTACCAACCTAGTATCGATCTTGTGATCGCATCCTGTAATGGACTATTGGAAGTTGAAGGAAGAGATGGAATCGTTTCCTTTGTACACCTAAGCGCTCGAGCATTTTTGATATCAAGAGCCGCCTCGGAGACTTCTCAACCAGGATATTCTGATGCCAAATACTTCAACAAAACGCATGTTTCTATTGCCGAAGTATGCGTTAACTACTTGGCATCTAGATCTCTCGACGACAGATCAAGTTTAAATTTCGATCCTGACGACCCTGGTTTCTTGAAATATATGGTCATTCACTGGCTTGAACATGCAAAAGCAGCTGATTGCCCTGGTATATCATACCAGCCTCTTTTTAAAAGTTTGCACTCGCGGTCCTCAAAGTTTCCAAAATTCTGGATTGCCTAATATCAAAAGGAGAAATTTTTTTGGAGTTCCTCCAAGTATGTGCTAGAATGATGGACAGCTCTCCATGTATCCGCCGCTTTCGGAATTTACAATCTTGTTCGAACTGTCATTGAACTCGGAGAGGTGCAGTGCTTCGATAACAGAGACGCGTATGGGCGCATTGCCTTATCACTGGCCGCTGAAAACAATCACGTATCTGTTCTTCAACTTCTCCTGGAAGTAGGAGCAAATATTACTACTTGAGACAATCGTTATGGTCTCTCTCCACTGGAATGGGCAGCTTTACGAGGAAATGTTGAAATAGTGAAGATACTTATGGAAAAATCGATTTCTTGGTCTGCTACTTCCTTACTTTCTATTGCGGCAGCAAGAGGACACGTGTCGCTCGTGAAACTCCTACTGGAGAAAGGTGCCACTATTAATTCCATAGATCAGTATTGGGGATGTACGGCTCTTCACCTCGCTGCCAGGTATGGGCACACCGCTATTGCATTCCAACTTCTTGCCCGTGGAGCCGACCCGAATATTATCGATAGATCTAAGGGACAGCGCCGCTATACTATGCCATATACAAAGGTCGCCACGAAGCTATCAGGATTTTGCTGGAGTATGGCGCCAAGATGGGTGAATCATCCAAGAAATCATTCGTGTTGACTGATGTGCCCCAGTCTACTTCTTGGCCTGGTCGGGTTGCTAGCTCAATCTTAGGAGAATTAGCAATCAGACTGCATATTTGCACACAAGGCTCGGAGGCCAACGGGAAGTCAAAATCTGGTAATTGCAACAAAGGTACTTCTGGAAACTCCAGTAATGGACGTAAAAAAGATCACATCAGGACTTTCAAAGTGGCTGTTCTGGTCGAAGCGGTGGTTTTGGCGATGGACCCAACAAACAGCCTGCGTCAGAGCCCACTTCTTCAACAGATCCACTACGAGTGATTTTGGATTGAATCTTGCTTGCCCCTACTTCAAGCATGATCCTGGAAGATACGGTTCCAATAGGGCTTACCGTAGGCCTCCTGTCTATCCAGATATGAACAGACCAAAGTAAAACACGTTCCTTCTTTTCACCAATTCAGCATGCTAACTTTGAGGTAGGCAGCATTTGTACATGACACATTTCCTAAAGATATGTCGAAAGTGTCATTTGATCTGCGACGGCGAGATTGAGCTCCAACAGCATTACGATGTTTCAATATGCGCAGCGATGTTTCAACGCGACTACGCCAATGAATTTTATGAATCTCAGCGTGACAATCTCAAGAGGCGAACAGAAAAGAGGAATCACTCGGACAAGGCACAGTATTTGACAGCGGTTTACAGGATACTGTTTCCAAACTCCGATGATGCAAGCATGCCCACACCATGTAAGTGACTTTTAACGCAGGGAATTGAAACACTACCTGATTTCCGAGTACAGGGCGCGAGGAAAACATAAACAAAAGGCAATATGACGAGTCTAGTGCTCATTCACGAATCCAGGATTCATCCCTCCGGAACGAGCTTTCCCAACATGTTCAAAGCCAAGGCGCAATCAGTGCGATATTGAATATCATCAACAGGTATCAGACAGAGTCTTCCGGAGCGACCACTATTGGAAGAATCCCGAGAAGGTTTTCCCAAGTTCCAGAGCGACAGCATCTCGAGACTTCTCAAAATGACCTGTATCAACAATCCCCTCTTGGACGAAATCCGCTTGGTCATGATAACATTCCGATGATGCCTTTTGATTCTTTGCTACCTGACTTCATGATGGAGCCCTCAAGTGACTCTGGCTTTTACGAAGACTATTCACTTTATGATGACTTAAGTCGGGGTACTTTGACGGAGGCTGCTGGATCAATGATGGGGGAACACGAAATTGCGATAAACGAGTCATTTCTGACGCAACATCGGTTACCAACTCCAGGAGCGCAAGGCGATAGTGACGATATAGCTCGAACACACCGAGTACATAACTCAAGGGAAGATCCTCTAAGTTCTTCCAGCCTTCGCGACATCTTCAATCTTGACCAAACTCAGTACTTGCAACTACAACAAAACCCCATGTTTAATAACTATCAAGACAAAGATCATAATGAAGAGGAAGAAAATGATAACAACTGAGTGAGACTAGGCTTGATTAAGCGGGATCTTTAGTCTGCGTCGTAGTGTCAACGATGGTCAGTTTCATAGGAAGGGCAGAAGTACTGTTATAGTAACAAAAAGCAGCTACAAAAAGCAGCTACAAAAAGCAGCTTTCAAGATGAAAACATTTACCCTCAAGAGCGATAGCGACTATGATAATAACGAACATCGATATTGAAATTCCTCATGTGGTTCACTAGAAATCTTTTTCAAAGAAAGGCTACAACATCATTGCAATGGAATAAACAACTTCCTACAATCCCAAGTTTTCCCCACTTCTTTTCCTGGATGTACTAGCTTTCCTCTGTTATCTAGCTCTGCTTCTGCTAGAGAAATAAATCTTACGGAAGCTTCAAAAAGTGGTGATAGGTTCATTTCCAACACATATTAATCATATCGTACATTCAACTCTCCCATACCCATACCCCAAAACCTCCGTTACCACTCCCTAGTTTGCGCCCCCCCCCCCCCCCCACCCCCCCCCAAAATCCCCTCATCAACATTCTCACTCACGCAATTCCCCAAGCACACCCATCAGATCCCTCAACACCCCTTCCATCTTCCTCTCACTCCTACTGCTGGAAGAAGCGGGCAAATCGTTCGCCAGACGTTCGATGGCTGTACTGGGACTATGGAGATAGTAAGATAGCATTGGTGTTGTGTTTTCTGCTGGGAGGTTTTGTGATGGTTAGGGAGGAGTTCGGGTTTGTTTTGTTGGTTACGCGGTGGTTTGAGGAAGGGTAGTTTTGGAGGAAAATGGTAGAAGGTGAAGAATGGGGAATGAAGAAAGGGGAGTTTCATACTTGAGAGAGCTCCCTACGCTCGTTCTCGTCTGGGATTGGGGGGTGTGCGGTGCCATGGTGGGGATTGAGGAGGTAGCTAGCTGGAAGCTGCGAGCTGTGAGTTTCGGTATTGGGATATCAGGATGAGATCAATCGACTGACTATTTCGAAATTGACGAGTACGCACCTCACTTCAAAGCAAGTTTTTTCCTTTACTTTCTTTTCACAGTTATCTGCGAAAGGTATAGAGTTTTTGATCACTCTTGAAATATGTTATCTGGCTCAAGAGTAGTCAATCGAGAAAAGTCATCGCTAGTTATCAAGCCAGGTAATGAGTGTATAAAAGTGATGTTTTGGGTTGCGTCACTTTGCGATAGATATTCCAATCCCAGCGTCATCATCGTGGTATATGGTTAATAGCTATGCGAGGGCCACATTTTTCAGGATTCTGAAGACCGACATCTTCAACCTGCATTTTTAGTTCTTGTCCTGCATTGAGGACGCTCAAAACACGTGGATGCGAAGAACAGCGTAGTAATGGAAGAAGATTAGTAGGAGTCGCATTTGTGTATGGTACGACAGGGCGAAAGTCATTTCTAGACGTCTCTTTGAATCAGTATAAACCTGTTCTAGGTAGATTTACTTTTAAGTTAAATTGAACTTCAGACTTTCTTTCGTGTCTGTGAATATTAGATACAGATTGAATAGAAGAAATGAGTTGACGAGGTTGCATACACTGTGGTACATTCTATACGAATAATCCACTTGTTCTTCAGCATTCAAAATTTGCTTACAAGCAGTATCAATACCGGAGAGTGACGAAGTTTTAACTTCGAGAAACGCGAGCTTTAATTCTGGGGTTAGACTGAGGAGCTTTTCGCATTGAGTAGCGAATCTCGTTGCTAATCTCCCCAGCACGTAGAAAGTAGGGTATTGCAATACCTTTGCTCGTGCCTCGAGAGTAGAGGAACTGATGTTGCTTGTTGCTCCGGCGAATACACATATGAGACCTTGGGGATTGTGATTGTTTTTGCCGAAGCTAGCGTTCGCTTGGTAGATTTCTATAATTTTAACCATGTTTGCAGAAGCGAAAGATTCAACTTTGATGAACTTCTTTCGGTGAAAGAACTCTAGAGCAGGAAGAAAAGCATGATTGGAAAGATTGGGCAACCTGAGAACTGCCAGTTAATATTATCAATGAATCTCCATCGTCCGGGTGTATCTCCGTCGGCTAATGGCATTTCTCATCACGACCAATTCTTTGCCCTTTGTCTCGTCATTGTAATAGAAGATATACTTCTATTGTATCCGCAAAATCTGATTAAATGTGAAATTTTTTCGTTCCGGATCTCGAAGTCTTGGTCGGCCATATGAAAAAAATCCACCTGGTCGACCGTGAACAGTGTTTGGTTTTGTGAGTAACAAACCCATGCTTATGTAATGATGAGGTTGGTATTTCTTAAGCCGATCCTCCGTTGGTAACCTCAAGCGAAACAACCCAACTTCATCCAAATCAACCACAACAACTACAACAACAAGATGTTCACGATGTTATCTTCTTTTAAAACTTACAATTATATGTTCATTGATTTGTATTGTTGTCCTTAGGCTTTACATAGACTGTCTTTATATCATACTTACATATAACTTCATCATCTAAATTGTGGTCTTCAGCTACATGTTAGAGATGCTTCCTGGCGCCTAATTTATTTTATTCAGAAAGTATTTGAGACGCCAAACTATCGAGTACGGAGACGGCAGTGTAAAGTGGTGGCCATGTTGGCCATGTTGGCCACAGCCTGCCTTAACCTATAAAAAAATATATCATCATTCGTTATTGCCTCCGGACTCTTTTTGCCATGGCCGCCTTACAGGTCTTTATGCAAGAAGTATTCCTCGTTTAGAGTTGCGGTCATGAAGGCCTGATCTTGATCTCAAGTAGTTGTTTTCCGCAGTCAAATATTAATAAAATGAAGGATTCTCTCTCTGTTGGATTCCTAAAATTTCCAACATCAACTCTCGTTTGATTTCAAGGTTTGCATAGCTTGTTCTATACTTACAACATTCTTTTTTCTATCTTCTGGCAAGACTTTCCAAGTCCTGCTTTCTTTCCTAGGGCGATTTATTCTGGTTGCATAAGTTAAGGTTAGAAGTATTAACCAAAACTCTCGGCCCAGTTTTCTTTCATTTCTTTTGGTTTCTCATTTATTTCACTGGTAAATAGGATTTTTCTGTTCCCATACGGGAGTCATGTTGTTTTGTCGTCTTAAGTAGATCGAGGTATATTTTATTCCCTTTTGAGTTAACAATCGCATGAATCACGATATGCTAATTTGGAATAGCCCTCACGTCTCGGTATGCGGTGGCTGAAGTCATTGTTTGTCAAGAGAAAAGGTCCCCGCCCTGAAAAGAATACCAGTCACACACAAAAATCATCGAATAGCAATAAGACTGATATAAACCATCGGAGTGCTGCGCTGAATGATGGGATTTCAAGAGATCGTCCACAGGATCCGCATCCCGCAAAAAGGGCTCAATCACCGCACAGAAGTGATAATCGAAATGAAAAGTCGGATCAGACCCGTCATGTATATAAGGGACCTTATTCGATTAAGGAGAGAATTAAATATATCGGAAAGTACATCGATCGCTGGAATAAGAATCATCCTCACGACTACATTGAAATTGATATCATTGTTATTGGAGGTCTACTCGACATTAACCAAAATTGGACGGAACCAGCACCCGACTCTCAGATAAAATTCATCTGTAGGCCTGGAAAGCGCTGGGACGACGAACTTTATACAGAAAAATTACATCGTGCGTGCAAGAAATTAGAGTGGCAAATAAATGATCGATGGTGTCTTTCTACTTTGGACTCGGGTGTCCGAAGAAGAATGTTTGAAGTAATTAAGGATGATAAACCGGCCCACAAATCCAAAGGGAAAGGTATGATTATACGAAAACCTCCACCAGATTATCGATTATGTCAGCGGATTGCTCGTCTTGGCAGTCGGGAGTCAAACTCTCAGTTATACGATACCAAATTGAGTGGAATAGTGAAAGATATTGAAAGTTACATAGATAGCAATGAGCAACAGTTGGAGGGCATACGGTCCAGATTGAAGAAGGGTGTCACACCGAGAGACTTGATCAGAATATGGCAGAAAGAGTATGATTTCGAATTCAGTAATGTACTGAGCTCGCTAAAGGATAACAGAGTGGAAGGATCGAAACCGCGAGAACATATCGGCACGAGAATTCATGAATCTCACAGAGTGAATGGACCACATGATTCTGCTGTTTCTCTTCCCACCGGTCAACGATCTTCATCTAAATCAAGAGCATACTTATCAAATTATGGTTCTGAAAGTGATACATCTACGTCTACACCTACGCGTCCGCGCCGAGTGAAAAAGCAACACGATTCTGCTGTATCACTTTCAGGCACCGGTCAACGAGCTCCAATTAAGTCAGATGCACATGAACCATCAGACTATGTTTCCGACAGTAGCAAATCTACACGTTCGCGACGTACACAAGACCCTTCTCAGCCGCCGTTTCAACCTAAGCCTCCAACAAAGTCAAATTGTGAAACTCTACCAAAGACCACTCCCCATACACGACTACCAGCAATAAAAATTAATTCGTTAAGTGAGGATAGAACAAGGTCCTCTGGTAAATCTCCGAGTAGGAAATCACCTGGACGATCGCCTCACACGCCTCGCACGACTGTGGGTAGAAACCACGTTTACCAAAACACAGGCAAACCACCTTTGCCTCCGTTTTTACATCCGTCAGATCGTAGCCGTCAAAAATCTCCTGCACGGCCTGGATCTGGCGACCGCAGAATGATGACTCATGAAAAGAGTCATCGAGACACCCTAGATCCTAGTACTAGCCAATCGCAATCACGATCTTACTCCCGCATGCAAGACATTGGCAATACTAAAAGCAGGCCGGAGGTGAGGCCAAGGAAAAGTCATCGGGATTTATCCAATGATAACCTTCGATTTCGACCGCAAAAGCAAGTTGACTCCAACCTTTATTCATCAATAGACAGTAACAGAAGAAACGGATACCCCGGTTCGTCCCATCAAGACCCGTTTGTGGTATCACCCGTAGACTCTCCAGAAGATATGCCATTGAAAGGTCTGACGCCTGAGCAAAAAGATGAGGCACATAAAATAGCAATGGAGGTATACAAGAAGGAAGATCTTCATGGCAGAATTTTTATAACTCATGAATATTAATTAGTATTTCTGTGGCTAATTACTTAGAATTTGTATATAGAAGCTTGTGTTCAAGTCAAAAAGAAAATCAATTTCTTCTTCTTCGACATATGCTAATCTCCCGTGACATTCAAGATTGATGCGTGACATCCAACCACTCGAATACTTAGACCCACCTTGGGTGAATATGGAATCCAATTCTGGTGTTGAAATGACCATATATTTTCTCGTGTACCACACGTTACTCATCTTTTCATATTTATTAATTCATGTCCAGCTCAAGAAGTGGCGTTTTCCTTGAGTATTCAGGATTATTTCCTGCCTGGTTTCATCGCCTCTCAGAAAATTGTAGGCCCTTTATACATTTGATGAAGGATAGATACACAGTTCACCTCACGTATTATGAACGTTAGTTGTCTTGCAATGCACCTCGAGTCAAATCGAAATGGAAAACAAGACAGCCATGCAAGAAAAGAAACCTGACTGGTTAGACTTGATGAAACAATTTTTGGGTATCCTGAATCGAGCTTGAATACTCCGAAGTTATTGCGACCGAACACAAATTTCGCTAAATTCAGGGGCCATGATATCACACTATTCTATTCCATGATCGACAAATTGCGTTATTGGTATTGATGAGTCCCCATTAGGTTAAGTTTTATTGGGCCTTTCATACTTTCACTTTCCTAATTAGATGCGATCCCCAAATGAACCGCTTATCCCGGCTCGGATCACGTCATTGAACCAATTAGATCGGATTTGACTAAAGCATCGGTATAGAGAAATATTCGGGATGGGAAATCCGGTATAAGAATCATTTATACCTATAGACTTCAACATCAGCACTAATGAATGATCTTACGGCGTGAGTCACTACCATAGAATTACCCCGCCATCCCACTTTGACTAACAGAGACACATATCCACCCACCCACCTCAAATTCTATAAATACCACACTGAAACCTAATCTATCTCTATATTTTTCAACCACTAAACTCCCAAACAAACATACTCTCTAGTCAGCAAAATGCCAATCACACGTCTCACAAGTAAAGACATCGGATACGTTCCCGGGCAACTCCCACCCGGGCCCAAAAATTCCATTCTCGATGTTCCAGGTTCGTTACCCTAAGATTTCGTATCCCGAGAATATCACCACCCCCTGAATTTTAACTAAATATTCTAATATTTTTTAGGAGTCTACGTTGGCCAAAACACCGTTGGAAATGATGGCGAAGACGCCCGTAAAGGCGTTACTGTCATATTTCCCCGCCATCCTGATGATATCACTATCCCCTGTTACGCGGGGCTCCACACGCTTAATGGAAATGGGCAATTAACTGGAAACTACCAGATTAAAGATTGGGGATATTCTAATACCGTTCGTCTGTTCCATTCTAGCCAATCGAAGAAATCAAAAATGACAGGGAAATGTTCTAATACAAAAAAAGCCAATCGCAATAACCAATTCCCTCTCCCTCGGGACCGTCTACCAAGCTCTCTGGCAACGCGTTCTCGACGTCGCCGCCAAGAAAGAAGCTCCCGCCAAAGAAATTTCGACAAATTATGGTACACCGATTGTAGGCGAAACGGCCGATTTTATCCTCAACGATATTTATAAATCTCCTTTAACCCTCGAAGAAGTAAAACCTGCATTTGAGAACGCCATGACGCAGGGAGAGGTTCAGGAAGGTCAGTATGGAGGGGGGGCTGGTATGACTTGTCATTTGTTTCCTGGGGGAACGGGGACCAGTTCGAGGGTTTTTGGAGAGATGCCTTGGGAGAATGGGGAGGGAGAGGGGGAGAAGAAATTCACCGTGGGTGTGTTGGTGCAGAGTAATTATGGACATTTGAGGGATTTCATAGTTGGCGGGGTGCCGATTGGAAGATTATTGTTGAAGGAGAGTAAAGAGTTGGAGGAGAAGGAGAGGGCGAGTGAGAAGAATGGAAAGATTGGGGAGGGGAGTATTATTATTGTTTTGACGTGGGTTTTCTTTTTTTTACAATATTGGTATGAAGTAGGGGCTGCAGCTAACGAAACAATAGTACCGACGCACCACTCCTCCCTCATCAACTCAATCGCGTAGCCCGTCATTGCGCGGTAGGACTCGCCCAAGTTGGTGGCCATGGCGTTGGTCGCAATCATTCCGGCGACATAATTCTCACTCTCTCTACTTGTAACAAACCCACCGAGACAGTCGGCACACCACAAGTTGACGGGCTTTCGAAAATCGAAATCAACGATATCAAAGTCATCCGAAATGAAAGTATCGAGACACTTTTCCGAGCCGCAAGTGAAGCTACCGAGGAAGCGATTTTGAATTCGATTATTGGGGGCAGAGACGGGAGAACGGGAGTCGATGGGTATAGATTGGAGGGAATACCGGTGGGGAAAGTGAGGAAGTTAGTGGAGAAGTATAGAGTGAATATTGATGATGATAGTTGTCTTTCTTCGGGGGAGTATCTTGCGTTGCCGAATAAGGGTGCAGAGTAAGAGTGGATTTTCTATGTGAAATGAAAGGACCGGTTAGCTTGGACCTACCTATTAAAAAACTTATGTAGATACCTCTTAGTGGCATAATGTACCACTTTGTCTTCCTATGTTGATATTAATCAGCAATTTGAGAATTGCTTTATAGTGATTACCATCAGAGATGTATTAGATCCATAATATGATTCCATGATGTACATCTTGCCGACCAAAACCTCGTACAAATGATTGGTTTTCATCAGCCGCATTTCAATTGAGTGGCCAAAGACTCCTCAAGATAGTTCAACACCTAGAAAATACCTTCATATCCCGTAATACCCAAGATAAGATTTTATAGAGCCCCTCAATTAAACGAAAAGTTTAAACCCTCCCGTAACACCCTTCTGAAAAACACCCAGCGGATCGTACTTCTTGCTCGCCGCCTGAAGCTTCGCCTTATTCACCGCTCCATACCCATCAATTGGATCCTGCCAATTCGCTGCATAATTAATATACTGCCAGTCATTGTAGAATCCAGATGCCTTTGCATAGACATCAATTGTGTCGAACATAGTTTTTGCTGTATTACTAGCAACAGTATCGTCGGCAATACTACCCCAGGTTACGGTAAGAAGAGCGACGATTAGTGGACCCTCAGCGGGAGTTACGCCAAGGAGGTTCCCCCCGGTAGAAGCTGATTTGGCGGGGACGCTACTGGGGATTGGTTCCAAAGATAAAGACCAGGTAACATTGGAGAGAGATTGAATAGATGGAAGAGCGGCATTCCAGGCGTTGTAGGTTGCATTTATCATTTGCTTATTGGCTTCAAATGTTGTTGTTATGAATAGTGTTCTATGAGCATGTTAGTACAAACTGATGTAGGGAAAATCCAGAAATTAATGCGAAACACACCGTAATTGAGTAATTGTGCCTGCTGTTTCACCTCCAATGTCGGTCAAATTTGTGATTCTCAATGTGTTCGAGTATTGAGGTTGAATTGCCGTGAAAGGCTGGTATGCTACCGGGTTTGCGACCGGCTTGGTATATACGATGTTGTTGACCACCACGGATCCGACACTTGGTTGGAATGCGAAACTCGTGATCAAAGAGGCATACTCATCATAAGCTGGGTTGCTGCTGAACTCTGCCAGTGCATCGATCTGTTGGTCCGCGGTAGTTGCTGGATACAAAACATTGCCGCCCCACAGCTTGCCTTGTTGAAATGCATAGAAATCGATTCGGGTGACTACACCGAGATTATTGGAGCCGCCTTTCAAAGCTAGATATAAATCTGGATTTTGATTCGCATTCGCATTGACAACTTTACCGCTTGCAAGGACTATTTCAAAGTTTTTGACATTGTCACATGTAAATCCTTTCCTGGGGGAGAAGTAGGAGATTCCACCTGTACATGTAAGTTGACTGATCGATTGGGAATGTAAAACAAATTGATCAGCTAGACTCACCACCAACGGTCAATCCTCCGACACCAACCGAGTTGACTCGTCCACCAGGAACAGCAAGTTGTAAAGCATCTAACTTGAGATAAACTTCTCCCCATCTTGCTGCTGGACCCACTGATACCACTGACTGGTCGGTGCTAACATCTATAAAATTAAGAGGACTCAGGTTTATCGTTACTCCTTGATTGATGTTGGCTTGGCTTACTCCAGGGGCATGACCTCCGGATTTGATAGCGAATTGGCATGAAGGACTCCAGTTTGCAAGCTTCCCGAGAATGGACAGAATTCCGACTGAAATCGAGACATCTGTTGTGGATGTTGGTGATACAATACAACCTGGAGATAGTTGTGATTCTTGCTGGGAATAGAAATTGTTCAAAAATGTGCTATATGCTGATGTATTTGGGTACGAAACTTTTGAACCCAATGCCAATTGAAGAGCTTTGCACTATGTCATGAGGTTAACAGTTTGCCATCAGAGTATCAGAGGGGGCAAGATGATTCGAATAAATTCATATTGATCAGTGATGAGAAAAGACCGTAGACTGCCGATGCCAAATAGAGATTCTTACGCAAATATTCGCATTTGTAGTTGGAGATTTTGTAACACTAGTAACAGCCGAGTTAATAGTAGCATTCGCATCATCAGCATTTGTAGCAACGGAGAGAGCATATAATACCGGTAAGACAAAAGTGATGGACAACATTCTGAGGAAAAGAGAAGCTTGAAGTATCAAACACCTTCCACCCGGAAACATCGGAGATCTTATACTTGAAATTTCGGTATTTAAGTTGACGGTAGTTCCCGCTCGCTGACATAAATGGGCGCCCTTCCATACTTTTATTATCCCTTGGCAAGGATCCTCCACAACAACTTTGTATGTGGGCCGCCCCTGATGCTTACCATATTGCAAAGCAATCTACGGAGTATATTCTACCATGAACATGCGGAGATGTTCACAATAATCGTCCAGGCCAATGAAGTGCTTGTAATATCGACTATTTGGATTGAGTTGTCTAAAGCTAGAATCTGACTACGAAGTGGAAGTGATATATAGAGTGCGCCAGTGCACATGCCATATCTTTTCAACCGGAGAGATATTTTGGTGAAGATCCTTGGCTAAATGATAAGTTTGATTCGCAGGAATTGATGTAAAAGGCTTATAGCTCTCAGTACTTGACATCGTCTTTTCAATCTAGCACCACGTGTGATGGCTATACAGCCATAAGATACGCCTCCAGCTTTTAAGGCTTATGGCTTTTCCCCCCAAGCATTTCAGAACCGCGAGTGGCTGGCTATACGCCGGATACATCGAAAGTTCGTATAATCATTACTAGATGATATGGATCTTCGATCTACTCGCAAAGCGGGCTACCCAATATATTTGGTAGCGATATCAAAGGAGGTTGTCTCGAAAAGGAGGTTGAAGTCAAACCCCGTGAGCGAGGTAATTTGTAAGCCGCATTTGACCTAACACCCGAGGCTCCGACACAACAATCTTCATCAACATCACTCATGTTGTTCTGACCTCACATCTTCAATTTTTACGTCAAATTCAATACTCGGGATCGTTCTGATATCGTATATCTTCGATTCCTGCACTCTAACCATTAGGATCTCGAAGATTCTCTCAAAGATCACTAGTCAAATTCCACACGGCACTATCACTCACTCATTGACGGGGATACTAATCACGATTTTTTCAAGACCTTGGCCATTTCAGACTGCTCAATGAGCCAGATACTTATCGTAGTCTTGAGGAGTAGAAGTGTTGCATGTCAAAATTTCTTACCTATCCAGAACATAGGTTGGATTCTTCATGGCGACCCTCCACAATAAGTCGCTCGATGTTTTCCATGTTTGGACCTGCACTCAGATTGAATGATTGTGCGAGTATTAATCTCTGTTCATTGATTGAAAAACATACGTCGAGAAGGGAATAAAGGAACGCTACCCCGTGGAATCATACATTTTGAGATGGCCATCCACCTGACTAGTCAAGTGAAAAATCATTGCGATTTGAATCATATCTCTCCGTTTATTGGCAACTCCATTTCCGATATCTCTTCATGTGAGAATTGCTATTTATTACATGATATCTGCTTCCGTCTTCAGCAATTGTCAATTAGTGATGGTGTACGTCTTCAGTGGAACAGTGCACTTACCAAAGTCCTCCCCCAAAATCCAATCTTTCTCTGAGGACTATCTCTACGGAAGGATGAAAATCATGAATGCTGAGATTTCGTACTGCATCGCATAGACGTTCAGCATTTGTCTCACCGATACCTTTATCTATCCTATCCACCTGCTCGAGCACAATCTGAATGCGCATATTTGCCGCTATTGAGCATGAAACCAGTCGATCGAGCCACTGTTGTAGTGGTTCATTCGATGTAGCTGGAGCATTAATGCAAAGATGTCTTGGTGAAGGTGTGATGATCAAGTTCTGAAAACCTTCCATGCCCAACAGTCGCAGTGGAAATTCTCGACAGTGATCTCGTCCTCCCACAACCCAAAGGGTATCCCGCTCAATATCAAAGTACACGGGTCGCCCTTGCAATAATTTTCCAAAACTAAGCTTGTATTTCTTTTGGGCGATATCTCGTGAATCTTGACAGATGTGAAGCAAAGCCGGAATCTTAGCTTTGTATTTGTGTTTTGCAGTCAGAATAGAACCCAAGAAATCTCGACTTCCTGACCGGTAAACTTTGTATTGCCACCAATACAATTGGAGTTTAACTGTTCGAGGCTCAATTTCCTGGAGCGCGAAATTCCAGACGGCTGATTGTAGTTCTTTCGGTAGAAACTTGAACATTTTGAAGGTGCGGAAATTCCTAGGACTGGAGCTTTTGATTGATTTCCGAGACTTCGCTTCTCTGATGTGAGATTTAATTTCAGAGTGAGCTACGAGGCCCAGACAATGGCCGAAGTAGATTGATGCCAACGTGGGGCCACAAACGATACCACCTATGACCCAAGCTGTAATCTTTGCAGATTCAAAGGCATAGAGGTGTATTTTCGAGAACTTAAAAGGCATGTTGAACGTTGAGTAAATTGACACTTTTATCAAATGACTTTTAGGATATCTTGAAAGTAATAGAAAAGTTGTTTTAAGGAAACTTATGGCCATTCTGAGGTCTTGTAGCTTTCCTGCTTTAAGACTTCTTGAGGATAATTGGAACCATATGATTGAACTATTATATTAATATTCAACTATCACAAACATTTGACTTTTTTGTAGTGAATCTCAAATATCTTTCTGTGATTTTTGGGACAAGATCATTACAAGATTGTTATTGATTGAACTCTGGATAACTCCTGATCAAGCTTGGGATTGGCGATCGAAAGAAAACATGAAAAGAAACCTTCCCATCAATAATGCTTCAAGCCATGAAAACAAAGGCTGTATTTCAGAGGAACATGATGATTGGTGAGGAAGCGATACACTCAGAACGTACCTAGTGCTAGTGAGTCCATGTACTGTAACACCGAACCACCGCGCTTAGTTAATACACATACATATAAACAAGCTAGTTTCTTAACAATCCTCTCGTCAATCACAACTTTTACATCAACACAAAACCATCAATTTCTACCAAAAATTTGGTTTCATAGAGCACAGATAAAATCACCTTAATCATCAATGACACCAGATACCTTCTTCATTAAAAGTCTAAGGAAGTATTTCTGGACATCCACCTCGTCGTACAGACAGCGCTTCGCACAAATTATTGGCATTTCAAAGAAGAGAACAACATCGGTAATCGAACCAATGTCCATCATGTCGCAGTTTCATCTTCAAGACGAACATCAGCCCGATAGCCATGACCAATCCGGTGCTCAAGATCAACCCCAAAATCGCGATCAACCTCAAGCCTTAGTTCAACCTAACCGTCAAGGCTTATGTCAAACCCAACTTGACAATGAAGCTGGCAGTTTTACCTGCTTTCCCAGATTACCTCTTGAACTACAACGCAAAATTTGGGAGATTGCTGCTGTACCACAGCCTCGGGTCATTCAAATTGAAACAATCTGTGAGCGAGATGCTGAGGGAAAAATCCATCCCAATGATGACGACGATGACGATGCTGATGATGAACTTATACATTGGAGTCCTACACAGTGTTCACCAACACCGTTGCTTGCAATCTGTCGTGAATCGCGGTCGATTGCCATGAAGCATTATAAATACTCTAGCTTCCTCCATCGTCCTCTATTTTACCATCCAGATTCAGACATTCTGTGGGTCAGAGGAAATCCGCTTTTTCAATCTATCACTAATGATCCACCAAGCGAGACGACATTAGAAGTTCTTTTTTGGCAGAGACGTTATACCGAACTGAGGCCATATCTTTTCCGTTCCGTTGCCCTCGACTTTGCGGGAATTAAAGCACATCATAAGATTGTAAATAGGGTAAACATACCGCAAGACCCCAGTCTTTGCACGCTTTATGCTATCTCTAAAACAGAGGTTGAAAAGGTGTACATCGTTTACTCTTCTAGGGACTGCAGGGTTGAAGTTGACCAGGAAATCAAATACCTAGTCGAACAAATTAAATTCAGTGCCCGACACCTCAATAACTGGATCCAGAAATTGCTACAAGAAAGGAACGAACGAGATGGCACGAACTTAACTAAGTGGAAGATGCCTACCGTAGAGGCAATTTTAGATACTCGACTTCTTAATCCCGTCGAAACATTCCACAACATCCCTGGTCTTCCTCTCGGAATACGACGCGCAATCTAGAAATTCACCACAATCCCACAGCATCGCACCATTCAAATCGAAACCAAGTTTGAAGGAATCGAAGTTGAATCAGATAGCGGCCGCAAAGCAGTTTAGAGGAACCAAATGATTTCACCTTGTTATCCCAATGCCCTTTTCGAAAGCTGCCACGAATCACGGCACATTGCAATCAAGAAATATGACCATAGCATGTCTCATAAAATTTCTAATCAAGCTACAGAAGAGTGTAACATTTCGCCTCAATTTTCATTACAATGCGGAAAACGATATTATGTGGATGAGAGGAGACCTTTTACGCAAGACCACCTCGGCAGGAGTCTTCCCCGGAATACTACACAACGCTTGTTACGATCAATTTGCGAACATTGCTATTGACGTGGAAACGTTGTTTTCAAATAATTTTCTCCAAGGTCAAGCGATTGTACTTGCTGCAGATCAATTCCGTCCAACAGATGACATTCGTACCTTACCTTTTTTTGAAACTTTCGCCCCGAAAAAGTGGTATTTGATTTACTCCAGATCAGACCAAAAGGGCTTGGCTACTGAGACTTCGGATCTACTATTAGCTCATATGAAGCGCAATGAAAAGGGAAGAAAGGAAAGATTCGATTCGATCATGAAACTCAAAGGTATTGAAGGATGTCTATGGACATGGCCAGTAGTTGAAGCTATTCTGGAATCCGACTTATCTGAAGACAAAAAAGGTTGGAGGAATAACATTATTGTGAGATAGTCCTTTGGTTTGCATATGATACGGACGGAGGAGTTATATGACTGAAAACTCAATATTTTTGGTAGGGTCCGAGTAGGGTGATATCGCTGGCTACGATCCGATACGATTTCCTTTGTTTGTTTGTTTGAGCAATGGATCTGAATAGTTAAAAATTTAATTTTCAATCATCATGTTCTAATTTGTGACCAATGATTCCTTCTACTATGCACAAGATGAAGCAGACTTGACATCTATACCCATTCAAAATCTGACTATCCCACTTGCTTCATAACTTTTGGAACAGAATAGTGAATTTCGAGATCCATAAAACAAACTAAAGATGCCTATATCATGTTTTTCATCTAATGTACTAAACAATCTCTTCTTCATCAGACCAAGAATACGGGTTTTCAGTTTTTTGTTCCCTTCCATATATACTCATGAAGTAGTTTTTTACTCCCATCTTACATTAACCAGCCATAAACTAGTAAGCTTCAGCTTGCATTATCAATTTCAATAACAATTCCGAACTCACACTTCTTATCCCAGCGAGAGCTACGCAATTTATGTCTGTATATACCTATTTTCAACCACCACAAAACCCATGTCATCCCCTCGCTAAATTTCTCCACTCCATACAATGGTGTTTCGAGTTTTTCCCCAAAAATAACAGATCCAGAACAAATCCCTAGTTCAAACTCCTTTATACGGAACACTTATAATATAATCCCTCTCTTTCTGGAATGCTAATTTGAACCTCCAAATCTATATAAATATCATTCTGATGTACTACCACCCCAAAATACTCCATCCCTCTTCGCTCAGACTTCTCTATATCCACGTTTAGACCGTGCAGCAGATACCTGGGTGGCAGATAATAACCAGCCTTGACATATATCTCGTACACTACCAGTACGAGGCGGGTAATATTGAAATATTGACATATAATCTGCTGTGCGGGGTATCTACAGATTACCTACGATTATGGATGATATTTGCGCGGGCTGTTCATTTTACAACTTTGGCATTTCTGGATGTCCATATTTTTATCTTTATAGCTCCATATCCCCGTATCTGCATATCTCCATATCTCCAACACCTCCAACACCTCCAATACCTCAGGTACCTCCAATATCTCCAAAAACTTGATACTTCCAATACCTCGATACTTCCAACCCAAAACCCAAAACACAAACACCACCAAATCAAAATCTCAGAACCCACACACACAGACATACACATACCCTCTCTATATTCATACTCTAACCCTCAGAACAACCTACATAACCCTTCTAATCACCCCACTCTCACCTCTCACCTCCATCTCTCCTCCCTATACATCTCGCTTCACTAAACAACTTCGTTTCCTACCCTTTTCTTTTCTTTCTTTTCACTCGACTGAACTAGACTGAACTGGCCTGAACTGGACTGGACTAAGCCAAATAAACTGGAATGAGTAAATAAGCGAGATGATATAGAATAAACTGTTTATCAGAAAATAAGTATCTCCTGTTAACAAAACCACTCATATAGATGAATCATGATTTATATATTATTATATTATCAATTCTCAAGATTCTAGATTGAAGATTGAAGATTCGAAACTCTAAAAACGAAATTCAAGATTAATATTCGAATTCTAAGATTTGAGGATTAAGACCCAAGACCCGAAACACAAGACACAAAACATCAGACACAAAAGTCAACAATCCAAAAAGAGAGCTACAAAAAGTGATAACTTATATCTATAGAAATGGATTTTAAACATGAAGATGGGGATGGGGAAAAATGAGAACGGCTTTCACCTAGGTGTATCTTAGTTTTGAATACTTGATTTCGAGTTGTTTGTGTAAATATGCATAGCAGAGCGATTAATGATATTAGCAATGAATTACTCGGCTCATTACTCGGTTCATCACTGATCTCATCAATCTACTTATCACTTTACTCATCACTCTACTCATTTCATTTCATCACTCGACAAATCACTTTACGTTCCTTTGATCCGCTCTCAAAAACAATTTATACACTAATGAACCCTGATATCATATACTATACCAAGCTACCAACTCCTCAATCTACTGCATGCAGTAAAGTAAGATTACATTCTACACCAATTCCATCATCTAGCTTTCATTCATAGCTAGCCCGCTAGCTCGCTCGCTATCCTCCCACAATGTAGATCTACAGACACACCCCCCTCCCTCCCTACACACATATATATAGCACCAAGTAAACTCCACCCATGGAAATCAAATCCTCACCGCAACCATCTCAGCAGCTTTCCCCGGAATACCTCCCATTTTCTCATCGTCCCAATCAGAATTCGATGAATTTCCCACCGATCGAGTAAGTCTCTCCAATTCCTTCTCGCAAACTTTCATTACATCGTGACTATAGAAGTATTTTTGAAAGTCTTCTGGAGTGGCTGTTGGTGCGGGGTAGTGTTAGCTTAGCTTATTCTTCTGGTTTACCACATCGATGTAGATATTCAGGGGTTGGTATTTTTGGCTCTATTTTCAGATTCGCGAGCTTATATTCGGTTTTCCTCTAATCCTAATTCTGCTGATGCATCCTCGAAGATTTAGAGGAAGTGAGGAGGGGATATAAATTCGAAAGGACTCACCAGGCGGAGGTTGGCCCTCCTCCATATATACCTTGACCTTCTTTTTATTTTCTTCTGATTGAAAGTATCCACCATTTGACAACATTTGCGTGGCACTTGCGCGATTTCTTCTTATTTTTTCGAAACTGGTAAGACGGGTTGAGATGGTCTCTTGTGTGATGCTTCCTTCCGGGAGATTGGAAAAGAGCATGCCGAGGGCACAACCATCTTCGATGGCTTGGGCGCCAGCTTGGCCTTGGACTATCGGGTGAGAGGGGTGTTAATATAAGGAATTGAGGATTGGGGACTGGAAGTGATATAAGGATGAAGACAGGGATGAAGGGAAAGGTGCGAAGAGGGGAAACAAAGTAGAGGAAGGCATACAAGGCAACATAGGATGTGCAGCATCTCCTAGAATCACGAGTTTTCCTTGATGCCAAGAAGGCAGTGGGGATCTGTAAAGAAGTTTCCAGAGTCTGACATCTTTTGTCTTTGATAATAAATGTCGAAGTGCAGGATGACAATCTTTGAGTTCATCGAGAAGGACTTGGGTTGGGATACAATTATTCCAGTCTAAAATATTATCGATTTAGTTTGTTGAGACACTTGACACAATGGTTGGAAGAAGCAAGGCTTACCGTGGGAGGGGTCAAGATCCTCTTTATCGGCACAAAAGAGTGCGATATTGAGTACTTCGTTCCTAAATACAGCGTAAGTATTGAGAACAAAGTGGCAAAAATGCTAAATATGTAACATACTCTCGACATGGATACCAAACAATTTTCTGATGTTCATATTGGGGCCATATGAACATCCGAAGTTTTCCTTCCATTTCTTCCATGAAAAATGCACATTCAGGATCATCTCGAATCTCTTGAACAGGTATCAAGGTTCGAAAACAAGTGATACCTGTTGGAATTGCTGGATTCTCATATCCGACTACTTTTTTCACTGCTGCGGAATGTATACCATCAGCACCGACAATCAAGTCTGCTGTCATGACGGTTCCGTCAGCGAGAGTCACTGATCCGTTTATAGTGTCCTGTGATAAACTTTAGTAGAGACCATTGAGAAGTTTGGATATATCAATACATAATCAAAAACTTCGCATTTATGGCGAATCACAGCTGGTTTTCCCTGCCCTTCTTCTCCTATGGCAAGCAACATTAATTCTGTGTGTAAATCAACTCTGTGACTGTAGAAAGATTTGATGCCGTATTTTTCTTCCATATTATCCCATTCTACCAGGTCGGTATCAACGAGTCCTTCCCCCAAGGTAACGGTTATGGATTTTGCAGTAACTAAACGTGCTCTTTTGAAATCAAAACCCCATTCGGCGACGATTCGAGCTGCATTGGGTTGAACGTCTAGAGTGTATTAATATTTTCAGAATTTGGAAATAGGACGGGTGATTTTGCTCACTGATAGCCGCACCGACTTCATGGGATAGAGAGGATTTATCGAAAATCTTGTATATTTATTAGTATTGAAAGAACATGTCAGATGACATTATTTGACTTCTCAAATCAACAATGCACTGGGAAAAGAATTGTTCGTACCAACACTTCATGACCGGCTCTTCTGAGACCAATTGCAGCCGCGAGACCACCGATTCCTGCTCCAACGACAATGACCTTCATTCTCGATTTTGGTTTATCAAATGCTTGCGTAGAGAAGTTTCGTTCTGGGACGGAAAGTTGTATATGTGTAGCTCGGATAGCAAAGATCGACCGAACACGTTCATTCAAAAGCTAGAATAAACTAACCTTACCGAGTGACGATCATCCGCCTGGTCTAACGGAGAATTGATTGATTTTGTTATTGAGATTAATATCAGGTCGAAAGCTTCCTTTGAGCCATTCAGAGGTTTTCTCATCTCTTTAGAGACTCAAACCACAATCTACTATAAATATTCGCGTAGGGGTTTGTACTACATCTTATATGTAGTCTTTGGGAATAATCAGAGCTTTTATTTTCCAAGATTATATATTAGAAAAAACACCACTATGAAAATTCTGATTCAATAAATTAATGAAATAGTTATTGGGGTATGTATATGTATCAATTTTGATATATCTGGTTTATAGAATTTTTGTTTGGATTAATTATTAATATATATTAAAACGTTATACGAATGTTTATAGTAGTTTATTGTATAAGAGTCGCTTTGCTCGTCGAAGACGATTAGACTAAAGAATGCCTTTAAGTAGTCATCAAGAATCAACCACATACAGGGAGAGCGGAAGGCGGAAGGCGGAAAAACGATATCTTTGGTTGCGGCTTTGAGAATAGATAAAGTTGAAGGGGCAAATGCAGTGTGATATCTTGATCACAAAGTTGGAGCCTCGGACTTTTCAAAAGTGTCCGTTTTGCGTGTACTGCACTGCAATATATCATTTATGCCATGGAATTGACATTGCTGGGGCTCGATAGGTTTATATGCTACGAACAAGATGCTTTTAGATCGACAACCTCATGAAACTAATAACAATTTGTGGTTCAGCAACAAACAGACCGCGTATACATCCCGTTTGACGTTTCTTGGGTGAGTAGGCATTTCACCAGTCCATTGAGGCGACTGATCCTCTAGATTTGGTCACAGTGTATATGAATCTCTTCACTACGGAAATTCCCTGTTTCGACGGATATGATCTCATATTTTCGAGCCCACATCGATGGTCCCGTTGGTTCTCTTGAACGGTCTACTAGGTGGTGAATGCTCGATGCCAAGGTGAACTTCTCATTTCCGTTTTGAGCATACATTGATCGCATGGGTGGGTATTTGTTGATGATTGTCGAAACGGACATCTGGGAGGGAGATCTCGTTGTACCATTTCTCTTGGTTCTGACATCCAGGGATCCTTTGTCAATCATCTTCACGGGTTCCTATTTCTTAAACGAATGTTGTTGGCCAGCTGTATCTAGGTGGCACGTCGGTAGTTGCAGACGGGAAACCAAACACACAGATAGCCTGAGAGCAAGAAGGCATTGAAAAGCAGGATCACTTCCTGCTAGTATGTACATATTATTCATTTGTGTACCGAGATATGTCCCATGTTCAGGGGGGGGGGGGGGGGGGGCGGGTGTGGATCATCATCGTCGTTTGTAGAGAGTAGAATATGTGTGTTGTCTGGGTGTATGTCTGGGTGTGTATCTGGGACTGAAACCTTAATAATAAGGTTAAGGCCACTTTATACGAACATACATAACAAGGTCTTTGACTCCATACCGAGGCCGATTTGGTCGATATGACCAAAACCCTAAAAATAGATTTCTATCTGAAGCAAAAAAAATTCTAAAATTTGTATAATGTGGCTATAGAAAACTTGAAAAAAATATTTGTATCATACAAAGCACAATCTCATTATATATTATTATAAAAACTATATATAATATATCTTTAATTTTTCGAATAATATAATAGTAATAATAATATTATTGAATTATAATACTTATTTTAATAATAAACTATTATTACACCTTACTTTTTAATAATTATATAAAGCTTATATAATTACCTTAATATATATAATCTTATAATAAATAAATATATTTAATATAAATAAATAATTCAATTTATTTACTTTTTAATTAAAAATCTTTTACTTAATTTAAAGAAAGTTAATAATATTAAATTATATAATTAATATATCAAAATAATATTCAACTTTATTATAATTAATAATTATCTTTTCTTTTTACTAATCTTTAATATATTAAATTCAAAATATTTATAGGATTTATTGAAATTTATATTCTTTGAATTATTAGAAGTTAATAAAAATTAATATATATATATTTTTAACCTATATAGTATTTTCTATATAATATTTATTAATATTTTATTAATTAAAATATTATTCTATATATATAAATTATTTAAAGTATTTTGAATATAAGATTTAATATAAGATTTAATAATATAGTTTTAGTATAAAAGAAGAACGAAGTTCTTATTATACTATATAGAAGCTATTTATATGTACCTCGATACTCTGATGCGCTAGTATTAGTGTATCATTTAAAATAAGATTTAATATTAATATAATATAAAAAGCTTATTAATATAATAATAAGATTATGTTTTATTCTTTTAAATTATATAACGATTTTAAAGATTTATATATTTATTTACTTTTTCTTTAATTTATTTTTATAAAAAAAATTATTTTTTATTAATTTTTTAAAATAATTTTAAATAATATTAGTAGTTAATTATATAATAAAAAATAAAAATAAAAATAAAAAATTAGATTGAATATAATGAATCAAGAGAATTTTTTAATTATTTTTATAAAATAAAATAAGGAATAAGAAAATGTATTTTTCATTGATAAAATAATAAATTTTAAAGCTTTTATTATTCATTTTTAATATATTAATTTCTATTACTTTTCTAAATTAAAAATAAGCTTTAATTATAAGAAGAACTTTATTTTATTATTTACTTTAAAAACCCTAAATATTATATTATTTTTAAAGTATTATATTAGATATTGATATATAATTAATTCTAAATATTTCTTAAATATTCTTATAAATATTTATATAATAAATTAGGAATATATATTAGTATATATATAAATTTCGAGTTTATAAAAGCTAATTTATTCATTAATTAATCAAAATTTAATCTAAAAATTTAATATTTTTTTATAAATCGATTGAAATTATTTTATAGATTTATAAATATTTTTAGAATTCATAATTTAAAATATATTAAATAATATATTTTGAAAATAAATATAAAATATTAATATAAATGTATTTTATAATTTTAATTAAAAAAATTATATTATAAAATAAACTTCTTTTTTCTTTAAAAATAAATATATAATAATCTTTTATTATATTCTTGAATATATTTTAATTTAATATTATCTTTTAGAATTTTAAATGAATATTAATCTTATTTATATTATTCTTTAAATAAAAACTTTTTATAAAGTTTGAAAAATAAATATATATTTTTAATATATTTTATAAATATATTATAATTATTAATTTTAAAAGCTTTTCTTTAATCATTATATAATAAAATAAAATATATAATAATTTTGTTTTTAAATATAAAATTATTATAGTTAATTTTAAAATTTTGATTGAATCTTTAAATATTAAAGTATTTAATAATAATTCTAATTTTAATCTTAATAATAGATTTAAAAAAATATTATTTAATATTATAAATATTATATTTATTGTTATATTATTTATAAATTGATTCTTTATATTAAGTTAATAAAATTTAAGGTTAAATTATTATAATTATATTAATAAAATTATATAAAATAAATAAGAAAAAATTAAAGGAAGTTGAATATCTATAAAGAAATAATATATTAGTATTTATAAAGTTTAAAAAGAAGAAAGAGTATTAAATTACAAAAGCAATTTAGTAATAAATAATATTAATTCTTATTCTCATACTTCTGAATACTAAATACACTTTTTCATTAGGCAGAAATCTATTTTTAGGGTTTTGGCCATATCGACCAAATCGGCCTCGGTACTCCAGACTCCATCCACTTAAGGTCTTTGAATGTATGAAATACGGAGGACCGTACCACACCATTATTCTTAACTTAATAATGACGCTGTCGTCTTGTTTATTCTGATTATTGCACAAATGATCTGATGGTCTTTGTTTCCCTTTTAAGCTGGCCGGCGATGACTTCGTATACCGATACACCGAGATGCCTATGAGTAGTCTGTTTGTATAGCATTGATTATTGATCATGATCACGATTACCCATCATCTTTTCCTATTTTGTATCACATTACGATTTTATTTTCTGATGAGCTTCATTGCTCACTGTTGAATGTTCACTGTCCATCTCCTTAATGCAACAAGGAAGGCTTGAAACTTCGGCGTATGGTTATGGTCGTGGTCTCAACAGAAGTCGAACCGGAGCTCATGAGTCACAATCGAAATCATTCCCTCGCCGTTCCCCTTGTGGAAAGTTCTGGTTTGAAGATGGATCAAATGATATGATATATCCATCATGGGAAGGAATTTCTGACAAGTTATGTCTGACTTTGGTGAGATTTGAGATTTGACATTTGAGTTTTGAGATATGATATATGCGATTGAGAAGCCACGATGATGGCAGATACGGGGTTGAGACATACCTACACATTCAACAAAATTCTGTTGACACAAAACCAGAGTTGGTATAAATCATGGCTCTGTCTCAAAGGTACTCGTAGAATTCCTACATCCAATTCTTTCACTCAATTCATTTCTCCTTCTTCACCTGCAAAGAATTCCCCTATGATGTCGGAAGTTACACCAGAACTCAAAACCTACAATGGAAACTGCCATTGCGGTGCGTTCAAATTCACAATCAAGATGCCTGAAATAACTACAGTAACTCAATGTAACTGCAGCATCTGTTTCAAAAAAGGATATCGATGGGTATTTCCTGCGGAAGGTTGTTTTGAGATTACCAAGGGAGAGGGGACTTTGAAAGAGTATCATTTTGGACAACGCACAATGGCTCATAGGGTACTACTACCTACCATTCTCACTTATGAAATTGATGCTTATGGATCTAGTTTTGTCCAACATGTGGATCGAACATACAAGGATTCCGCTACAACACTCCAGTGGGAAGAGATATTGGTATCAATGTGAGTTTGAACAATTCCAAAATCTACACACATGTATATCATGACGATAAATGACTGATAGTTGCTTAGGTCAATTCTCTCCAAGATTTGGATCAATGGTCCTTGAAAGTTAACAAGTAAGCTGCACCCATTGACTTCTCGCAGCGGAGAGGAAGTTTTAACATACAATCCTCAGATATAATGGCCTTGATCGTGAACCACATTATGTGGCACCTAAATACACTGGCGAATCACCATCGGCCAAATTCGAAAACGGAAAGCTTTATACTGGTGGTTGTCATTGTGGTGCAGTAACTATTGCATTTAAGACTCAGGCTCCCTTACCCCAGCGTCATGAATACATACAGGAGTGTAATTGTAGCATCTGTTGTCGAGTAAGTATTCTATCGCCAGTCCACTTTGATATTCAGCTAATCACCTACAGCTCGGCATCACTATTTGTTATCCCAGGAGAGACCAAGTATCTGTTTCGGGCATATCGAACTTGACAGAATATTCATTTGGTCAGGGTTATAACATATTCCGGTTTTGCTCAGCTTGCGGGATCACTGTCGATGTTGAAAAGGATATGGACGCAGTATCTAAATTTCCTAAGACTTGGGAATCATTGACACCAGCACAACGGGAAAGATGGCCAACGATTCATTCAATTAACTTGCGCTGCTTTGAGGGAGTCGAGTGGGATGATATTAGCATCTACAAAGCGAACACCAAAGCGATAGATCCGCAATATGTTGTTCCGGAATAATCGAGGTCTGTTCAAGATAAATGGAGAGGCGGGGGCAGGGAAACGCATTCGGTTGAATTATGGAAGGGTATTGGGAGGGGCTCAAGGGGCAAGTATCTGAATTCAATCTTCACACAATGTCAAACGATATCGCTATGGTTCCTCACACATTGTTATTGATTTGTTTTCTTTCACACATTGAATTTTTGACTGCTGGCAATCCCACGGTTGTCGTACCAGAGAATTGCATTTTCACACGTTGATCTATCATTGGTTATGTTTCATCCACGTGATCACCCACGTGACCATACACCTATTTTAAGCCACTTTCACATGTAACAAACTTTTTTTTTCTTTTTCTTGCGATAGCAACGAACATTCTTATCGTCTCCTAGAAATACTCCTCTCCCCATTTCATTATGAAGTTTACTTTCACCCCCCCCCCCAACATTTTCTTTCTCTCTTGTCACAATATATAATATATATGTTCATATTCCGAATTCATTGTTCTCTCGATTTCACTTGATCCAGCATCTACGATAATAACGGTATATATATATTCATTCATCTTGGCTGAGAGGGAAATTCATCTTGATCTACAACTATTCCGGAAACGTTCGTTCTGGACCGAGACCATCACATTCGACGGGAAATTCGTGTTTGTGTCCAACCAAACATTTTGCTTGCAATATTCTACATACATTTCTCCAAAAATCTACTTCCGCACATTACCTTTTCTCCAGAATAGATGTTTGATGTATATAATGTACTCACGATCTACCCGTCGTTCCAAACTAACTATTTCTCAAGAGTCATATCTACCAGAAGACCAAGCGACATCATTTGAGGATCCGAAATTCATGATGCAGAGCCAACAATATCCACCCACTCTTACTCCAAATTCAAAAGAAGCTTCAATCTTTTATTCAATGCTTCCAAATATCGTACAATCACGTTTACCCCGTATACCATCAATTCGAAAGGCCGTTGACATATATGGATTTGTGAGTGGCCGGAAATCTGAAAGCTCTTTATCTGGAGCAAGCACACCAGGGTCCCTATCATCATCGTCAACAATAACTCTCGTCAATGAAAGAAGCTCTATATCTAGTGATGGAGAACCGGATAGCTATTTCCTAGATGACTCGCATTCTTCCGATGAAGATTTCCCTCAGCCCCTCAAGCATGGGCAACTCCAGAAAATAGGATTGTCTGAGACAAAGTCAGGCATTGGATGGAAATTTGCAAATCAAGGTTTGGCAGCTGAAATATTTAATCTAACCAAATATACTAACTGATACCTGATAGGCTATAATCTTCTTGCTCTTTCATTTGAGGAAGCATCAGCAAACTCCCAAAATACCCGATTTAGCAATACTCCCTTGGCAAGACAACTATATGTCCACGCCTTAACCTACTTACTCCGAGCTCTTCCCTCTGATCTTTCGACAGAAGAGAAGATAAGTCTACAAAGTGCTGTACCAGCAGAAGTAGTGGAGTCTATACAAGAAGAATCCTATACCAGTGAAGACAGTCAAGATTCAAATAGTAGTGAGCCTCCCTCACTGCTTCAAAGGAGTATCGCATCTATTATCATTCAACTATTTATATTATTCCAATTCATCTTACCATCTTTGAAAAACATACTTTCGTCAGCATATCAATACGATCGAACTCACAAAATATCAGAGAAGATCCTGTCCAAGGGTATAGTGACAGTTGATACGATCGGAAAATCGAGCTTGGCAGTTACAGGTCTGGTTTATGGAATGAGTGATGGGAAAGTTGGACAAGCTATTACGGATGCGGCGGCTTGGGTTGTGGAGGGGGTTACGGGTGGTGTACATGAAGGGGTTACAGAGGGATTAATTATGTTGGGTGCAAGGAATAGCACTTCGTCTAAGAAGAAATAGATAGGAGGACACGTCTATGAAGTAAAGTATCTTAGGCGGGGTTTATTTTTGACGATAGATGAATGGTGATACCCATGTGTAGAACGGGAGTTTTTTTTCTTCGGATATGGGATAAACACTGGTACTTGGAGTAGATAGGATAGAAGGCGTCATATCTTTTGATACATCAAAACAAATCAACAAATAAGAATTCTTAGTATGGTTTGGTGGTTTTACTAGAGGAGATCCAGTTTGGTGTATGGGGGCGAGCCCCCAAACCCCCATAGCTCACTGCGCTCGAATGTTTGTAATCTGATGATCTATCACCATCTCCTCTTACCCGCTGTGCTTGAAGCCTTCAGACGACCATTGTAGCTTGTGTTGGACAGAAAGACCGAGCTACAAGGAAATCAAGATACTTTATTCTTTTTCATCGTCTTCAATTTCAAGTCAGGTACCGGTACGGTAGATGGTCTGTTCGTCTCTCTCCTCTCATCCGTTTTTCACTTGGTATCCGATAGGGCCCAGTCACGTGTCGGATAATCTAGCTATCTACATACTAGCGGCACAAGATAAACTCGTTAGCGTCAAAAAAAAAGTTCTGGTAGAAGAGAAACTTCATGTCCAATTTTTGCAGAGGGGAATTCAGCGACTTCGACAATTTCAATCAATCGCCACTTTGATATTTATACTGTTGAATTCGACAGTTACACCTTCAATTGAATTGTTATTACTACTTTCTCAATTTTCATCCGCATACGGATCAGCATTTAATCATGTTTTCCGTCTGCAGAAGAGGTCCCGCCTCAATATCTAGAGTCCTTCGCGCAGTCCCTTCAACCATTCGAATCCCTTCAACCAGACCTTCAACCCTTTCTCTCATTTCACAAAAGACTTCATTGCCAGTTTTGGAGTCAAGATGGCTACATGTTTCTTCGGCTTCACAATTACAAAGTGTTGCCACTCAAGAAGCCGCCGTCGTTCAAGAGAATAAAGTCATTAATCGTTTTGATGAACTCACCAAGTATGGTTTGGTTCACCAAAATGTTGTTAATGAAATCACCCAAACTATGAAACTTGAGACCATGACAGAGGTCCAAACTTTAACTATTAACCAAGCTTTACAAGGACATGATATGTGAGTAATTAGAGAAAACATCTGGACTTGAGAACCCCATACTAATCTACTCCATGATAGTATTGCACAAGCACGAACTGGTACCGGAAAGACAATTGGTTTCTTGCTTCCTACTATCCAAAATATTCTCGAGAAGAGCCCTGAGCTCGCATCCCGTCAACGTTATTCCAAAGCAAGAGCTTCCGATATCCGCGCAATCATCATTTCACCTACCCGTGAATTGGCAGAACAAATTGCTGTCGAGGCAGTCAAGATTACAAGAAATACAGATTTGATTATACAAGTCGCGGTCGGAGGATCGAGCAAAAGAGAGATGCTTAGAAAGGTTCAGCGTGAGGGTTGTCATATCCTTGTCGGAACTCCAGGAAGACTTCAAGATCTTTTGACCGACGAATACAGCCAAGTATCTGCTCCAGGACTAACAACTTTGGTTCTCGATGAAGCTGATCGACTTTTGGATGATGGATTCTCTAAAGATATCGATAACATCCAAGGCCTTTTACCTAAACGAAGCGAAGTTGACCGACAAACATTATTGTTTTCCGCCACCGTTCCAAGAGAGGTTATGGGCCTCGTCAGAAGAATCTTGAAGCCAGATTATCAATTCGTCCAAACCGTTAAAGCAGGAGATGTAGCCACACACGAAAAAATCCCTCAAAAGATCGTCGCTGCTACTGGATTGGAGAACGTCATGCCAGCATTGGTCGAAATCTGCAAGAAGGGAATTGAAAAGGCTAACACCGAAGGTTCTTCACCATTCAAGGCTATCGTATACTTTAACTCAACCGCAAACGTTCAATTGGCTGGAGATATCATGAAAGGAATTGATTCCCTTCATTCGATTGAGGTTTCTACTATCCACGGCAAGCTTTCACAGGAAAGAAGAACTAGAGTTACAGACAGATTCCGTCGTGCCAAGTCTGCTGTCATGTTATCCAGTGATGTTACAGCTAGAGGAATGGATTTCCCAAATGTTACTCACGTCATTCAAGTCGGTGTCCCTAGAGACAGAGATACATACATTCATCGTGTAGGACGAACTGGAAGAGGAGGCAAGGAAGGAGAAGGATGGCTCTTATTGACACAATCTGAAATCCCAGGAGCTCGTCGAACATTATCCAATCTTCCAATCACACCCGATCGTACACTCGAGACTCCTTTTGTCGATATGAAACAAGATGCTCAATTACCAGCCACAACCGCAGAAATCCTCAATGAAGTCGGTCAGGCAACAAAGAGAGTTGACCGTGAAATCAAACTCGACGCATATATGGGAGCACTCAGCCAAGGTCAAAAGTTTGCCACCCCTAGGGCAATGATTGAAGACTTGAACAACTGGACCAAATTTGGTTGGGGTTGGGAGCAACCTCCTAGGATTAGCCCTGGCCTCTCACGCAAGTTGGGAATTGATAGAATTCCGGGCGTTAACATTGGACATGAACCTCGCGAAAATGATGATGATCTTGATGGTGGACGAGGATTTGGAAGCAGTGATGGTGGAAGAGGTTTCGGAAGTGGTGGTGGATCTAGTGGAGGAAGAGGATTTGGAAGTAGTGGTGGATCTAGTGGAGGAAGAGGATTCGGTGGTGGCCGAGGTGGTGGCCGAGGTGGTGGAAGTGGAGGTGGAAGTGGAGGTGGTAGAGGATTTGGTGGAAGAAGTGGTGGAAGTGGCGGAAGAGGATTTGGTGGTGGTGATAGAGGCGGAAGAAGTGGTAGAAGTGGTGGAAGTGGCGGAAGAGGATTCGGTGGTGGTGATAGAGGTGGTTCCAAAGGAGGATTTGGTTCATCTTCAAGTTTCTAAACAAGGGTTTGATACTTGATTGGTGTAACTAAGTCGCTTGTTTGTGTATCACCACTTCCTTTCCCCTTCATTTCTCTTTCTCTTTCCTTTTCATTTCGTTTTTGTCTCGGCTCATCTTGTCTTACTACAATCTTGTCAAATTTTTGACCGGTACAAAACCACAAAGAAATATGACATATGCAAGATTCGGGAAAGGGATTTGAGGGAAAAGCCGACTCTCAACTTTATGCCAGTACGATACATACAATTCTTCGATTCTTGTTGGAAAATTATAGCAAATAGACAGGAAGGATACAAAAATGGTCAAAAGGGCGGGGATTGGAGCTTGGGCGTTTCTTGTTTGGGAGCGCCGAAAGCTGTGGTTCATTCAGCAAGCGCAAAGCTCCTTGTATACCTACCTCTACGCCTATGTATAACTTACGAGCTGGATGGATAATGAGGAGAGATAATCTTTTGAAGGTATCGGATGGGATGGAGAAAAGGGAATGAAATCTTTATGGCGGAGAGTTGGGTATGGATAGATTTGGGATGGGGGGAGTGAGTGAGTGAGTGGATGGGAAATCGATAGGATGGCCGGTCATGTGGATAGGCATAATTCTACTCTTTATTTATGAATATTCTCAGGTTTATGTGATGAGCTTTTATTTTTGCTTTTGCTTTCGGTCTTGTGATGAAAATTAGTTGTGATGTGATGGTTGAGGTGCGTGATAGGATTGCATGGTAAAAGGGCTTTGCAAAGCCAAAGAGGGGGGTCATCAAGAAGTCGCTATGAAGCTTCTTGTGTATATAAGATTACTTGCTCCCTTTCTTCAGTATAACATACATATATCTACATTGGTAGACAGTATTGTTCTGGTAGCAATGAAGGAAATATTGCTTACATACCAACATATGCAGATGGTTTCATTATATTAAACTATACTAACTATTTCATCGCTTTCAACCCTTCCCGTAGGATCACTGTATATATCTATCTATGCGCGATGCGCTCTTCTCTTGCTTTCCTAGTAGCCCGATACCCCAATACCCAATACCCAATACCCAATACCCAATAACAAAGATTTTTCTCTACGATTCGGAACATCCACGCGTAGATTTTAACATGAATGACCTTATCTATAAAGATTTTCATTTTCATATCCCTCACACCAAGAGGTAAAACGCCATTCATGTGGTATCATATCGCTCCCAGGGACATGTGATTTTCCAAAGTATGCAGAAAGAGAGGAAATTCCCATTAAACTTCACTAGAAGGAAAGAAGTCGCAGAAGAAGCAAAGGAAGGAAAATTGTACCAAGTATTACGCGTTCATCACAGAACGAATATCCCAGACCAGTAATCTTTCATCCCAAGCAGTGCTGGCGCACCAACCTTCCCCAAAAAGACACCAATCAACACCGTGGACGAATTCGGTATGGGCATCCATGCGACCGATTTGACGAGGCATGGTAGCACTCATTGTACCATCAGTCCAGATGCGACAAGACATGTCATAACTGGCGCTCAAGAGGGTATCGCTAAGATGAGGGCTCCAAACTAATTTGCGAACAGCATATTCGTGTCCTGTTAAGACGGCGACAGGTCCACCACCCACATTGCGAAGATCGAACGTTCGAATGGCTTGATCGACACCAGCTGTTGCGATGACACCCTCACGATATTTATTCCAATCATGGGTAAGAGCTTCGGCTGGAGGTGAGATTTTACGATTGCTTCCGACTGCTCCCAGAGAGCCTGCACTTGGTGAGGAGCCATGGATTGGAATAAGTGAGACTAGATGATTGGAAGCCGAGGAAGGGGTACGTAGGTCGAATATTCTTAGATACGAATCTGCGGAGACAGATGAGATGATCGAGGGTGAACGAGGAGAGAAGGCAGCACTATATGTGCAAGAATGTGTAGGTAATGTAAGAATCGAGCTTGTGCGATTTGGATTCCACTGATAGTAGAAAGGTTAGTGTTACTGTCGATGAGACGATGACACCCAGACACAAGAGATCCTCGTACCAATTTGATTGTACCATCCCAAGAGCTCGAAACAAAGGTATCTTTCGAGACCAAGTTCCAATGGACAGCAAAGACTTCGCGACCATGCTCGTGGAAGTTTGCGATGGGAAATGGTTCAGGAATTGCGGTATCGAATAATTTGACACTTCCATCACCACATGCGACAACGACTTGGTTTTCGTTTGATTCGGACCATGCTAAATCGTAAATGGAATCTTGAGTATCGAAACTGTATTGGCAGGAAGTACCATGGTTAGCAAAAGCTTTGGAATTGACAAAAATGGTAAAATCCAAGTCAACTCCCGAATATTACCTACGTTTTCTGTACTTGGATACCTTGCGGAGTCAACATCAAGCTATAAAGTCTCCCATTTCCCACCAAGCCGTAATTGGCAGAAGCAGTCACACAAATTCGATTATCGAAAAAGGGGGAGTATTTGACAGCAGAGCCCTTAAAGCCTCGAGTAATAAACTCCATCTTTATTACAAAAGGGGGGAATTGTCGTCGAACCTCGACGTTGAATAGCTAGAAATGTGGGCAAGGGAAACCCCACCACCGATTTATGCCGAGGAGTTATTCGGCTGAGTAATCATGCACGTGATGATTTCAACGCTTTGAGTTTAGACTTCATGAACCACAAGGCCGTAGGGAAAAGCTAGGTATCTACTTTATATATGTGGGATTCACGCGATTGTTTTGCTAGCATCTACAAGCAATCACAAACCTGGGCAAGCTTGCACTCCAGTCATATTGACAGATTGCAGTAAAACAGTTTTCCCCATACTCTGACTCTGGCACGTCACTAGCCAAAGCAACCAGCAGTGGAACTCGATTTCGATCAGACACACACTGTGCCCTGAGGATCAATTGGTCAATATTATGGATGCCTTTATATCAAGAAAAAAGCGGAAACTTTCTGTCTCTTCCCAGTCACCACTAAAGTCAAACACGATCGACCTCGTCGAAGATCTGAGTGTTCCGGATGATGAATCAACGGATTTTAAGCTGGCTTTATTGTCATCTCTGCACCCTGAAGTTGAACAACAATTTCTTCTTGAAATGTTACTCGAACATGATGGCGATCTTGAGAAGGCCTCAAATTCCATGTCTAGTTCAGACACTTCTTCTCTACTTATACCCAAAAAGCCATCAGCCACGGTAGGATATCAAAGTTCTCTTTCCACATTCATCTCGAGTGAGAATCCCACAAAGCGAGTCAAACCTTTGTCTAGGAAAGGCAAAACTCTTCATTTGTATTCCCCTGAAGATGTTGCAGCTCACACTCCTTGTTCTATCATACATAACTTCCTACCGGTGGAAGAGGCCAATTCGCTACTCGAGGAATTATTAAACGAAGCACCAACTTTCGAAAGGATGACCTTTAAACTCTTTGATAATGTGGTTACGAGTCCTCATACGGCTTGCTTCTATGTTGAGAGTTTGGAAGAGCAAAGGGCTCAAAAGACAGAATACATTTATAATGGTGATCTACTAACGGTGAGTAGTACTCAGGATCTAAAGTCTCGGATTGCTAAATCAATAACTTGCAGGATGTCCGTCAACTTACTCCACAGATGAGAAAAGTTTCCCCTAAAGTTCAGGATGCTGTCAATTCAGAAGTTGCAGCTCGAATCAGAACACACTATCCTAATGGTCAAAAGCTCAAGTACCAATCATCAGACATATGGAAGCCGAATGCAGCTTTTGTCAACTGCTATAATGGTGGAGCAGAAAGTGTAGGATATCATAGCGACCAGCTCACTTACCTTGGACCACGAGCTGTCATCGGATCGATATCTTTAGGTGTGGCACGTGAATTTCGTGTTCGAAAAATAATCGCTCAAGAGTCAGATTCAAAAGAGAAAAGCAAAGAGTCTTCAGATGCTGAAGGTCAAATAGCTATTCACCTGCCACACAACTCTTTGCTAATCATGCATGCCGAAATGCAAGAAAGTTGGAAACACAGTATCGCACCAGCACAAGCCATTGATCCTCATCCAATTTCTGGGAATCGAAGAATAAATATTACCTATCGAGATTACAAAGCTTCATTACATCCTAAATTCACACCAAAATGCAAATGTGGTGTACCGACAGTATTGAGAGTTGTACAAAGGAAGAAGGAGAATTTAGGTCGATACTTTTGGATGTGCCACGCAGGAAATGTTCCTGGAAAAGAAGGTTGTACCTTCTTTGAATGGGCTGAATTCGACGACGACGGCAATCCGACCTGGCATAATAAATTAAAAACTGAGGCAGATATCAGTAAACCGAAAACTGACATAGAGAGCTCCTGATCTGGAAACCTCCTAATGGTCTAAGTTGCAGCACTTCACGCTTCAATTTTGGTAAGATACCAAACCTCAATGTCGCAAATAAGCTTGGATTGAACCGTTCTAAGAAGACTAGGCTTCGAAGCTAAGATGATCCGGCTATGTTAGCTCCTTGGCCTGATGAAACTACAATAAAGATGCTGTCATTTCACATAGAATTTCTTAAAGTTCTTAAATCTCTTCTACAAACGAGTAGTAATTTTCGAAAAATCGAGTGCATAACAATTCTTCCATCTACAAGAGCAACCAAAATCCCACATTCCATACATCCAAGGTTTCCCTCTTCTCACCTCAGAATTCAATTGTCGCTTTTTAGATCAAATCTAGAAGAAGCCGATATCTTCGCGAATTACTTTACACAAAAATAGGTCATCTCAGATAGGCCTGAGTCTGTCGGAAATGGCACCACAATGTGATACTTCCTACCATAGAATGCCATCGGCCATGAGCAGAAACTATTCAACCGGCGTCAAAATAACACAACTCCTACCAGCTATCTCATCCCTTCACTCACCGGGCGCCATCAACAATTCGTCAGGAAATACTGCAACCAAACTTCACCAAACAAGTGTTCATTCTACACACACAAGATTTCTGGTCAACCATGACAGTTCGATTGAGAATGAAGCTCATCAGCCTCAAGTCCAAATCGCTCGCCATTCTGTGGAAGCTCTCAGTCGATTCGGTCACCTCAATGAAGTATCCAAATTTAACAATCTTTGGACTAAAAAGGCATGGACGTTGGAACTGTTGACTCTTCGAGATTGTCAAGAGATTGAACCTATCCCGACCTCACGAATTCATATCACAGAAAAAAAGCGAAAAACACAATTTAGGTTCAGTGCCCTTCCTGTAGAAGTCAGAGAAATGATTTATGAATACACTCTTCTCAGACCTTTTGAAAAGAAAAAGAAATCCGCATCCAAGACACCCGTCTTCCTCAGAACCCTAAAAATATACGGCGCACAGCATCTGTATATTGAAGCAAAGATTACTTTCCATTCTATCAACCAATTCACATATAATATTGTAAGAACTCTTAAGTTGGCGGATCCAGAAGTATGTGGAATGTTTCGGAAATTACGTCTGATTATACCGTGAGTTTTTCCAGAAAATCCTCTTTGATAATCTGGAACATAGGTCGACAATCAAAGGCTTTCAGTTCCTAAAATAAATGGAGAATTCATCACGTTGGATAATCAATACTTTTGGAATGTTGGATTTTCTACAGACACTGAAAGCCACAGATTGTCGACTTGCATTTGTACCATAGAATCAGCAATTAACACAACTCTCAGTTCCACCTTCAATCCATTATCACAGATTCCAAGCCAAATGTCTCTTCTTTATGCTTCCCTTCGTCATCTAACACTTCGCAAGATGTTCTCCTACGAACACGGCGGATTCGAAACGTTTCTCACACACTCATTGCCGAAATTCGAGAGATTGATAAGTTTGAAAGTCGAATGCGAGTATGGCAAATTTTTCGCTTCATCCTTTGTTCAAAACCAGGATCGATGGATATCTCTGTTGAACAAAATGATTACCGGGGAGAATGGGGAATTGGTACAAGGTATACGGATAGGGAAAGAGGAACCCAGTGACACGGCACCGAGTGCTCCTACGTGGGTTTGGAAGGTTGAAAACTGCGACTCGGGAGAAGCTACGATGTGGGTTGGTATGAAAAGAGAGGTGAATTTGGTTATCAAGCACAGGGTTGCTTATGTCAAGTTTTAAGATGGTAACTCACATGTGCTGAGCTATTTCAATGTCATTTTGAGATAGTTAGGCGTAGATTACTGGGTATATTGCAAGCTCCATGAAAGAGGTTAAGTTTCGAAGAGTTATTTTTGTAGACAAAATAATGACTTCTAAGTCTGATGTCTCTTCATCAAGTATGATTTACTCGCGTATGTACAAGTTCAATCGATTCGTCAAACTATTTATAAACACGAACATCTAATTCAGTCCTTTTCCTCGAACTAACAGTCATGATTCACCTCTCATTCCCCCCACAACCCCTGATCAAACTCACATCACATTCCCCACGCATCACCCCATCCAAAATCCATTCCCCTTCTCCTTCCTTCATCTCCACAATTCACATCCGTCCGTCATCACTCACCCAGTCCACAAAGCCGGTCCTGGGATAGTATAACTACTCAACGTTACATACGGATTGAACAAAATCCCCGGATCAGTCGCCTTATAAAAGCTTGTCGCTACCACACCCGCAGGATTCATTGTTCCAGCGCCCGTCACATCGACGTTGACGCAGAAGGGGTAGTTTTGCGCGCCGTTGGCTGTTGTGGCACCGTGGAGCGCGATGATTTCGTGGCGGAATACGTAGTGGCCTGTGGGGGTGTTAGTTGTGGGAGTATTGAGGGATATAAAGGGGGGGGGGGGAGAAGATAATAAGTTCACATACCAGCAGCAAGTGTCTTTGGTACAATGGTTGTCCAGGTATTGTTGTTTGCCATTAGAGCTCCTGTGGCCCATACTTGTGTGCTGAAATTGAGACCTGATTGATCGATTTTCACCCATTTGAGATTGGCTTTGTTGACCTGGTATTCATCAGCGATCTTTTTTTTCCTCATATTTGATCATAGACATTGGCTGGTTCATATAGATCATAATACCTCAAGCAGAAAATGGAATGAGAAAGCGAGTAACATACAGTAGCGCAACTTCCCCCACAATTAGCCACATAGGTCAACACTGGCCCAATATTATGCGGCCAGGTAGTCCATTGGAACTGGACTGTTCCTCCTGCAGCGACAGTAGCAGATACGTTTGCATTTACTGCGTTTTTATGACATATTATATCGGAAGTTCTTTGAGTTGAACGAATCAGTCCTTGTCTTTCCCTTTAACAGAATCGGAGCGAGCAAGCAAGTATAGAGAGAAAAAGAAAGAAACATACGAATAATGATCAGGCGCAACAAACCCAATATCCAATGCCTCCTCGTACCAACCAGGGGTTTGTGGATAGGGAACCTTGTTCACAACATCGTACCAGTAGGAGATTTGCCAACCGGAAGTGTAGACGCCGTTTGCTACAATTCCGGAGACGTAACCATGAGAGAGGACGGCGGGGATGAGGGAAAGAATGGGGAAGATGGTGGAGAGGAGATGCATGATGATGTAAATTAGGGAAGGTAATTGGAAGATTGAGAGTGGGTGAGGGAGTTGGAGAGGAAACGAGCAGATGAGAGAATTTGAGGGAGTTATATATTAGATTGGTTTATAGGGTCAATAAAGAATGAGTGATGAAGATAGCTTGGTTTCTAGTGTGGTAGTATCAATTGAATCTTGTGACCGTCGAAGAACTACACACAATCTGATATATCAATGAGAATCCGGGGTAGTGGGGGCTAAATTAAACATTCAATATAGATGCCCCAGAAGCATGGGTGCGAATTCTCCTAAATCCGGGGATAATAGATTAAGTGGGATGTTTTAATATAATGCTAATATAGAGATACCGTTGAGATTGTTGCCAAGACGGTCATTATTGTGCAGGTTTCATCTTCAGCCGGCATTTCGGAACGGCGGGGCGGGTAGTGTGTTTTGGTGTTTGGTTGATATGTCGCAATTTGACTTCAAGGGAGAACAGACCTCTTCAGGTTGAGTCGAAGTCTTTGTGCTTCAGTGTCATGTTTCCCATTGATGGAAGAGAAATTGCGAGAATTCAGTTTGTTAATATCATATACTTATTCTTCCCGATTATTGTGTGAGTTCGACCTGAAAAGATACTCTAATAAGGGGTCCGCTTAATTCTGTGTTGAAGATTTCAGGTGAAATATCATTCTTACTATTCTTATTATTATGGCCGACAAGTTTTAGCCAGTGATATGAGATATTCTCTGCTGTAGTCCGCCCGTGATATGTATCGAAGTTCCAGATTCTTGCGGCAAAGGGTGCCTTGGTCCCGATTTGAAAATTTCCACCCCTATCGTGTATCGGTCCGCACACAAACTTGTTATAAATCAAGGTGATTCTACTTGTAGTCACCTGCACTGCCTACCTTTAACATTCACTCAAATTCATCACATGCCATAGCAATGCTTTGAAATTTGCTTGGGATAAGAGTAAGCTTTTAGCTACGAGTTCACTACCGCCACAAGAGCTATCCGCCATGTTGAGTATGGACACTCTACACTACTTCACGAAACGAGCTAAGATTCCCTCCCCGAAGTGATGAATTCCTAGAAACATTCTCAGCAAAAGAGATGTCACCATTATCGAGCTCAGACACCATCTTTGATCCTCGAATTCGCCATGTGTAAGCCTGTTTCTATCAGCACATCTTGCGTTCCATATCGCTGCATTTTGGAATTAGTTGACTTCCCTCCTTGGCAGTTATCAACTAGTCAATGCATGACTAAACTAAAACTATGACATGCTCATCTGTATCAAAATTGTGTTTCTCCCTCGGAAAATATGCGCTCTCTTCTGCATGATTCATTTTGTCATCCAAATTTGACTGTGCAAAATCCCACAATGTTATATGACCTATTCTTTCGTACACTCCCTGGGTTCCTTTGATGCGTCTCAAAACCAACCCCTCATCGTGAAAAAGCCGCAATATGTACAGATTGCACATTTTACAATGCATTTCGAACGGTAGAGTATCTTGCATGAGTAGAAGCGGAGCGCATGATAGCCATAATGCTACATTCGGCATATCGTCGAAATGGTGTTCAGACGATGACTTGCTAACCACGATATGAGATTGTGTTCTTTCAATCCATTTTGCAGGATTTTAATAGGGTACTGAAGACCCTCCAGATTGAAGTGCACCACCATAAAGGTATATCAGAACAGGTAGCTTGTCTCCTGGTTGAGGGTGAAGCGGGACCCAGATACTCAAGTAAGACAGTCTTCGCCGCTTGGTCCTCGAATGAGAAATTCTTGGACGTAGGTGCTATAGATGCTGCGAATTGTACTTTCGTATTGTGGACAATTCAGGCAAAATTCTGTTGCATCAACAATCGCGGACGACTGGTTGGATGGGAGTGCATTGGGTAGCATCCAGCGCAAGTTGCCTATGGGAGGTTGGGCGAAGGCTACACCTAGAAATTGACGTACATTGGGTGTGATTCCGTTGATAATTCCTCTGACTAGAATGTGTTAATTTTGTCTTGGAACAATTCTAAATAATACTTACGATTGCTACTCGTTGTATTGTTGCTTAATTCTGCATCTGAATTTGACTTCTAATGTGGACTCGAGCTGACAGCTTGAATGGACAGCAAAAGTCTTTGCCAGAGAAAGAACTGATATACACCATTATAGTATAAGATACAAGATGCGAGCAGAGAATAAGGATATCAATACGTGGGTGACAGCGGGAGACTATATATAATTCATGAATCATCCCACTTTGCTATTAGTGATGTCTAGCATTTTACAGTGGATATTGTCAGTATCTTTGCCTACATGTTCACTCAGAATACGATTGATACAAGTCAAGAAAGAGATACTATACAATCTTATTTGACTAACTCTTGGCTATATCCGATTGAATCAGATACGGGAAAACCGGGTCGGTGTATATGATTGAAAATTCACAAAGTGGATGCCTTCCAAGAGAACTTCATTGAATGGAATCGTGAAAAGCTAGAAATGAGTCTGGGATAGCTTGGTGCGAGTTCGCTGGACTTATTGAGTACCGAAATGAAGCTTGTTTGCGGGGGTAATTGGATAACTCGGGAGAAGGTTGCGGGATAGTGGGCTGCTGCCATCACATTTGAATCTACCCAAAGCAAGGAGACCATACGATGATCAATGAACATGGAATGGCAATTGGACTTCATAAGTGAAAGCTGTTTTGGCTCCATAATTCAAGCCTCTGTGAGCGAATCATATCCCGTAGATATCGGCTATATACTTGCTCTATCTAAACTCGGCTAGATATCTACCTCCTATGACATAACACATAAGTTTAATCACAGAAATATTTCTTTATAGGAATATCAGACTGTCAAAATATCATGAGCGTAAAAATACTAAATACTGATACCGCAAAACCCGATCCATCCAATGTTTGGATATATACTATGTAGCTTGGATGGAATTGCGGCATTCACCACGCTACCATGCAGCCAATTGAACAAAATTCTGGCATTTACTGCGTCGAAACGTTTAGATTTCAACCGGCATAATTTAATGTTCTTACAAACGTCGCATTGTAAACAAAGTCTAAGATATCCATTCTGAATCGACCAATGACTGTAGGAACTTGGGAACATCTTGATGATGCCCCAATTGCAAGAATAGGATGAGATGAGATAAAGGGGTCGTCTTCTTTTTCAAAATAGCCGAAGGTATCAGGTAGAGCCCACCATTATCAGTTCCAGTCTGACCCACAAAACGTCATGGCTCCACTTATTACAAAGTATATGTGGGCATTGAAGACGACGCTCAGATGAACTTGACTATTTATCAAACTGTTCCCTCAAAATGGTAAGAATCGTACTTGCTGGTGGCGCCGGAAGTGAATTGGGGATAGTCTGAAAGTTTTGAATGTTAAGAGCTGATGCGTCAGCAGATGTTGGACGGGAAGTTTTGGAGGCACTTCTAGCGGAGGGTAAACATGAGATCAAGGTAGTTTCCCGAAAAGTAAGCAAGCGATTCCACGGGTCAATTGCAGTACCAATCAGCTGCTGATATCAAACCAGAATGTTCCTGACTTGACGACCCAAGGAATCACAGTAGACATCGTAGATTATCTAGACAAGAAAGCACTTGTAGATGCGCTCGAAGGAGTTGATACTGTTCTCTCATTCATCGTTACCATCAACGATCCAGATAATCAAGCTCAAAAGACTCTGATTGATGCATGTATCGAAGCTCGCGTTGGTCGTTTTGCCCCAAGTGAGTGGGCTACAAGAAGTCATTGCGAATTCCCTGCATATGAGGGGAAAGCTCGAGTATATGATCATGTCCAAGAGATAAATAAGGAGAGAAAGGTTTGTTGTTCCAATATCCTCATTCACAGTGCTAATCTTTGCGACAGGTCTTGGAATTTACTTTATTTCAGTGTGGAGTGTTCTTGAATTACTTCAGTTACCCGCATCCCTCCGCAAGATTCATGCAAATCTTTCCAATGCCGATAGATGTTGAGAACTGCAGAGCTATCATCCGAAAAGATACAAAGGCCTAAATCACTTTGACCGCCGTACAAGACTTGGCAAGAGTCATCAGCAAAGCAGTAGACTACCAGGACGCATGGCCAGAAGTCAGCGGAGTTCGTGCCAATCAAATTTCTGTTTTAGACTTCATTGGGCTCTGTGAGAAAATCAGAGGTTTGTCTCATTATCTAACTATGCTTACGAAGTTTTCACTAACGCTATTCTCTGTAGGACAAAGTTTCGTCGTAGAATCAGTAGAATCAGTAGAATCAGTAGAAAAGACTGACTTAGAAAAAGGGGTATTTGCATCTCCCTAGTTCCCCGTCATCGCTCACCCGGCGGTTCCGGAGGATCATAGAGACGCCTTTTCACAGAGCTATTTTTCAGCCTTCATTTTAGCACTTTAATGTCGTGGTTAGGACGCATCTAACGAGTGGAATGAGTTGTTGCCAGACATTCAGTTTACCTGCACTGAAGAGTTTCTGTCGAATATTTGGATGCACAGGTCATAATCAGCGCGGGAATTAGAGATAAGGTCTGGTACTAGGGCATCTCGATTCCTGCTAAAAACTCAGGATTCAGCCTGATCAATCAATTAGCTTCTATCTTATCAAGAACACCATAGATTTGATGATGCTCCACACTTGAATTGTGCGCCCAGCTTCGGATCACTATTCATAAAATTAAGATGTCTCTTGTAGATTACCGTAGAGAAGTTCGCAGGGCAGCTTTTGCCATGTGACGGAAGACCGTCGCTCAGAGAAGAGAATAAAGTGAATAACAAATCCCTTGAGTGAAGTGATCTTTGCGATTGGTTCCAACAATATCGCCTCATTGGCCTCATTCAGCCATTCAGTTGCGAGCAATAAGCGTAGCTCAACGTACAAGTGTTTGATATTCCCCATGGCAGGTATTATGTTCCATGCATCGACCCATTGCATATAGTAGTAATGACCATACTTGTTGTTGGCCGATACAGCCAGAGGTGTGCGAAAGCTTTGACACAGCCATTTCACGCGTAAGGCAGTGATACCGGTAAAAGTTTGTTTCAATACAAAAGATACATCCATCAGATCGTTCTGCTCTACCCGGAACAGATTCTGAGTATATAACATCTCAATAGATTCAGCATAATCGTGAGAATCAGTGCTGATTCATACAAGCGATATGGTGCTCGTACATTTGACGATCGAGAATGAGGGCCGTCGACGATAGGCATGCCATTCAAACGAAGGACGCGCCAAAGCATGCACACCATGATGTTGCATGAAGTTCGAAGGGCAAGAGGCCGTAGGTTTCGTAGTTCTCAATCCAATTTCTTATTGGAAATCACTTGAGCCGTGGTGCTTCGTGCATTATATACCTGAGAATAATTGATCTGTCCTTCTGGGCAGTGTATATTTGCTGCCTAGTCGTACTACGACCCTGGAGCAAGATACATACTATTGGTGAATGTACGAGGTGAGCGCGGACCACACGCTTTCCTTGACATATGAGCATTATGCAATGTCTAGTATCCGCTCGTGGTTACATATCGAGAAGAGTTGTTGTAGCATATGCAGGATCTCTAAACACCGTTCGTTAGATATCCAGCGATGTATCGATTGATTTGAGTAGCATTGCCCCTGCCTTGGCCAAAGTGATCATTTTATGTCTGTCAATATAAATTCTTGAAGCTCCTCGAAAACCTCAATTAAGTATGTATCTTCAGATATCATCAAGAATATATCAATGATTTGAGTTGATGTGTGGCATTGAGTTTGTTGATGTCTGAAGATATAATGGAAGTAAAAGAGCCACAATGCACCGCCACTTTAAACGAGGCTATCAATTACTGCGGCCGCTAGCTCATGCAAGACTAGAATTGAGATCTACGGTTGGCTACAGCTCCACGCAGCCTTGAGCTAAGACTGTACCAAAACATCAATGACCGATGATAATTGCTTCAATTATATATTATTTAAACCTCACATAATTGTTTAGGATTGCCGATTGATTCGAAATGAATAAGAAGTCGATTTAAATATTATAGTCGGCAAGATTGCACGTCACATATCCGAATCACCGCTTATTACCACCTCTATCCGTGATATCGACGTCTCAAGTCATGGCTATTCTCGAAGAGTTCCTCGAGTCTATTCTGAAATTCCTCAGGGCAAAGGATGGAATAAGCTTACAGTTATGGCTTCGAGTCGAACCCCCTCTTCCCGATCATTATTTTCAGCTTGGTCGAGAATTGAAGGCGACATTTCAAAATAGCACTGCACTCGAACGCCATATCGCGAAACTCCTGCCAGACGACCCCAACGCAAGTTATGAGGATGGTAACGTTTGGCCGGGCTTTTTGGCTTTCATGAAGGACTACTTGGAGTTCTGGAGGGATGTCAATTTCGAGGATTTGTTGGAAACGCACTCACAGCTCACCGTTTTAGCAAGGTAAATGAGCTCTCTTGTTTTCAGCCAACATACTAATGGGATGCGCATAGTACTTGTCTAGCAGCTTTATCCAATCCGACATATGGGATAGTGATGCTTCCGACGGCCATTCAATTATCGACTGCCCTCGCGAAACTTGCAATGACACTCGACAAGAGACCGGATCTCACCAGAAGATTGCGAAGAGTTGCCGATGTCGATGCTGGAGAGACGCGAAAGACTTTAGTAGAAGGAACTGCAGAAACAATACAGCGTGCTTTTACAGTTTGTTTGACGGAAAGGACTACGAATAGGAATGGGGTTGGGTCAGATGGAAAGCCAGAGGGGAAGAAAGTCGGAATATATTCATTCGCGAATCTGGCTTTGAAACTCTTCTTTCAAGTATGGTCGCCTCCAATCGATCCATGGAATAATGCTGAATCGTCACGTAGTGCCGGAAAACACGATTGGCGAATCAACTCATCACGAATATTACCCAACACTCTCCACCATTGGAGCTTTACCCCGCAAGTCAACGAGTAACATATCTTTATTATCTTGGCCGATACTTCTTCTCGAATACCCACTTTTACCTCGCGCAGTGCTGTCTTCAAGCTGCTTATGACCAGTGTCATGCACAGTGCATCAACCAGCGACGTCTGATTCTAATTTACTTGATATCATCTAACATGATACTCGGTCGATTTCCATCTCGGTCTTTTATGTCGCGTCCCGAGGCTGCTGGGGTCCTTGAAAGATTTACACCAATTGTCAAGGCTATCAAATTGGGGAATTTGGCTGCTTTCAAGCGTTCATTGGGTCCAGAGGGTGGAAATGAAAAATGGTTGTTCGACAAGGAAATTCTTCTGCCATTGCTGTATCGTTGCGAAACATACGTGTGGCGTTCACTTGCACGACGCGTTTTATGTTTGACATACCAGTGGCCGTTCGACCCCAATTCTAAGAAAGCACCGACTCTAAATCTTGCCGATTTGGTCACAGCTGCGCAGTATTGCCAGAAAGTCCTTGAGGGCTGGCAGAGGCCTGCCGATTCTGCCGCTTTTATGCAGTCGGGTCGCACACACACAAATACAATGTTTATAACAGCAGAAGACCTGGTAAAACCTCCAGGCGTGGTGAAACTTTCGCCTAATGATGGGGTGATTTGGGGAAGCAAAATGCCAGAAATGTTGGATGTTGAAGCAATCGTTGCAAGTTTAGTACAACAAGGACTATTGAGGGGGTTTATTAGTCATATACAGGGCAAGTTTGCGATTTTGGGGGCAAAACAGAGGGGTGGACCATTGAATGCAGGGTTCCCACCAGTTTGGGAAGTTATCAAAGATAGAGCTGAGAAAGACGGACACGGTAATGAAGTACCGGGCTGGGTTACGGGTGGCGGCGGTGGATACACAAGTGGAGGAGTCGTTAATTTAACTGGAATTGCTCGGCCGGCTGGGGCTACATGAGCAGGAACAGATTCGAAATACCCGAAAAGCCCGAATAAATTCCATACCATCTACAAGATCAGGTACAATTCCTCGCCGTCTCTCACGAACCGACCACGTCTACTGTGACCTCCGCCTTATCCGTAAACTAGTGCAAGGTGCTGGCAGGTGTTCATACAACTTAACGGCATGTGCCAAGGGAGCCCGTTCAACACAACCAAGCTTGCATTCAAATAGGCAAAAGCTCTAACATCAAGCTCCCATTCTATCCGTTTTAACGTCTTTGATTATACGGATGTATGGCCAACAAGCGGTTCCATGGGATGCATACGATTCTGGTATAGTTTCACCTCCCACGAACCGATGCTTGGCAAGATGGAGCATAACCGATCTTTATGAGCCGAAGTCACTATTTTGTATATTTTAGAACCTGATGCAAAGCATCTGAATACCATTCTTGTATACTCCAATCTCTTCTTGTGGTCTTATGTTGCATGAAGAAATTCGCAAGTTCAAATGTCATTTTGCTCTTTTATGTGACTATTAAAATGGACATCGAACTTTGACAATCAGTGAGATGTTTAAGGATTCTTTCCTAATCCTCGAGCTAAATTGAATTATTATTGAGGAAGATTGTTGCAAAGTTTTCAAGTATTTCATGGTGTCAGGTTTGCAGAACGTGATGATATGGCAACACCACCCGATACACGATTGAATGTTAACTATGGTTTTTATACAAGATTACACTGATATTGAAGTGGAACGAAGGGTCCATTCCACTCCAGCATATCATTGCAGGTGTGGAGAAGTTACAACTATATTTTTAACATTGCACTGTTGCCAAGAAGTCGGTGAACAGACTGTCGTCATTCATTTTTCTGTATGCTATCGTCCCAAGTTTATGATTCACTTTCAAAGCAAGTCAGCACGAGGTCCGGAGCCGGAAACAAGGTTCGTGAATGTGACATGAAGATTAACCTAGGCTCCTATCTTCTGTATTTCACAGTTCTCCTATCCATGGAAATCTATTTTACACTTCTTTCTCCGAAGTCTACATATAAATCTGTCCTACCTCCTCTTCGAGGACAAATTCAAGAACAAATTCATTGCCATGCACTCTCTAGATCCTACAAGACAGCTGATAGCCGATGGGATGAGTCCCGAATCCTCAAGCATGGCTATTATCTTATCCTCGATCATATTATCTTCTCTCCAAATCGTTTTCGTAATAGCCCGATCTCTTTCACGACTACTAACAAAATTTCCGCCAATCTGGGGACTAGATGATCATCTTATTATTGTATCATTATTTCTGAATCTATCTCTAGCTGCATTATGTCCGGGTGCGTATCGCCTTTATAACCCTTCCAAACATTCAATTTACTCATATCCTCCACAGTTGCGGTATATCTCGCCGACATGGGTCACCATCTCCTCTGGATTCAACCCGCCAAATTAGTCATCGGACTGAAAGTTCTCTACGCTGTCGATATCATAAACATCCTCGCTCTCAGTATCCCCAAACTAGCCATTCTGTTTCTCTACAAACGACTATTCATCACATCCAAACTCACGAATCATGCAATAAAAGGCGCAACATACGCAGTCTACGCATTCATCATCGTTCTCGAAGCAATAGCCATCTTCCAATGCGTACCAATCTCCGATGCGTTCAAAATAGGGCCGAGGAAATCTCGTCGGTGTATCGATAATATGGTTGTACTGACCTGGGCAACGGTGCCTAGCATCGTCACTGATATTGTAATATTTTTGATTCCGGTTCCGGTGGTTTGGAAACTCAATGTTTCTCTGAGATTCAAGATTGAGTTGGCGGTAGAATTCATTATTGGTGGATTGTAAGTCTTTTTAATCCTCCCTAATAGATACCAATACTAACGATCTTGGCGCGCAGCGGTATGGTAGTCTGTGCAGTCCGCGTCTCGGTGTTCTTGCGGATACAACACCTGCCAGATGTTACATACGTAGGAGGAGAATCACTCCTCTGGCTGCAGTTACAACCTGCTGCATACCTGATTTGCGCGTGTCTACTGCGCTGCCGACCGTTACTCGAAGCGATCATTGAGACGATTTCTTGCCGGTCGCCGAGAATGATGGAAACTCCAGTGAGAGAACTGATACCTATGACTTCAGTAAAGGTTGGGACATCAGAGAAGGATGTTCGCGAATGGTCAAGTGGTGATAAAATTGAAGTTTCAAAGATGGAAAAGGTGCACCTGGGTTAAGCGAGTAGGCGGGATTGATGGGTGCTTAAGCGACATAAATAGAGAGAGATCCTGAACTGGAGGGGAATGGAATAGATGATGGGTCTGGATGGATTCGTGAAATAGCTGGATTACTACCGGCCTCATATCAGGCCCGTGCCAAGATTTATATTCCAGAAAAAGCACGGAAGATTGACTCTATACCTTTATTGGGTTAGTCTATCTAAGCTTTTGCTTAGTAAAGTCATTTTGAATACTAGATCATACGTGAGCATTAATATTTTACGCGTGTTGCCATCAGCTTTAGCAAATAGTTTTTCTTTCATCGATTTCACAAATTCGTTGCTAAGTAGGGTTGCGATTTGGCCGTTTTCACAAGTTGCACGTCAATTTCTGTCCATAATTTCAGATTACCTTTGCCAACAGGTCAATTCAAGTGAATCTAGTGACTTGACAAAATGTCATACAAATAATCGCCACCTTTGAAATCCCTCGCCCCCTCCTCATGTATTAGAGGTTCGGAGGAAAGAAAATCAAGACGACTTCATTTAAGCCATATTAGGCAACTTAACTTCCATATAATTTAAGGGCGATGGTCAGTTCAGGTTGCCACGCCACCAATTCATTCAGTGAACAAAATGCGTGCAGATGTCGATTCGATATTTACAATCCTATTGCTAAGACTATCAAACATTATGTTTTGATAAGTACAATTAAACATGCACATTACTATGCATATTACTATGCCTATGACATAGGATATGCATAGTTCTATTGTAACTAGGTTTCAAATCATCAGGGCTCAATACTCTCACAATACTGCTAGGAATCTTCCAAGCCGTGTTACTCTTGGTGATAGTTGTGCTCTGAAAGATATGAGTAATATTATACGCCTAGGAACATCTCCAAATGTGATGGTAGCCATTGGCAAACGTGGATATGGCATTAGATAAGATATTGGAGCTCTTTTCAAGAGCTCATATTGCGGGTGAATATCTTAGACAGACATCTACGAGAGCTTTTCGAAGCGAGTTTTTTTGTTCACTGTTATCAGGAATCAGTATAGAAAATATTATAATCTTCAGGTCTCAGAAGAAATAGAATTTCAAATTTCAAACAGTCTTATGTCATAGGATATCAATTGATAGGGCAAGTTGAGAATCGCTTGAAGGTGCTTTAATATCCCTCAATTTCGATATTCTTACTGTTTCTATAATCGAAATCATAGTTTTTGATTCGATTAATCAACTCTCGTATATCCTACTTTGAGTGTATATTTCTAAGAAAGCTTTTTCTAAAAGAATAATTAAGGAATTTTAGATGCCATGATTTGAATATCAACGAAGTATATCGACTTATCTATAAAAAAGCTCGAACAATAGTAATGAAGATTTTTGTTATTATGGCTTATACTTTGAGTTAGATTTTGAATGAAGTAATCACCGAAGTCTAATCTAAATGATGTTAAACAATTCCTTATTTATTTATTTATTTATTTATTTATTTATATCAATTAACGTCTGTCTTGAACCTCCCTAAGGGTATTTAGACGTGCTAAGATAAGGGACTATTTGAGCGGCGTGATCGTCGCAACCGAATTTAGCAATTTAACTTCAATGCCAGGGGCTGTTCGCTCCTCTGCAGGTGCGATCCACTTCTGTTTCCAGAAGGGTACGTCTGATCCGGGTTCTTGTTAGGGTAGAGCTTGGTTCCCGGGTGGATAGGCTCGTTGTGGGCTCCGATCCCTATGGTGAAGGAGAAGAAGTGGGAGTGGGTTGCTATTTGTTTAGCCGAGCGGCAAGGCTCTTATATTGTATATTGGGTTTGCGGTTTTTAGGGGTGTGGTATATTCGAGTGATCAGTTGAGTGGTAAGTTTATAAAAGGGGCGGCAGGCTTTGTTGAAAAGATGGTCGCTTTCTAAGGGTCCTTTAGTAGTTAGGACAGATCTGAGTGTAGAACTCTGAGTCGGTAATCAGCTGAGTGAGCTTGCTAGGTGTGTGTAAGAGTTTCTTGATATATGTGATCGCCTGTTTGTTAGATTGTATTTCTACAGGGGCCAGGGGCCAGTCTGAACGTTTTAGGTTGTTTATAGTGCATTTAAAGAAGTGATATGGTTCCTTAGCGCTGCCGCATGAGCAGTCCAGCTTGTTGTTTTGATGACCAAATCGCTGATGGTAAGCGGCGTAGTCGCCATGACCTGTTTTCATAGCTAGTAGTCGGTGAAGGACTGCTCTTGGCAGAGTTAGTTCCTTCGGCTCCTTTGTGTTGTACTTGGGAGACCATTCTTTATAATTAGCAGAGAGAGAGGGATTCATCTCTTCCCACCACTCAGTCTCTGCGCGTAGGCGCTTTTGGCGAACGATCGTCCGGACACCGCTAATTGTTGGTAGCTTGTCGATCGCCTGGTCCATGGGTCCAATTGCGCCTGCGTTTGCTAGGCGGTCTGCTTCCTCATTCCCTTCGATCTCCATGTGACCAGGTGACCACTTCACTCTAATGTCAAGTTGTTTCATTGCCTTATGGCACTTATGGAAGGCCCATTGCGTTGTGGGCGGCGCGTTTCCGCGAACACCCCAGATGACCGATGTACTGTCAATACACATCCAGATCCGGCCACTCGGGGGATCTTTAAACGTGCTGATCAGGTGCTCCAGCCCTCGCCACGCTCCGATCGCTTCTGCATCGAACACATGTGAGTCGCTCCGGATCTGCTTGGATCCGGAGGCTAATTGAGTGCCATTGTGATATATTACATATCCGTATCCGACACAGTGTTTACGATCAATGGTTTGTTCTGATCCGTCGGAGAAGATCGTGTAGTCCTCAGGTGGGAGTTGCAGCCACCACTCTTTGAAGGCTTGAGCTGCTTCCTCTTTGGTTAGCCCTTCCGTCGGATCCGTTCTGCAGCCTATCGAGAAGTGCGGGCGAAGTAACTTCGGCCGTTGGGTCTCTGGGATGAGGAGGCCGAGCCGTTGGATTCTTGTAAGGGGCCTTCTAGCTGTGCCTGCTCCTCGCCCGCGCTTTCGTACTGTGGGTTTCAGGCGGCTCACTAGCAGGTGCTGATTGTCGACCGTTTTTAAGCGGAGTGCGAATCGCAGCTTGGCGTGTTCTAATGCGACTATCCCCGATGGCAGGCCGGCTTCTTTGATAAGAGCTGCGGTCGGTGTAGTTTTGTATACCGGGATCGCTCCTCTTGCGGCGGTATTGATCACTTTGTTGATGTAGCGGAGATGGCCTTTGATACCTGTGCCTGTGCTTGCTTCGCTTTGACCGAGGCTCGGTTTGAGTTTGCCAGCGTACCATACTTCAGTGCCGAATAGTGCTACTGGAAGGACGCAGGTGATCACTGCTTTTCTCAAGTAGGAAGCTGGTGGCCCATGCAGAGTGCGGGCGATCGACCTGATGTGCGAGGCTACTTTCATGGCTTTCGCTGTGCGTGTTTTGACATGTTGTAGAAACGAGAGCCGACGATCGAAGAAGACACCAAGCCATCTTAGAGTGGGTTGAGTGCTTCCACTCGTTACAATCGGTACTGGAGTGATTATCAGATCCGGGTTAACGACTAGTGGTGGGTTGGTGGTATCGTGTCGTCTGGTTATATGGAGTAGCTCGAATTTCTCTGAGGCGAATAGGATTTTGTTCTCCTTACCCCATCGGATGATCTGTCGAACGCGTCGTTGAAGGATCCTGGCATTCGTGGAGAGATGCTTGGAGGAGTGATAGATCGCAATATCGTCAGCGTAGCCAAAGCGATATTTGGTATCTCGGTTGAGGAGCTCAGCGAGATATAGCATATAGAGTATAGGTGATAGGGGGGACCCCTGAGGAGTACCACATGCTACTGGGTATTCCTCTGTTGTGATGCCTTCGAGTCTTACTCTGACTTTCCTATTTGTAAGGAACGAGTCTATTAGTTTGAGCAGCGGAGTTGGCCATCCTTGCTTGATCATTCGGCTCAGGAGTCGGCGCTTTAGGAGAGCGTCAAAAGCTCCTTGAACATCCATTGTAACAATCGAGACCACATTACCCGTTGCTAATGAAAGCTCCGCATCGTGAGTGAAAGCCGCCGTTAGATCAGTACCTGATCTTCTGGGGAGCGCTCCGCAGTGCTGCGGGCTGATTACCTTGTGTCTCAGGGCTGTCCAGGATATTTGACTAGCTATATACCGTTCGAGCCCCTTACCGATACAGGAGATCAGGGCTATCGGTCGCCACGACCGCGGTGACGTTTTGTCTTTCTTGCCCACCTTAGGGATCATTACTACTTCCGCTAGCTTCCAACCTTCTGGATAGTAGTTTAGAGCTAGGCAAGATGCAAATATCTCCCGGATCAGTGATTTGACGCTCGGCCAGCATGCCTTGAGGATGCGCACAGTGGCTCGATCCACTCCAGGCGCAGTGCAAGTAGCTCCTATGACATGTTTTTCCACTTCTTCTGCAGAGATCGTTCTTTTCCAGGGGAGTATCCCTTTGTGTGCTTGATTGAGCAGCGGATCGTTTGGTAGGTCGTCGTCTGCCCTGAAACGATCCAGAACCGCTGTGAATAAAGCATCTGCCTTCTCTTTTGTATCGCAGATCACCCGCTCGCCGATTATTAGGGAGGGGGATTTCGCATTACTTTCGGGGGTTAATTTGTGCCATCCCATAACCCGATAGAGTTCTTTGTCGTCTTTGACTCCGTCGAGACGCATTGCCCAGTAGGATCTCTTGGCTTGTCGCACTACCTTTTGTAAGAGATGAGTAGCATTAGTCTTCCTTTCCGGGTCTGATCCCCTCCGTGCTTCTATGTGTGCTCGGTGGGCTTCTCTGCACTCGTCCGTCCACCACGGCGAGGCTTTTCCTACCTTCCGATCAATCTTGCCGATTGCTCGGATCGCTTTTTCTAACGCATTCGCCAGCTCACTGACGTGGGTTTCAATCTCAGTTGTAGTCTGAATGTCTACATCATTGAGGTGAGCTAGCTGGTTGGCCATTAGTCCATCTAATCTAGGCAGATCCACTTCCTTTATCCGATAGCGAT